GCTTTAAATTGCAGAACTAACCATAATAATTCGGCTACTATGATTTTACTTCAACTGCCTCCTGTGACTTTACTTACTTTACTTCAACTGCCTCCTGTGACTTTACTTCAACTGTGACCGATCTTTATCCCCCCAAAAAGCTACGGTGAAAAATGTGCAGAAAAGTGAAAGAATTTGTAAGTTGAAAAGATGATCTCCCGTATCCACTGCAGGGGTATGGCTGTGTATTGGGGTGGACTGTTTGTGGATGCTCTCTTCGCGCATCGCCCCTTTCCTTTCCCCATTCATCCATCGAAGAGACCCACATTGATCCATCCATTTCTCTTCTCTTTTTTTCTCATCTTTTCACTTTATCTATCTTTTTTTTGTATGATCGATATTTTTCTGGTTGAAGTGGACCCACTTTCATGGCGGCTATAATTTCTACAATACAATTAATCGAATTGTAGCTTTTAATCGAATTGTAGCTTTCAATCGAATTGTAGCAATTCATCGAATTGTAGCTTTTCAATGATATTTATAGATTCAAAATCAAGGCTTCTAATCTGTGCAATTAAGCAAAATTTAAAGATTTTTCTGGACTTTTCCCTCCTAAAAACCATAGACAGGACTTTTCTATAAGAACGAAACTGTCACAAATCTCAATCCAGATCATGAATCAGTTTTTAAATGAAAATTAAGCTCTTGTTGTTGTGTTTCCAATGCTTTGTTTTCTTTTTTGTCCAAAGTTTTAAATGCTTAGGAGAAATAAACAGCAAACAACTTGAGTCCTAATCCTACCAAATTGTTTTTCAATAATTTATTTGTAAAAGCTTTCTAATCTTTCATTTCATGCAAATTTACTGGTGTCTCTTGATTGCTTTCCTCTCCTTTCCTCTCCTTTCCTCCAGTTCTGAGATTCACTCACTTAGGGCCCCCACTTAGCATTTGTTTATCCGAAATGAATGTGTGAATGGGGTTGAGAAAAGAAGTTTCAGTTGTATTTTTCTCCCTTCCACCCAAATATCCTCGTCTTCCCATCTTCCAAATCGACGACATCTCTTTTTATCTTTTTTTTCCCTTTCCATTTCTTCTCATTTACGAGTAATGACTGTGTTGAGGAAGAGAGTATCCACGAGGGATTCAGCGGGTTTCTTCCTTTCCCTTCCTTTCCCTTCCTTCCCCTATTCCCCAATTGATCCCATCATCATCAGCTCTTCTCAATCCAATCACAGATCATCTTTTGCATCCAATTTGCCTATCATCGTTTGGTTCCATTGAAAATTCGTAATTTCCTTAAGTTCCCAATTACAATGAGCAGGCGAATAAAGTGAAGTATTCAGAATGGTTGCCTGTTATTTCTAAGGTTTTCTTGGATCTTAAATCATTCTTTTACAGTCTTTCATCAAAAATAATGATGCATTTGCATAGGTTAATGCGATTTTATGAAAATAGGCACAAGATCCTGACGTATTTCTATGGCTTCCTTCTTCATATGCTCACTTCGCATGTTGACGAACGGCTTCAAATCGAAAAAAGTTACAAATATAAGCAGAGATTCACAAGTACAGTACTATTTTTCACAAGTACAGTACTACATGTACTATTAAATCGTTGAGATTTTGCTATAAAAATGGGTGAGTTTACAGTGATGGAATCTTGAAATGAAACAAATGAAGAATGAAATGGGGTTAATGAAATGTAGAAAATGGGATGGAATCTAGAAAGAAAGTGGAATTGGAAGAAGGAAAGGAAAGGACACCTCTACGGGGTGACGATGGGGTCGAAGAAGAGGTGAATGTTGTGAAGATGGGGGAAAGGAAAGAAAATGGGGTGACAAGGGGTGAATGAGAAAGGAGAAGAAGAGGAGGAGGAGGAGGGGACCAAGCAGGGAAGGACACCGGAAATTGGGTCCTCCACGCACCACTTTGCGCCTCTTTTCTCTTCCTTTCTCCATTCTCTTTTTTTCCTTTCCAAAAGTCTCAAGAAAGCGCTTGCCAATGGATCCCTTCTAAACAACCCCAGTAATCCACAAATTTTCACCCCATTTTCGAAGCGATTTCTCATGTTTGCGTGCCGAGTACCACTTTGGGTGTGCTTGGGATTTCACCAGCATTTGAGAAAGTTTTTTTCTTTGTACGATTCTCAAAAGATTCACTTTTAGATCTCTAAAGCTTTGAATGAAAATGAAGCAATCAAGCAATCAAAGCAATCAAAGCAATCATGTAGTTTTGTTTTATTTAGCTCCAAAAACTGAAGCTGAAAGTCAATCCGTGTTTGAATTTGGGTGAAAAAGAAGAAGGAGCATAAAATTGGTGGATTGCGTGTGTCTTTCAATTTCGCTCTTTCAAATTTTTGTGCCTTTTTCTATTTGTCTTTTCAACTCATTCCCCCTTTTTTTTGTCTACAAATTTCTTTAGACATTTGAATGTGAGATTCCATTGAATTGAAATGGAAACTCTCAATCATTTTCCATTTTCCCACATTTCTTTTCCACTTTTTACTTGTCTTCTACAAAGTTCTCCAAAAACAAAAAACCCTTTTTAGGAGATTTGTTTGAAAGTTTTGAATGTCTTTTGATTTCGATTTTGTCGCTCCATTCATCCCCGAATTCTCAACAAAAGATCAACACGAACACAGACATAAAGTTCGACCAGTTCAGGTATGGTAAATCGGGTATCAACTTCTTGTTCTCCATTTCCCAAACCATTTCCCAAACCGTGGCCCCTTTCTAGCGTAATCTTGTCTCCGTTTTTATCGAATCTATCCACTATTTGTATCTTTCGATATCCTTTGTGAATCCGCACATAATTAGAGCCAAAAAGTGAATAGATTTGATAAAAATAGAGACAAAATTACGGTAGAAAGGGGAAAAGGGGACATCCTGTTCCAATCTTTCATGCATCTAATCTTAAACAAAACATCAAATCTTTGATGCCTATGAATGACCAAATCCATCGGTAATTTTAGCTTTAGTTTAGCTGTAGTTTTTTCGAATAATTACCAAAATGATATTTAAACTTAAAGAACTCTTATCTGCCGCCTACACAGGTAGATTCAGATTCTCGATTCAGCCTTTCAGATTCAGCCTTTCAGATTCTCGCCCCATCAACTTCTCAACCGGGGAAATTTCGCCTCAACGAGAATGCCCTCAATACAGTACTCGGACATTCATCTATTGCCAATAAAAAGGTTTGTGAATGAATTGGATTTAAGGCCGAGAATTTTATGAGAGGATAAAGGCTAAAGTTTAGTGACTTTATACAAAAGTACTTTGACTACAAATAGACCCAATCCTGGTTATACAGAGTGCGGCATAAGTATGGTTACAGACTCAGAACCGTGTATCGTAATGAAATATGAACGGATTCATGTAAACTTTATTTAAAATTAACAACAGTAATCATATTCATTAAAAAAAATAACAAATTATTCAATATGGGCACCTTTATTCTTGATAACGGCTTTAAGACGCTTTGGATAACTTTCCACGGCGGCCCGCAGGGTACTTTGTGGAATTTCCGCCCAGGCTTTCTTCAGAGCCTTTTTCAGACTTTCAACGTTTGCATGTTTTGTTGTGCATGCTTTTTGCTTCAAAATTGCCCAAACACAGAAATCCATAACATTGAGGTCGGGCGAATTAGCTGGCCATTCATTGGCGGGAATGAAGTCGGGCAAATTGTTTCGACACCACTCTTGAGTCTTTTTTGCTTTGTGCGCTGGAGCGCCGTCTTGCATCAATGTCCAGCGCTGATTTTGATAATGTCCTTGACTCCACGGCTGTACATGTTTTGTGAGAACGTCCAGATACACGTCTGTGTTAATTTTCAGCCCTTTATCAACGAAAATCAACGGCGTGCGACCAGTTGCTGACACCCCTGCAAAAGCCATGACTCTGTACTTTACCTCATTGTTTTCCTTCTTTTCTTTATCAAATAATGAGGTCTTATGTCTCCCCTTTTCACCTCAAAACTTCTTGAACTTCTTGAAGAAAACTTTTTCTTTTTCCTAATTCTATTCTGTCGATTAACGAGAAGTCGAAGTGCTTTCGATTGGATTGAAAAGGAGAAAAAGAAAAGGAGAAATGGCAATGAAGGAGAATGGAAGGTTCGGTGTCTTTGATGACATGACAAAATATCGAAAAACATCAATGAATGACTGAAAAGAAGTGGACTGTCTCACCGGATCATTCCATTGACTGTCACTCCCAATTTCAACCACCAATTTGTCATCTTCAGATGTGATGATCGAGTAAAAGAGTTCACGATTCTGTAAAAGACACAAAAGTCGATAAATCGGACATAAACTAGGCACAAGATTACGGTGGTTTTAAAAAAAGACAATCTAAGCCGATTGAACCCGTTTGACCATGCTCTGTTTTGTTTCAGCTCTGACAACAAACATTAGCCAGATCTTTTATTTGAACCATTCTTTCTCATCTTTTCTCTTTCTTCTTTCTTATCCTTTCCTGGCTCTTTCTCTTTCGGACAACTCTAGATCCTAGCTGCTAACTAAGTGATGAGCCTAAGCTCAGAAAATCACAAATTAGTTAGTTACCCTTAAGGACTATGTGACAATCTAAGGCGATTGAACCCGTTTGACAATGCTCTGTTTTGTTTCAGCTCTGACTTCAAGCCACTTTTTCATAGTAAGCAGAAATCCTTACAAAAATCTTAAAGAAAAATCGTCGATTCCATTCTTAGCTTCACCCATTCCTTTCAGCGCTAAAACCCTATCGTCTAATCGCAAAAAGCCGAGGGAATTTCAGTTTTCTAATGATGACATGAGAGTTCCCGTGAACCCGTTTCTCTTCCTTTTCCCCCATGATTCCAATGCAACTCCATTTCAGTTTCCGCCACTCTTTTCCAAAGTCTTCCTTTTCGTTAAATGCCTTTTTTTCAAAAAATGAACAATCATTGCTGAATAATTTATTTGCCATTTTAGATGAAAAGTCAATAAATAAAGGCAAATGCGATTTTTGTATTGACCACATTTCACCATTGGCTCTTTTGCGTTGTTTAACGGCGAGTTCCATCCTCGAAGAAGACTCCTCCATCGATGGCGCAATATTTGGGACAGATTCCCTTCTCTCCGGGTTGTCCAGGCTGTCCTGGGTGTCCGGGGGCTCCTGAAATTTGGGGTTTTACAAATCTGCCAAGGATGCTTCTAGCCTTTTGAAGATTACATTAAGATATCGCTATTACATTAAGAAACGGTAGAACTAGCCACTAACCTGGGTTTCCGTCTTGTCCTGGCTCTCCGTCGGGTCCGGGTGGTCCCTTTGTTCCGGGCTCTCCGGGCTTTCCGTCGGCTCCATTTTGTCCGGGTGGTCCTTGGGGTCCTTGGGATCCAGGTGGTCCTTGTGGTCCAGGGGGTCCAGGGATGACAGGCTCGGCCTTGGCTGGCTCTCCAGGTTGTCCAGGGGCTCCAGGGTTTCCTGGTGGTCCAGGTGGTCCGGGTGGTCCCTTAGGTCCAGGGGGTCCGGGGCTGGCATCGGGTCCCTTGTCTCCGGGCTCTCCTGGGGATCCGTTGTCTCCTGGGGGTCCTGGTGGTCCGGGAGGTCCGGGTGGTCCTGGAAATGGTTGGGATAATGTGTAAAAAAGCTAAATCTCACCTTGTGGGCATGGTTTGCATGGTGGTGGAGTGACAGGCTCACATGGTTGCTGTGGTGGGCGTCCAGGGTTTCCGGGAAGTCCGGGAGCTCCGGGCTTTCCAGGCTTTCCGGGTTTTCCGGGAGCTCCTTGTGGTCCAGCGGGTCCTGGAAGACAGCATCCCGAGCACTGATCATCATGAGCCTGACGGGCTGTTCTGTTTGAGTGAACGGGGAGGTCTTTCAATGAGTAGACTGAGTTCCACACATCCTTGGCGGATCCCTGTAAACGAGATGATTGAGTGATGATTGAGTGTTATTCAAACCTTGCATTGGTTGAGTTCCATGTGCATTTGACGGCGCACGTGGTGCACATAGTTGTACACCTGGAAATTCGCTTTGAAAGACTTTAGAGAACAAGGTACCATAGTAGATAAGCTTACAAGAAAGCCTGTTTCACTAGATTGTCAGCCTGTTCATTAGATCCTAGAATGGCTACTTGATGAAATTAGATAAGATTACTGTATCCTATTGGCTCTAAAGGATAACTATATGCTTACTGTGCTTCTCTAATGACTACTGAGTGCTAGATGCTCCAACTGCTGTACTTCTTAACACTACTGTATGCTAAAGTCATGAAACAAACCATTGGCAAGGTGATGCAAACGGAGAGAACGGCAACAGCCGAGAAGGTGACAGCCGCATAGCCGACAAAGCGATAAGCTTTAATCTTCGAATCAATGTCCATCGTTGAATGAAATGAGAGAAGGACTCTGATTTCCCCATAGATTCGCCAGCCTTTTATATGACCGTGGGCGGAGTTTCCCCTCCTCCCCTTCTCCTCCGCATTCCCTAAAGCAGTTCATCGACTCTAATTGGGAGTCTTTCTCCCATTCATTTCCACCAAAAAAAGAAAGACGGGATGCACTACAGAAAAACGTTAGGCACTCCACCTCCTGAGGCATTTTATGAGAAGAAAAACGAGGCAAGAACTGCCCGTTCTGCTCTTCTCGTTGAACGGATTTCAGATTTCGGATTCAAAACCTAAACAAAAACGTGTCCACTCCATCCCCCATCAAGCACTCAATTGTAAACGGGCTATTAGAGAGCACTTTTTTTTGTGTAAACTGTGCAATCAGAATGTTTTAAACAAAGCAATAGATTAACATAGTTATTCAGGTGGTGATCGTCTCCGTTGCGGGCGCATTTCGAAAAGGGAAAAGTTTTCTACTCAACTTCTTTCTTGAATATCTTTATGCTCTTCAAAGAGCTCAACAGGTTTTGGCTTTCAAATTTTCGATGAAAGTTTATCTAGAATGATTGCTCATTGGATTGGTTGACGGACGATTGTCAATTACATGGATTTCATTGGAGAGCTGGGGCAAAGAGGTAAATGATGTGAAGAAAAAGAGAAATACCGTAAATATGAACAGAACGTCAGTACTCAGTACAGTCGCGTCTAACTTCTTTTTCGAAAATCATTTTTTCTCAGCCTCTAGATTTTTCTCAACTATAGTTTTAGTGCCAAAAATATTAGATTTCAAGGGCTATCATTTGACACAATGTATCATAATGTAGCATAAAGTAGCGCGAAGAACGGGACGTTCAAAGTTAGACTACGCGACTGTACGCCCGTCATTATGGACTGACTGACTGACTGACTGATTGACTAAGATTAAAGATTGAATGTAAAGTAGCTGAAGGAAATTTGATTGAATTAAGGGATACAGGCGGGATGTGGATGTGGGGAGAACCGATTATGATCGAGGGTGGAAGTGGCGACACTTATGCTGTTGTTTTGGTGAGTTTTAATAGGTAATCTTGCTTACAGATTTTAGATCAAAAAATAATTAATTTTATCGTATATTAGTAGATTAGTTTTGGTGAGTTTTAATAGGTCATATGATTTGAGGTAACTCGCGAAAGTTGAGAACCTTTGAGAAAACGCTTTATCTAAGGTTTTTTTAGATGGACACACAAGGAACCTTTGACAATGCCTCCACTTACATGCAATGCACAACCATTTTCGCTCTTTCAACAATTGTCAGCTCTGTACAAATCTACAATCTCGTTGACACGATACAGGTTTTTGAAAACAGAAATCAAAGAAATCAAAGAAATCAAAAAGAAACACTGATTTCCAGGAGGATTCCCTTCAACATCTTTCACTTTTTGTTGAATATGGCCGTTTGGCATTGAGAGAAGCACAACAATTCGGAACACCGTTTCAAGTCGGAAAAAAAACTGCTACTTTTAACAAAACAATTTTAGTCACTAGTCTTTTGTATTCGCGACTTCAAAGCACCCGAAGATTTCCCCTATGGAAAAGAGGGTGGAGTACAATTCCTTGATCAAGTATTGAAAGTCAGTGATTTCACCCAAGCAATGCTTTTGATCCTAAACTTTCAGACAGAACCCGATCAACCAGAAGAATTGAAAACGGTTAGAGAACAAATTCATTCGTGTTTTGAAGAGATTCAATGCTTTTTATTACCCCATCCAGGTTTTTATCTTACTTTACGTTTTACTTAACTCTTTTCCCAGGACATCGAGTTGCTGAAAGGGGATCCTTTCGAGGACATGTCAAAGGTAAAATAATTCAGATTTTTTTCTCAAAGAACTCAAAGAAAAAGAGGCAAGGTTACGGTAATCTCTGAAAGGCGATACGTTTTAAAAAACACAGAGCTGGAAAACAATTAAGAGATGAATTCGTAGTCTACCGTAATCTAGCTAGCTTATTGTAGATATTCGATTCTAGATCTTCGACCAATCTTTCGAGAAGAAGTCCGCAAGATGGTCGTTGCTCTTCTTGAACCGCACATATTGAAACCAAAGGTTTAACAAATTCTCTTGACCTGATAATGCTATGAAATTTCAGATTGTGAATGGAAAAGCGGTGACTTGTCGAAAAATGATTCAATTCTTTAAGGCAAGAAAACTCGAGCTCTATGAGAACTTGAAATTTCCAGGAATACGCGGCAACATTTGATGGAGGGACATTGCCTGAGGCAAGGAGTATTCTCAATGCAAATGCTCGTCTTTTATGTATTGAGGCATGCCATGAAGCAAAACTTACATACTGTCGAGGAATGGATCGAGTGAGATTTCCATTTGACATTATACATTTCTCCCCCTTTAGTCAACTTCTGGTCCAAGAATGATGCCTGAGAAGCAATTACTACGATTACACATTAAACATGGAATTACCGCATTGAATATTTTTGACAAATGCCCAAAGGTAAGGCTATGAAGAGGAATGATTTCCAGAAAAAAAAATCTAGATTGGAGCCTCAGAAGTACGATCGAAAATGTTGGAGAAGTTACAAGAAGATATAAATGTATTGAAAAGAGTGAAATGAATGACTCAAACTGTATTTCAGGCTGAATTAGAAAAGTACAAGCGGGTGAATCTGGAGAAAAGAGTGACTGGTTGTGCATCAGGTACAGTAATCCACATATGTTCAGCGATGTGTTTTCTAAAAAGCGCCGACTTTCGAAAATTACCGTAAGCTTGCCCTTAATCTTATTGTTAGCCAGACTTGCTACTTTCGGTTCCGATTGTAAACCCTCATTTGAAGCCAAGATTACGGTAGTTTTCAAAGTTAGCATAGAAAACTCATTTTTATCCAATCAAAATTTTCAGCAATGACAGCTTGCGGGGACAGTCCACTTTTGGGTGTAGGACTTGGAGCCGCTGCATCAGGTTTGGAGAACAAAAAACTCGAATTTCCGAATTAAATTGAAAAATAAATACATTTCAGGAGCTGTGGCAGCAACAGTGATGACAATGCAAGCAGGTCTCGTCTCGGCAGGAATTGTTTCTATACCGATAGCTCTTGGAACTCTATTTGCAATCTGGGTTCGAACAAAGGAATATCTTATTCAAAGGCAAATTAAGATCTATGTTTACGCGAAACCGTATGTCGAGCAATGTTTTGAGAAAGGAGAAAAGGATGATATCGAATTGAGAGCACTATAATTGGATCCATTTTTGTCATAATTTCAAAACTAAACATAAAATGTGTCTTTTTTCTAGCTCATTTGGTTCTGTGATTGGTGCTTGTTGAGCTTATTTTCTCGATTCCAATATCTCACTTATCGTTTTCTTCCCTGCATATCCGTTTGTCTCGTGCCTTTTTTCACAGATCGTGATAAATTTAAAACTTTAACAATTTAACAACAAATGACAACAATTTCAACGATCTGTAAAAACCAACAAAACAAGACAAAATGAGTCAACCAAGCAAAAACTCACAACTAGCAAAACAATCCAAATTCTAACGTTTATTCATCGGAGTCTTCATCGAAGTCGTCGTCTTCTTCATCTTCTCCATCATCTTCATTGTCCTCTTCCATTTCCACGTCTTTTTGCCCATTTTCCTCGTCTTCCGATTCTTCTTCACTTTCGCTATCTTCTGTTCCCATTGCTTCGTCCTTTAGCAATAGCTCGTCGTCCCACCAATCCTATAAGAAAAATATCGTTTTGAACTATAAAAGAGACCAACCTCATTTTCACTACTGCCAGCGTCTGATTCTTCGATCAGTGATTCCTCATCGTCTGAAGTAGCAACTTCATCTAAACGAAGAAAAAAAATTGCATATACACAAATGGTAGGCAACCTGTATTAAAGACAACGATTGGTTGAGGCAGAGGCTCCAAATGCTTATTGCTTCGCTTTTCAATGTGCTCGACAAGGACACACCTAAAAATTAAGAAAATGAACGATGATGCTATTGGTGTGCTAATCTAAAAATTCAATATTACAAACATTTTTCCATGAAGTGCCAAAAGGCGAGAAGAATTTGTGGCCCTGGTTCTCATCCAATCCATAAGGCCGCCAATTTCCGAATCAAGTGTAGGCAACTGAACAAAAAAGTTTTGGAAAATTTCAAGTGGAAGTTACCGTCGATAAGTAGCTCATGTGCATGGAAATTGTAGCTTGGGCCCATCGCAGCCATGGTCGTATGCTAAAAAGAATATAAAAATACTCCATATCATTTTCCTCTTACTCCATAACATTTCTTGACAATAAATTCGACTCGATGGCCTTTAGAAGCGGCACAATATTCGTTACCGGCATTTCAGCTAATGTTGCCTAAAAAGATCTGTGAACATTTCGAAGCAAATGAAAAATCTACCTGAATAATACTAATGTCCGGCTTAGAAAGAACCGAATCAACCTTCGCTCGGTCTTTTGCCATTAAACCTAAAGTTCAATTTTAAATAAATAAAATTAACAAGATCACCTTGAGTAAGAATGACAGCCATAGATTCCCCTGAAGTAGAAGGTTTTGTGTGGTCCTTGATACCATTGATATTTTTGCTAAAGTTTTTCATAAAAAAATTAACAAAATCATCAGACCTGACATCCCTTTGTTCTAGTAGGTCTTGCTGTTGTCTTTTTTTGAGCTCCCCAAGCGGTGATTGAGCGGTTTTTCGTTTTGGTTTTTTCATCTCTCCGTTCACCTCATTAGTTTTCTCTTTCATCTAAAAATGAGAAATTGAATCTTTATAAAATACCTCACAAAATTATAAACTTTTGTGAAGAAAAACAGTAAAAGCCACGACCAAACTATTAAAAATTGTAAAGGATCGTTTTGTGAGAAATCACAAATGAATGGTGCTAGTATTTTAGTGTACTTTGCAGGGGTGAGGTGATAAAGCAAAAACCTTTTGGCAGTCAAATAATTTGCTTGTAAAACACAAACATTGCGAATGGATACCACGAAGTTTAAAAAAATGCAATTGCAATCCCAACGTTTGCAGATTTGAAATAGACCGCGTAGCGATTCACAATTTAAAGATGTAAAGTGAAGATTCGAGCTGCATAAGTAGGTAAATTAACAACATTTATTTTTATAACAACAAAAAAAATAGACACAAGAATTAAAGCCTATCAGCAATATCCATAGGCATTTCTTCAATGTGCGTCTGATAAAAGGTCTCAATATCCCTCAAATCATGTGCGTCCTTTTCCGTGATGAAGTTGATAGCAGTTCCCTAAATGAAAAAAATTAAATCAAATTGCCCACTTTTTGCAGTCAATCAATTAAATGCCTCACTTTGCGACCGAAGCGTCCCGAACGACCAATTCGGTGAATGTAGTTTTCGCGATTCATAGGCAAATCATAATTGATGACGAGCGAAACCTGTTGAACATCAATTCCTCTTGCTAATAAATCGGTTGTAATCAAAATTCGAGAAGATCCGCTTCGGAAGGCACGCATGATATTCTAAAAAAAGATTTTACAATGATAACAAAATGATTGTTACCTCTCTTTCTGTTTGCTCCATGTCACCATGAATAGATGAAACAGTGAACTGGTTTCGACCAAGATCCTCCGTAATCTGTTCGACACGTTTTCGAGTGTTGCAAAAAATTACTGCTTGAGTGACGCTAATAGCCTTGTACAAATCCAGAAGCGTCTCGAACTTGTTTTTCTAAAAATTGTATTTTTAACGAACAAAACCAAAACACCAACATCTTCGCCGACATCAATGAAATATTGGTTGATTCCTTCAAGAGTAAGCTCCTCTTTTTTCACAAGAATCTTGATTGGGTCTCTCATAAACTTCTGCGTCACTTCGAGAACGTCTGCGGGAAGAGTCGCAGATAACAGAAAAACCTGAAGCACTTTCGTCTAATTAAAAAGGACCATAAAAACTTACTTGCACACTTTCTGGCATATGCTTGAATACTTCATAAATTTGATCTTTAAATCCACGAGAAAGCATTTCATCGGCTTCATCAAGAACAAACATTTTGATATCACTGGGATCTAAACAAATAAGAAAATAAGTATCAAACGCGTAAACTTTACCAAAATATCCCCGATTAATCATATCCAATACACGTCCTGGAGTACCAACAACAACACGAAGTTCGGGAGAGCCGAGCGCTCGCTGATCATCTCGTAGCAAAGTTCCTCCAACGCAGCCATGTACACCGATATTCATGTATTGACTCAAAGCAATAAAGACCTAAACAATGAGTGTAAAGCTTCAAACTACCAAAAAGGACCTTTTGAATTTGTTGAGCCAATTCACGCGTGGGAGCCATTATAAGCGCTTGAATACCCTTTCCAGTTGCCTCGATTCGTTGAAGAACGGAGATGGCAAACGTAGCAGTTTTACCTGTTCCAGATTGTGCCTGAGCAATGAGATCCCGTCCTGAATGACAAACGTAAGACAAACAAGATTATAAATTATTGATACCTGTTATAGCTGGAACAATAGCACGTTGCTGGATTGCTGAAGGTTTTTCAAAACCATAAGAGTAGACACCACGAAGGAGCTCTTCCTTGAGACTCATATCGTCAAAGGTTTCGCAAATCTAAAAGCAGAAGTAAGTAGACAAATAAATTGCAATACTTACCTTGTCATAATTGCTTTCGATCACCCCAGTATCGTCGACCGCAGCCATTTTGACCCCAGTAAACGTATCTGAAGAATGAAACTTATGTAAATGAAGCTTTTACAACCTAGGTAATGAGAACCAAAGAAAGCTAATTAGGTGCTAACAGCTAGATTCCGCGCGTTAATAAAGAAATACAGAAGGTAAGATGCTAAAAACGTTAGGTACCTAGGTGCTTTGAGGGTAATGGGGAGTTGCAACTCACTCAGCCTCGGTACGCTGATCTAATAGACTGCTACAACCTATCATTACATTAAAATGTATCCTTATCCCTTTTCATAGATGTAGCAGATAAGTTAAATACCTGGAGAGGAAGGCATTTATGCAAACTGACATCAGCTTTGTACAACATTGCTTTAATATCTACTTTTCTCATCAATAGACGTTTAAATTCTTTTCGTTTAGATTTGGGGGTGGGACAAATGCGACCTTTTTTCGCTGGAAAAGACCTTCGGAAAGGCCGTAGAGCTTCAAAAATGTTTCCATCTAAGGGAATCGTATGCGTAGATTCCGAATCGACAAATAAAACCTCGCTGACACATCAAATCTGGGCTAAAAGGCAAAAACTAGGCAACTTAACGCTTTTCCGCAGTTTTTTATGAAAATATTTTTGAAGCTCTACGGCCTTTCCTAAGGCCTTTTCCCGCGAAAAAAAGGTAGTTTTTGTCCCACACCCTTAAATGTTGCATACTTTCACGTTTATGTCTCCCAGGTGGTGTGCTTTTTTTACGTTGCAAGGATTGAGCGCAAAGGGAGAACTAAAATTCTTCTTCCTTTGCTTTCAAAACGCGACGCGTTATTTTGCGCTCCGCCAGGATTACTGTATCAATTTGAGTTGGGCCTAAAAATTTTAGACATTTCCATTTTTGCTTGAATATCTTTTATTTTCTTGTCGCAAAAACTTTGCTGTTGCAAGAAATTTTCATTTCTCGTTTGCAACGTTTTGAATTTATGTTCTTTCTCGGATTCCTTTCGCTTGTTTTTACTTAAAGCAACTTCATAAGATTTTTGTTTAGACTTGTGGTCATCAGTAAAACATGGCTCGTGGATTGAAGAAGCATTTGAAGCGCCTTGCTGCGCCCAAGAATTGGATGCTCGATAAACTTGGAGGAACTTTTGCGCCTCGACCAGTGCACGGAGGACACAAATTGAGGGAGTCACTGCCACTTATTCTCTTCATCCGTAATCGTCTGAAGTATGCTCTTACTTATGATGAAGCCCGCAAGATCTGCATGCAGCGCCTCATCAAGGTTGACGGAAAGGTAATATTGTCTTTTGTTCGAGTTAAAGTAGAAATTAGAATAAAATTTCTTCCAGGATTAGTATTGGCTTTAAGCTAGGCTTAATATTGGGGTATCTATTTCATTCTGAAATTTAGGTTCGTACCGAGATGCGTTACCCAGCGGGTTTCATGGATGTGATCTCGATCGAGAAAACGAACGAGACATTCCGTCTCCTCTACGATGTCAAGGGACGCTTCGCCGTGCACCGTATCACCGCAGCTGAGGGACAATTCAAGCTCTGCAAAGTCACCAACAAGTACACAGGACCCAAGAATGTCCCACTCATCACTGTTCACGATGGACGCACTCTCCGTTACCCCGATCCACATGTCAAGGTGGCGTTCTTCTAACTGCTTTTAGTAGGGTTTTATTTAGGTTAATGACACTGTTGTGTTGGATGTTAACAGCGGAAAGATCACTGATTTCGTCCGATTCGAAACTGGTAACCTCGTTATGATTACTGGAGGTCGTAACGTTGGACGTGTTGGAGTGATTGCCCATCACGACCATCACCCAGGAAGCTTCGACATCATTCACGTCAAAGATGCTGTTGGACACACGTTTGCAACACGGTAAGTTATTGGAAACGTGTGGAGAAGGCCGGGGCCATAGGCATAACTTCCGGTCGAGGTCAGTTCCTATTTTGCTGATAATGCTGACAATAGGGTTTCATCCCTGTTACATTACAAAACAGAGCCAAATTATGAAAGATAAGTTTTATTTAAACTCAAATAATTCTTTAGAATCTCGAATGTCTTCATCATTGGAAAAGGAACAAAGGCTCTTGTGTCTCTACCTTCTCAAAAGGGAATTAAGCTGACCATTGCTGAAGAACGTGACCGAAGACTTGCGGCTAAACGGACGACCACTCATTAAATTGTTAATTTTTGAATAAATATTGTTGTTTCTGGCTTTTTGCTAAATACAATGGATTGCTGCACCTTATTACTTAAAACTTTAATGTTCGGGAGTGGGTTTTTCTTCGGCTCGATTTTGAATCAAGTAGTTTGCTGTTTCAAATGCGTTCATGATTCGGGCCGATAGGCCTTTTTTTGTGAGAGGTCAGGCCGAGCAAAAAGAAAATCGTTGAAACGCTGCGTGTCTGAAAGGGCGTGGCTAAAAGTATGTCTTTTTCGGTGGTTGCCCGCAGTTCAGACCCCACGTGGGGCTAAGATTTTCTTTCCTTTTCGAATTGTAAGCTCCGATTTTAACTTTAATTATAGGATGCTGTCGACCCTTGCTAGTTCTCTGTCAAGGTCGTCTGGCCGTCTTGCAAATGTGGGCACTCGTGGAATGTCCTCTGTCAACTTGGACCCACACTCTCAGGTAAATGCTCAATCATTAAATTATTCCAAAAATACATTAATTGATCTGGGTGTGTTGCCTTTAGATAAAAGGACATGATAAGGTTGGATTCACCTGTAAACTAGAAAGTTATTTAGGCCTGAAAGATCTGTAGAATAACAACAGGAGCTTTAGTTTTGATAGTCACACTATCAAGATGTTTGACTTTAGCACAGGGTGGAGGTACCGAATCTAGACACTGTTTTCACGCTTAAATAACAACAAGGTTACTATTTCGCTTTCAATCTTTGAATTTTAGGTGGCCGATGACATGAAACCGATGGAGGAGCAGATCAATCCTTCGTTCTTTAAAGTAGCGTTTTTCTTTTTTTTTAATATATTTCTATTTAGATGGTCGACTATTTCTTTGACAAAGGAGCCCATGTTTTGGAACCCAAGCTTATCGAGGAATTCAAGGGTGGACAGAACCAAAAAGAAAAGGGAAATCTTGTTCGGGGAATTCTGAAGTCAATCAAGCCAGTGAACAAGGTTCGTGGGAGTTTTATTTTTTTGACTCTCATTCTCTAGGTCTTATATATCACCTTCCCCATTCGTCGCGAAAATGGAGAATTCGAAATCATCGAAGCGTGGCGCTCTCAACACTCTGAGCACAGGACTCCAACTAAAGGAGGTTAATTGAGTTGGCATAAGTATTCATTTCATTGCTTAGGTATTCGGTATTCTCTTGATGTGTGCGAAGATGAAGTCAAAGCCTTGTCCGCACTGATGACATACAAATGTGCCGTGGTTGATGTACCTTTTGGAGGAGCGAAAGGAGGAGTGAAGATTGACCCCAAGCAGTACTCCGAGTATGAAATTGAAAAGGTGGTTTGAGATTAATGTTTGTGAAGTTATTTTTCTTACAGATCACTCGACGTATCGCTATCGAGTTTGCCAAGAAAGGATTTTTGGGGCCTGGAATTGACGTACCAGCACCTGATATGGGTAATAATTTTTGAAATAAAAATATCGCTTGATGCTCAGAACATGACTTTCTAACGTAAAAAGTCCTAAAGCTTTGTGTTCTGAATCGCTTTGCATTACGTTTGATGACAAAGTAGTCTACCGACTATTCTAATTTTAACTGCAATTTAATTTTAGGTACTGGAGAGCGTGAAATGGCCTGGATTGCTGAGTAAGTCGAGATTTTGTTTGAATAATATTTATAGCCGATAACAAACGTTTGTTATCAAGATTTCTAATTCTATAAAATTTAGTACCTACGCACAAACTATTGGACACCTTGAGAAAGACGCCTCTGCCTGTATTACTGGAAAACCGATTGTCTCTGGAGGAATTCACGGACGTGTTTCTGCTACTGGTCGCGGGGTATGGAAAGGACTTGAGGTGTTCGCAAATGACCCTGAGTATATGTCTCAAGTAAGTGTTTATTTAGTAACAAGTTCATGCAAAATGTAGATTGGCCTGACTACCGGGCTTGCTGGAAAATCTTTCATTGTGCAAGGTTTTGGTAATGTCGGACTTCACACTATGCGTTATCTTCATCGTGCTGGAGGTATCTGCCACGGAATTCAGGTGAGATTTTACGTTGAGTTTCATTATAGGATAAATCTTTATAACTTTTCTATTTAATTGAGTCACTTTAGGAATATGATTGTGCTATCTACAACCCTAACGGAATTCATCCAAAAGAGCTGGAGAACTGGAAAGATGAGCATGGAACCATTCGCGGATTTCCCGGAGCTAAGAGCTACGAGCCTTTCACCGACTTGATTTTCGAGAAATGCGACATTCTCATCCCAGCTGCTTGTGAAAAAGCCATTCACAAATCCAATGCACATCGTGTTCAAGCTAAGGTAAAATCACTGTTATCTTATCATAAGATAACTAGGATAATTGGGTCAAGATTGGGTTGCTTAATGCTTTTTAGATTATCGCTGAAGCTGCCAATGGGCCAACAACCCCCGCTGCTGACAAGCTCCTGTTGGCTCGTGGTGATTGTTTGATCATTCCTGATATGTATGTAAACTCTGGTGGTGTGACGGTTAGTTTTTGTTTAAAAATCTTTTAACTGGTTTAATCTAGGTCTCGTTCTTTGAATGGCTGAAGAATCTTAACCACGTCTCGTTTGGTCGCCTTACCTTCAAGTATGAGCGTGAAACCAACAGACATCTTCTCCGTGAGTTTCTCCCAGTAATCTGCCAATAGCATCTAAATTTAGAATCTGTGCAAAAATCACTGGAGCATGCACTTGGCAAACCTGCCCCTGTAGAACCAAATGATGCGTTCTTTGTAAGTGGATTATTTTAACACAGTTTTTAAAAATACTTTAGGCTCGCATGGCTGGAGCCTCGGAGAAAGATATCGTTCACTCCGGTTTGGAATACACGATGCAACGCTCAGGAGAGGCAATCATTCGCACTGCTCGCAAATACAACCTTGGTCTTGACATCCGCACGGCTGCATATTGCAACTCGATCGAGAAAGTCTATCACACTTATCGAACCAGCGGTTTCACATTTACGTAAATGAATTTTCCAAATATGCACTGATCTTTGTTGTAGATTTCTTGTTTTTGGGTTTTCCTTTCCTTCTAGTGATAGTATCCATAGATAGTGCATTCTTTTCTAGTTTGATTTCAAATACGAGTCATCCGTAAATAAAAGTTTATCATCAACAATCAAAATTAAAAATGACTAAATTTGTATCCCATATAATCACAAGCATCAATAACCCATTGAGGTACACTTGTTCCGAGGTATTGCTCTTCAAGGAAAGTTTTCAAGAATTCCTGAGCATCGCCGCTGGCTATAGCTTTTTGCACATCACGCATTAAGTCCAGTTGGTGCTTGATATTGTGCATCGATATGAGGTGACATGCGACAGTTTCCTAAATTCTATCGTTTTCACCAAAAAAAGTTTACGAGGGCATTATTTTTTGCCGGGGAATCCCCGAACCAAAAGTCACGCCATTCAGCGAATGCACGCCTCAATCAAAAATCAAAGAAAGTTCACAATCAATCGATATTTTTCGGCAAAAGGCAAAAAAGAAAGGGATACCCCGTGCGAAATCCACTCCAAGATTGTGTTTGTTTTGATGAAAAGATATCGTAGACGGTTCATTTACTTATTTATCGTTACTCTACCTGTACTAGTAAACACTAAAATGCATTTGGCGAAGAACAGACGCCCATTCTCGCTTTGGTCTTATGTTGGAATTTGATTTTCACGGGTAGAGAGGGACGTTTGAATTCGTTTTTCAAAACTTCGAGTAATCTCTTAGTTTATGCAACTGTTAGTAGATTTTTACTTCTTTCAAAAGTTCTAAGAGTGTCCCATAGAAAAGATCATTTGCGAGGCTAGGAGCTATGAAGAGAGTGACCCATGGAAAAGTGTCAATAGATAGTTAAAGGGAAGAGGGAATAGATGAGAGAAAGTGGGCATAGTGTAAGACGAGAGACGAGAGAAATAAAGGGGAAAATAAAGACGGAGAAATGCGTCAGCATATTGCCACAGACAGCCCCCTCCCCTCCCTTCCCCCGTTTTGCTGGGCGCTCCCGATCGACGAAAAGTGGGGAAGGGGCACAGAAGAGGACTAAAAAGATCAAACCATCTTCTCGGCTCGTCTTGCTTCTCAGCAATGATGGGGATAAGTGTGCACGGAAATGAGACAAAAACCCACCCGGGGACTTGTCTTTTTAGCAACTTGTCATTTCGAAAATTTTTAGAGCTCAAGCTTTAAAACTGACCTTTTGTGAAATTGCGTGGATAAAAGCTCGTGTGTAGTTTTGGCAAGTCTCGCAAGTGCATCTAGTTTAATTGAACTTAAAATAAAACGGTTCTCACTTACTTATCATCAATTGGCGTAAAATCGTTGGCGTATTTATTTTGATTAAGCCGCAACTCTCCACCACGTCTCACCAGGGCGGTTCCAAATCTAAAAAATCTAACATCAAAGGATTGATAAATTTAAGGTAATCAACCTCGCAGTGCGGGTAGGGTATACACAATCAAACCTAAACATAATATTATTGTATGTCAAAGAAAAAGTCAAACATATCGGCTCCTAATAGAGAACAAATAACGAGATCAATTGGATGCCCGACACCCATCACATAACGAGGAAGATGTGGAGGGAGTGCCTGGAAGAAATAATGTTGGACAATTCGATTTGACAAGATTTTACCTCACAACAAGTAGCTACGACTCTCCAAAACGCGGATTTCTCTTCACCACCAGATAAACCACCTATGGCAATGCCGACCTGAAAAAAAGTTTGAGGTTAAAACTTGATGTAAGCTTACCTTTGCTCGTTTTGCCATTTCTTCTACACATTCTTTGCGCATATCCATATCGAGGCCTCCCTGCAAAATGAGGTTTAGTTTTACTATCGAACATAAGTACCTGAACGATTGGGAATAGCGTTTGATCGTCACGAGTATGTGCTGCATTGCATCGATCCAGCCAGCTAAAAACAATTTATTTTCCTTAAAATGAGAAAAGTTAGTAATACCGAATGCTCCTTCCCATCGCCTCGCGTACTATCGGGCCCGTTGTTAGAACATGAATCACATGATCAAGTTGCATCATTATATCGGCCCCTAGGCACTAAAATGACTATTAATTTTAAAAAAAAGTTTTTTCGTCAACTTGTTGAATGTGAATGCTTTGTTCGGGGCTAAGTAGCATCATTTCGCCGGTGTGTGGACTTTCAAAATTGACGCCTTCCTCATCAACCGTCATCAATTTAGAAAGCGAAACCATCTAAATTCCTAAATTATTGCTACAAAAAGACTTTGTTACTTGAAATCCTCCGGAATCCGTCAAAATACTTCTTGGCCAATTCATCATCTTGTGAATGCCACCAGCTTTTTTCACTAAACATACATCAATTGAAAAAAGTGACTTTATCACTAACCAAGATTGTGGCCAGGTCGATGGCCTAAATGATAAGTGTTACATAGTAGAATTCGGCAGTCCATCTCGAGTAGTTGTTCTGGTAACACGCCCTAATAACAAAAACAATACGTTGACAAATTTCAATTCGCAAAACCTTCATCGTGCCTTGAGTTCCAACGGGCATGAACACTGGCGTCTCGACGATTGAATGAGGCAATTGAAGTTGTCCCCGTCTCGCCCTTCCAGCGATATTGAGTAATTTGAACGACATCATGGGCGATTCATCTGAACGAGGCAAAACTTTACATTAATTTTTCGCAGTAATGCAATTGTTTTCTAAACTTCCTACCATCATTCTCGTTTTTCGACATCGGACATCAGTTACTCGAAAAATTCTGCCTTTAACTGTAAGTAGGAACCTTAAAAAGTAAAATTTTCAACTTCAAATCAACACCGAATGCACGAGATTAGCATAATTTGTGGTATGTGTTTTGACGCTATGAAAATTTATTATATAAAAGAATGCTAAACTCAAACGTGGCACTATAGAAAAAATACCCATCAAAAATTAAACGAATAATACACAAAAAAAAGACTAGAAAAACAAAATTACTTACACTAAAAAATAAATATGTACAACAAATTGTCGGGGTTTTGCTACATTTAGTTTAAAAAAACAATAAAACATAAGACACTTATTCTTGCTGCTTTCCTGACGTTACTGGATCACAAACTTCTAGAATTGCTCTTCCTTCTACTTCCGACATCGAGAGCTGTTTGAGAACCTGACAAAAAAAAGCATTTGTTTAATTTTTGAACACTCACCATTGATGCTTGATTAGCTGGATAGACAACATAATCGGGCGCTTCAATCTGTCCGCCCGCTATCAAATTTACCAAATTCTGAAATCAGAAAGTTTAACACGGAAAACGCATATTACCTTTAGTTGTTCAATATTTCCACGAGTGACACCCATAATTGCTAGACGATTTCTTGCAACAAGTTTTATTGGAAGTTGCACGTCTAACCCAGAAAGCCCACCAACGAATAGAACTCCACTCTAAAACTATCTTTATATAGGTTTTAAAAACCTTGCTACCTCTGCGAGACATTTCAATGATCTTGTGACTGTTCTCGGGCTTGTGACGAAATCAAAAACAACCTAAAACTTTGTTTGCATCATAAACAGGCATAGACAACAAATTACCTGAACTCCAGTTCTTGCTACATCCTTGGTGCGCATGATCAAATATTCTTCGAACTCTAAAATTGATAAAATGAACTCTGATAACAGTTAAAAATACCATTATCATCCCAATGAACCACAAAATCGGCTCCATTTCTTTCTGCGAGACAGAGACGCTCTTCTTTTGCATCAGCGACCATTATTTTAATTTTCCTGCAAAGAACAAATAAAAAACCTATTAAAACAGCCAACTTTTCATTGTTCATAGTCAGAAAGTGCTTCGCCAATTTTAGAAGCCACAACCCCAATCCGCCGGCACCAACAATTAGAATATTACAGAAACCTTTTGAATGAGAAAAAGCTTCAACAATCGGACGGGCCTAAAACAACGTAATTGAGCATTCCAAAGTACAAAATACCTGAAGAACGGCAGAAAGAGCCCAAGTAGCACCTGCAGGTAAAATAGAAGCCACATGCATACTCATCGATTCCGGAATCTAAAAATCCAACCTTTACAGAATCTTCCTCACAAATAGCCCACCTTTACAAGATAATTTAGAGTTGGAACAACGACGAAATCCGAGTAGCCATGGGCAGCCATCTCATCAGTTGGCCATACAATGACCTAAAAAATCAACTAAAGTGAAATTTTACAAACTAACAGAAATAACATTGTCAAGTAAATACCTTATCTTCTAGCCTGAGACCGAAATCATCCGGTTTACAACGATCTCCGAAAGCTTCGATTTTTCCGGAGACTTCGTATCCTGTAAAATCATGTTTTTTTGCTCAACCGCGTGTAAACGGGTAAAACAGTCCACAAACCTGGGAATAAACTCGTGTCTTTGATCCCGTTAGTGATCCGAGCCTGTTTTGTGTTGGTGACCTCGCGATCCGTGAGACAGACACCCGCGTAGCAAACCTAAATGAAAATTTTAACGTGGAAAAGAATGTAAAGTTTACTCGAATTCGAGCTCCATCTGGTGGCACTTCGGGCATCGGCTCCTCTTCAAAGAACTTCACCTAAAATGCAAGATTACAGAGCATACAAGGGAGTATTAAGGAAAGGTTTTTACTATTATTTGTGTACATATAACCACCTCTTTTAGATCCTTCGGGCTTCCAAGGGAGATACGACGATTTCGACTTACTGACATGCCTAAAGAAATATGTAGATAAAAGAAAAATTCAACGAAGAAATTTAACAAGAATGTTTTTGAAATGAAAAGCACGTGGTTGTGGAATTGAGGGAATGGACGAGGGCGGAAAGGGGGTTTGATAGACAACAGGGCATTGCTTTTGCCGTGAAAAGACCGAGAAATTTGAGGAGAGGAAAAGGGCACAAATATCAAACACAAATAATTGCTGATCATCGGGGCTTTTAGATGTGGGGAGAAACATATTTTTCCCCGATTCTTCCCGACTCAACGACACAGCTAACAGAGAAACAAACGGGGATATGGAGATTTGAGGGGTTCTAATGGATTGCTACAGTTAAATGCTATAGTGAACAGACGAGATACATGACGGAATGATACAGTTGCATCCAAATTTAAAAACCTGTTTATTTATGGGTTCATTCATAGTACCCCTTTATTTTTTTCCGTTTTTGCAACTTTTCTTCACTGAAACGTTACTTTACTCGTGAAAACATAAAATCACACAAAGCGCCCGTTTTTCACCAAGAATTCAACTGATTTCAAAAGTCAAAACTGAAACAAAATGCAACAAATTGTAAACAAATCGATGAAACTTTCCAAATCAGCAATAATCAATTAAGGAATATGCAAAATAATAGCTCAAGTGCGCGGGAGAGTCGAACCAACAACCCCATACTTTTGCGCGGGATTCACGTCGCGCGCCTTAGACCACTCGGCCACGGCTTCCCCTTATGTTTTTGGTGTATTTTGCAAAATTTCTTTAAAGATGTTATAACTTTTTGTAGAGTTGAGCAAACTTTATGCTTTTTGCATTAAAATGTTCGTAAGAGTCTCTAGAATAAAACGTATCCCCTCGTTTTTTGTTCTAGACCCTGATTGTCGAGTTACGAGCCCCAAACTGCAGGTACCACAAAATGACCAAAAAACCGCTAAAACTAAATTTTAAAAATTTCTGTCAGAGGGATTTGAAAAATTCCTTCAGATTCGGAATCAGCACATTTTTCCGCATCTAAAAAAGGTACTCCCAGAAAAATTCGATAGAAAACGCATTTTTGCCTTATTTCGCGCCGATGTGCAGTGCAAAAGTCTTGTCCCACTTACTTTTCTGAAACATTTTGTCAAAATTCTAAAATTTTTCGAAAACAACTTTTCAAGTAACGGGTTTTTTTAGTAGCTTATCCCTTCATCTTTTACTATGTAAATGCCCGTACTCCAATATTTTGTTGTTTTTTTAAAACCTTTTTTCGTAAAATTTGAGAAAAAAAGGTGGTGCAAAAGTCTTGTCTCACTAAGAAAATTTGTATTTTCTCTTTGTCTTTGTTTGTTTTCATGAATTTTTTGTATTATATTTTTATTTTTAGATGTCGACTCGCAAATATTTATCAACTCCTGATAAGCAAAAGATCGTGCAAGCAAAGAAATATGGATATTCATCACCGTCTATTGCGATGCTCTTCAAATGCAATAAAAGGACGGTGAATCGGCTAGCAGCAAAATCGGAAGCAGGCCAAAGTCTTCATAGAGGCTTCGAAAAGTGGTGGTCCACCGATTACAACAAAAACTGAAGATCGAGCACTTATCATTGACCATAGAATCGACCCGAATCTGACTTCGAGCTATGGAATCGTTGAAGTTGAAGGCCGTGTCTAACAAAAATATTTCTCGATGGAGCATCAACCGTCGCTTTATTCGAGCAGGATTGCATGCAAGAAAACCAGCAAAACGACCCTTGACCATCGCAAAAACTCGGAAGCTGAGATATGATTTTGCAAAGAACTACGAGTGTTGGACTTCCGATGACTGGGCCCGAGTCATTTTCACCGATGAGACTAGAATTAATTTATACTACCCGGACGGTAACCATTTAATCAGAAGACCAATTGGACAACGTTATAGGCTCAAATATGTTAAGCCAACGGTCAAATTCGGTGGTGGGAGTATTATGTTGTGGGGTAAGTGTTCGCCATATTTTTCACTGACGATTTGTCTTTTTTAGGCTCGATGAATCGAAGTGTATCGGGACCGCTATTGTTTATCAATGCAAATCTCGATGCTCAAAGGTACAAGTCAATCATAGAGAATAACTTACTTCCATTTGCAAACACGAACATGCCACAAGGATGGGCCTTATATCACCACAGCGTAAATTATTGGCTGAATAGGGCACTTTGATTTTGAAAAACTTTTGGCCAACCAATGGCAAAGGCGCTTTAATTTAACTCAATGGCAACATCGTGCCGGCCGTCTTTTCAAAGAAATGATTTTTCGTTTTTGTTTCACTGTCAGCTTTTGACAGTGCAAACATTAGCGGCTTTTTGAATCACCACGTTTTTCTTTTCTTTTCATTTTGCGTTTATTATTGCTATACATCAAGCTTCATTTTTGTGTTTAGTGGTCATGTTTTAATCCAAATCCTAAAATGCACGATTGTCGTAATGCCCAATTCTTGAATAATCTTCTTAATTTTTTGTGGGTTCTTAATAACTGCTTGCCTCCCCTCCCCCCCCCCGTTTCTTTTCCAGTCGTGTTGTCCATAGAAGCGTATCGTTTTCCCCCTAGATTTCCACGTTCACAGCAAGCATCTTTTGCTGGGTGTTTTACAGTCTTTTGCACAGCGACATCGACCATCTTTTATTTATTTCTCTTGTACACTCACAGCTAGATGATAATCAATTTTTACTTTAGAGTATGGACCTCTCTGCGAGAATGGAGGCTGAACGAGAGCTCGGCAAGATGGGAGCAGATCAATTGAGTATGGAGCTTTTAAAGACAACGTTTATTTTTCTTTTTAGAGAGAGAACGTGTGGCCATATCGAATGACTTGAAACGACTTCAAGATCAAATCGGAGATCTCGCCTTCAATAATTACCGCACATATGCTAACGCCAACCGAACGACCAAACATTGCCAACAAACTGTAAGCGGTGTGTATAATAATGTTAATGTATTGTTTTCATTTAGTTTTCGGAGCTCAATGGGATTCTTGGCGATATGTCTCATCAGATTCCGTCCGTGGTTACAGAGGTTGTATGATATGCATTATTTAAATAATCAAAGTTTTAGGTGAATGCTTTAAACAACATACTGAAAAAGCAGCGCCTTCAAACTGGCATCTTACAAGAAGCCGCGGGAACTGAAAACCCAATCAAGAAGATTCTCGAGATGCCAGCGGTATGTTTCTTTACAGCTTGTTTATCAGCTAAATTTTCCTAGAAAGTTTTAATGTCGAATTTACATCCAGTCTATTTAGTTGATGGATTTATGTATTCGCACGGGTTCTTATGATGCTGCTTATGCACTCACTAACTTTGGAATGACTCTCAATCAACAAATTGCAACTCTACCTGATGGAGAATATAAAAAGCTTTTTACGGTGGGTGCTCATTGGTATATCGGTTATCGACTATTTTTAGGATGTAGCTGAGCGCCTTATTGCTTCAAGGTCGTTTCTATTGGAAGAGCTTTTTAATAAGTTTGGTGGACCTCTTGATTTAGCTGAATCAATTCAGGTAAAGTATAATTCAAAATTCAAATAACAGTGTTCTTTTAGGTTGTGAAAAACGTGCGCAAGATCCCATATCTTACAAGTACTCAGCTGCGTGTTTCCATCCTTCAATACAGGGATTTATACTTGGATAAGCAAATCCTCGATGTGTCGGTATCTTTTATTTTATAAACCAGAATGTTAAAAGGCGTTTAGGCCAACCCCGAATTTGCTCTACAAGCAATTGAAATTTATCGCAACTGTATGTACGACACAATGGTCCTTTACATGGCAGTGTTTCCTGAAAACGAAATTGTGCGACGAGATGTAAGTAGACTAAGAGCACCGTTTTTACAACTTATCTGTTTAGCCGGGAGTTGATCCACGCTGGGAGCAATGGTCAGCAAACAGTCCATCTTCTGTTCTAGCTGAGTGGGCAATCCGTAATGTTTACCGTCTTCTCGAATTAATTGAACGTGCCGATATGAAGTAAGTCTATTAGTTTAATCGACTTATGTTTACTATTTTTAGAAGTCAAGTGGATATGTCTGCAGTATGGAATAAATTGATGGCCTTTGGAGCTTCGTTTGGTCGAATGGGACTCGATTTTCGTCCCTTAATTGCCGATTCGCTCATGACAATGGTTAAAAAGCGTTTCGTAGATAATGTTCGTCAAGTTACACATCGGTAGGATTTAAATTTGAGTGTTTATATTAGGTAATTGTGTTTAGGCTTGTCAACGACGTAAAAAGAATCGAAGTTCACGGTGGAGATGCAAACTGGGATTCTGCGGGTATGAAAGCCAACGTTAATGGTAAGTCATAGACCATGAATAATTTACCTTTGTTCTATTAACAGGTGGACCTCCTCAACCAGCAGCTGAAATCTCAATGTGCGACGAAGTGAGTATGCAAACGCGTAATTTGCAACATTTTTGTATTTCAGCTATGTATCTATGGAAATGGAATAGTGGAGTCACTGAATGTGCTGCGATATTCCTTGAGTCCAATACTGGTATGTCTTTAGCTTAATGATTTTTGTCAATGACACGAATTTAGCTGCCATTTGTTGTGTCTACTCTCCGCGATTCGTTGTTGTCGATCTTTTCTTGGTTGAGTTCGCATCGCTCATCGGTTCATTTTTCCCGTGCTGTTCGCATACTGGCAATTCATTTAATTGATTTCTTCAACAAGTAAGTTTTTTGTGTTTTCGAAGATAATATATGCTGTTTTAAGGTGTATCTTATTCTACTTTCCATATTCTACTATCAATCGACTCTATGGATCTAGTCTGCCTCGCCACGAATACGTAAATTTCATTCTTTCTTATATCTAATTCTGTTTGTTTCAGGAAAAAATTTGCCATTTGAATGTTCGCGATATTCTGAATGAATGTGATGGTGGCGAAACGATGAAAGAGGTGATTCAAAAACTTACGGATTTGTCTATGGTTTTGTTCCAGATTCTTCAAACCGATTTGGAGCCTCCAAAAGTTGATGATGATGTCTTAGAAACTCTTTTAGCCAAGAAAATACCAATCGCAGATTTTTCTAAATCAGGTTTCTTCTAGTTTCAGCTGAAAAATAAAGCGTTTCTTTTAGAAGACAATGATACAACTTCTGAGCCGCCTCCCGAAGATGTTTTGCTGAATGCTGCGGAAAATGCTCCAAATTCAAAACAGCCTGAAGTAATTTCAACAATAGCCTCAAAAAATTTAACTTTAATTTAGACATTGCATTTGGGCACAGCTCCATCATCCAGTAGCACTACAATTCCAAACGCTCATCCTGATGTCACTATTGAATCTACTCAATTGTCAGATGTATTGATTTAATTTAATTTCTTTTATTTGGTTTAACCTGTTTTAGATGGACATTACGGAATCATCATCTTTGACTGAAGCTTTGCAGACAGATTCGACGCCTCTGTCATCGGTATGCATCTTTTATGCCATTTCTATTTTCTTGGTTTTTTAGATGGATTTGGTTACGACATCCAGCGGGCGAATGGTTCCAACAGATGTCACCTCCTATAACACTGCTAGGACGAGGTAGAGCTAATCTTCTATGTATGTCTAATAGTCTTTTTCTTTAGCGTTCGTTTTTCAATTGACGGTGATGAAGATGTTGACAGTGATGATATTAGCGAGACAAACGATTTGAAGACGCACCACTCTTTCCAGTCGGCTCATTCACCTTCAAACATGTCTATTGCTAAAACGGATACATTGCTTGGTTATTTTTTTTGAGATCTACTTGCAACCAGGTTGCTTAGATGCTGAAAATAGCCGTGGCCATAATATTTCGATTGAAAGCGTTGATGAAGCGGCTACCAATAATGATGAATGGGGATGGGGTGATGATTCTGTGGATCCAAATGAGCCTATGAATGATGGTGACACTGTAGAAATTGATTTGAATGAAGAGGTTTGTAATATATTTTTCGAATACCTAGGTACGTTACTTTGGAGCGTTACTTTTAATAAGTTAAGTTTAATAAGTTACACGTTAACTTTAGGGTAAACGTTGTACATTGTGAACAAAATTATTTTTTAGCACAACGTTCCACCGATGAAGTCGCCAAAGAAAGATGGTAAAGCCGACTAAAACTAACCATTGCACGTATTCATTTGTTTGTTTTTCATCGTGTATACACGGTTTTGTGATATTTTATGGGTGATAATATGAATAATAAATTGTGATAGACATTTCAAAAGGGATTTTCTTCATCGCTAAAAATGGTACTTCGGAGTAGGGGAGAGGTTTCATCAATTTCTGCTGGAAATTTAGTTTGTCTATTTATCTAATTGGATATCGTTACCTCGCCTAGCGATTCCTCGCCTCTTTTTCACAATCATCACGAGTGAAACAAGAGATACAACCATGACACCCATACCCATGAAAAGCTGGAACTTTATCGTGTACTCGTCAATTTCTCACAAAGCCTAACCACTCCGAGAAATGGAAATGACGTCTCTCGAATGTTGCTTACACCACTATCAATAATCATGTTCCTTGTCTGAAATAGGCTGGGCTTTTTTTTAGTAAGATTCGTGTTGGTCAAATTAAAAAAACGTAAATTTCGGTTTTAAAAACAAAACAAAGATTGATTTTTTGTGGATATTTATATGAAACCTGCCTCTAATTGAATTGTTTTCTTCTTTTCTCCTTTTGGCACACAAGAAATCGAATTTTCGATCGTTCGCAAATACGGACAATCCTAGAATGGAAATTGGGGAAATTGAGAATGTTCAGAGAAAAAAAATGAAGAACACATGGTGGCTTTCAGCCATTTTTGTGTAGATTGTAGCAAAAAAAAAGATAAGGATGAGGGAAAAAGAATACTCAATTCATTCTTTTCATTCTCTTTTTTTTTCAACTAACTGCTGCCGGACAGGCGATCTGTGGAAATTCATAGTCGACCGGGGAAAATGTCGAACGATTGTCGACATGCTAAATCCTCTATATAACAATCTTTTTTTTCTCAATTTTACCTCTAAAACATTCCTCCAAATTGCCTTCGCCATTGCATCTTGCATTGCTCGCGAAAAATGGAAACAATCAAGTGCGATGATTCCGAGATTTGGACCATTCTGTAAAATGATTCCTCTAACTAATAAGCTAGCTGGCGATAATAAGCTGACTAATAAGCCATTCCACTCATCCTCTTTACGTTCAATTCTTCAATTTTATTCTTTTTTTATAAGTTTTGGCTTTACAGTCTCGAGATTGTGCAAGAGAAAAAAACTGGCGAAAAAAACCCGAAAAAAAAACGAAACGAAAAAAAAACCGACGAAAAACACCCGAACAAGTTACAGTAAGAGAAGAATTTTTTACATTCAAATATCAGTCTAAGTTCCCATTTTTTGAGCTGTGATCTAATAGAATTCCCAAGTCGTGAATCAACTCCAAAGAAGAATATCATGCTTTAGCACCGAGCAATCAATCCATAAATTGTAGCCAACCTCGTATCTCGGCAAGATATCCAAAGCGGTTGTCGGAGAAATCGAGACGGCAAAAGTCTCCGTTTGATAATCGGATGCTTAAAGGTGATAAAGTTTAAAGTAAAGTAGACAAATGGCCCTACAAACGCTTCGAACTTGCTTCAAATCTGCCGCATTCACATGATCTATAGCTCAAAAAGATAGAGAACCTCAAGAGCTTTCGAATGGACCAAAGTACACCCAAAAATACCAATGCTAAAGAAAGCTACAGTGGCTGATAGCCTCCCTCGATCGCTTCGACTACGCGCGAGTACGGTCCGTTTCGAGTCAGGACTACAAACCACTGTAACTTTCTTTTGCATTCACATTTTTTGGTGTGTTTTAGTCCATTCGAAAGCTCTTGAGATTCTCGATTTTTTGAGCTATAGATCATGTCAATGCGGCAGATTTGAAGCAAGTTCGAAGCGTTTCTAGTGTGACAGTTCGCCATTTTTGTGTCTGAGCCCATGTCTCTAAGTAAAGTATAGAATTCGTACCATAAAACCCCTTCAGCGATTCATCGAAATCTTTTTTGATTCTCGTGAATTGCTCTTTTGATAAAACTGTGATACAAGGGCATGAGACTCTGAATTTTTTCTATCACCACGTCACCAATTTCCCCCGTTTTACTTGTGAAAATCGGCACAAAAATCGCTAAATCGGTGTGTTTCGACGAGAAATTGAACGTGAATCGGTAAGACGATATTGAGATATGTTCGTGGGAGATTGGATCTGCAAATTTCTTGATTTTTCTCCAGATTTTCACATCTCCATTTTCACCTCAAATATCTGACAGTTTTCGTCATTTTCTCTTTAAAGTTCTCCAGTCCGTAGCGAGTCTGAAGCAATTATTTCGAAAATTTCATAAAATAAAATATCTTACAGAATTTGTGCATATTTTGCAGAGATCATTTGAGCCGATGAAAAGATTCACGAATTTCCACGATTTTTTGAAGTCGGCTGGGTGATCGATAAGGATTTTCGTGACCAAGTGTTGAGCCTGAGATTGAATAATTGAATAATTGAAATTGAAATCTTGCTAAGCATCTGCTAAAGCTCAAAAATCAGCTTTTAACATTGAGCTCAAGATACTAGTTTGGGAATATTTGGCAATCAATTCACTGACGATAAAACATCAATATTATTGCCAATAAACCCCTTCCCCTCTGACCTGTGCATAAATATCATTGGCCACAGCTCCCGAGATTGCTAGGTTCAAACCCCAATCTTTCGAATAATTACTGCGCGCCACATTTGATCCAATAGCTCCACCAATTAAAGGAGATGAAGAAAATGAGGATATTATATCTGGAATCAATCCTCACTCCTAAAAATCATCTTTTCCATTTCACTCACTGAACAGAGAAGCTTGTTTATCGATAGTTTCATCGTTTCCCGTTGCGAAGCTCACCCCACGATATTCTGTATCCAAATCGGAGAAATTCTCGGCTAATGTTGCCCGTCCGGCCTTTTTTTTGAGGATATAGTGTAATGCATTGATTATTTACCGTTAAAGAATCTCCAATTGAAGCAACGATTCGAATATTTGATGGATGGAGGGAATTGACGTTATTTGAGGAGAATGGATGGATGCTTGATGGTGAAATGGAAGGACAGGATGGAGATCCGAAGGGATATTCTGAAATGTCGAATGGAATATAAATTGACGAATAGAACTGATTGGACTCTTGTTCATTTAAAACTTGCTTTGCCACTTAAAATACCCAGAAGAACAGGCAAGTGTTATACTTTTTTTGCCATGTCCGTCTCTAGCTGTACACTAGACATGTGTCATCGGGTCGCCAAATGCATTCTAGCAAATGACTTTTGTTTTCTAAAACGTGGATACAATAGAAAACAAAAGCCGTTTGCTAAAATGCATTTGGTGACCCGATGGCATATGTACTGTACATCTACTGTATATCTACTATACATCTACTCTACATCTACTGTACATCTACTGGACATCTACTGTACATCTACATCTACTGTACATCTACTCTACATCTACTGTACATCCACTGTACATCTACTGTACATCTACTGTACATCTACTGTACATCTACTGTACATCTACTGTACATCTACTGTACACGAATCTCACCAGCTTCAACTTTATTCGCCCATCTTGCGTGTAATTGACGGAAATGCTCAAACTCGGGTCTTTTTTTGCTGGCTACCTGGAAATTTGTATTTTGTAAAAGAATCAGAACTAAATTAATTTGAATGGATGACTCACCTCAATAATACTCGACGATAAAGCATTGTTGAAAAAGAAGTTTTGTAGTAAAATATGAAAATGAAATGAATGGAAAACGAAAGAATAGAGCATATTTTGAGTGATTGAACCCCGTTATCATTTCTCTTTCCTCCTCTCTCTCACAAATCTTTTCCCCTCAAATTCTTTGTTGTCTTGCCTGTATTTTGAACTTTCTGAAAAGTTAAAAGTAATCCAATATTTGTCGGAATTTGATTCTCTTATTTTGCACTTATTTTCAAAACCCTTCTACAACACTCCTGTCATTCGTGTTGACAAAGAGCCGGATAGAATAGGCTTTAATTTAAAGCTGGGTCCGATCCGAGTGGCTTATGGTTAAAACCAAGAAGCCTCGCTTAAGCCAGTTTTATTGTCAAAGGTTTCTATAGATATCCATCTAGGACAGGCACTGTTCGTTCCTTATCTAAATGCAGGCTTATCTAATTCTTATCTAATTTTAACTACGGACTGCCTAGTCCGTTCAGTGCGCTAGATAATCAAATAGCTTTTGCGTTTTAAGAAAACGAAAAAACACAATCATGTTTACTCTCTGAAGTCGTAATTTATTATGACTCTCATTGCTCCTTGTTTAATTTGAACAAAATTGAATTAAAGAAGAGAAGGAGGATGTTTTGTTGGTTTGTAAAGCCTAAAATTAACATTTGGTTAATAAACTAAACCCTTTTTCATTTGAAAATCTCGATTTCCAAACATTGTTCTCACTGGAAAGGTGAAAAGGGCTTTGCACTTGTCTAATCGTAATTTATAAATCGATATTTGGGTATATTGAGCGGAAGACAGTTTTTATTCGTCACACAAGAAAAACTTTAAAACAAACAAAAGAAAAAAAAAACAACACACGCTTTTGAAATGGCGAAAGGAAATTGAATAAATATCAGTGTTTTGAAGAAAAGGAAGCTTAAAAAAAGAAGAAAAAAAGAAAAAGGAGATCGTTTTGAATGAAAAAGGGATATTTGAAGAGATTTGAAGAGATTTGCGTGATGATTTCTCAGATCAAGTAAGTGGAAAAACTATTGTGAGAAAAGAAAATAAAAGTGAAGAAGGAGAAATCATCGGAGAATCTGAATGCAATCAAACAAATATTTCGGGAAATCAAAAAAAAAAGAAAAAAGAAATCACAATCAAGTTGACAAAAATAGCGAAAAAATTTACCCGAACTCGTGGATACACACAACCATGGGGAAAAGCTCGTTTAGATTAAGGTTTCGCATTAAAAAAAAAGTGCAATCGAATTTGGGAAATCTCTTGGGTTTGCGAAATTTACAATAATTTAAACTAATGCACAAATTGGAAACAAACAAAATTAGGATAGGTTTTTGAAAATCCCCTGAATTTAAATGATTTCGTAAACTTTCACCATTTGGCGCACCGTTTCCTTTGGGTTTTTAAGAATCCCCTACTCTCTTACATTCAATATTTTCTTAAAACTAGCATGAGAACCCAGTTTTTTCTTCTTGAAATTATCCATGAAAGATCGCTCAAAAGATAAGATCCAAGAGATTTCCCTCTTTTTTTTCTAATTCCTTTTCCTTTTCTTTTACTCAACACAATCCCATACTCTTCAAATTCTTTGCAATAATCATATCCAAACACGCATCCAATACAAATTGCACATTATTTGTATCTGTTGCACACGTATGATGACAATAAATCTCTCGTTGAGATGATCGATTTAGCTAAAATGATGAAGATTTGAAATGATCAAAATATTTGAAGAAGTATACTTTTCAAAAAGATTCGTTTTTCTTTTATAGATTGGTCTTCAATTCAGATTTCATAAGGATTAACGTATCGTAAATACTCTAATAGTACCCATCCCATAAATCTAAACGTTTTATGGGATGGGATTCGGGTTTAATTGGTTTAATAATTTGGTTTTAGTTCATTCGGACGTTTAGGGTTGTTTATGGATTAATGTAACATCTAATAACTTACCGTAATAGTACCCCACCCTCCTCGTATAGTCGCGTAGTCGCAAAAGTTTTTTAATATTTCATTTTTTTTCAAAGCGCCCGTACTCTCAAAAAATGCGTCTTTGGTATCAAAAAAATAGCTGAAATTCAGCGCTATTTTTTGATACCTAAGCGCGCATTGTAGCATAAAACAGTGTCGAGAAAAGCTCGTTCAAAGCTAGACTACGCAACACTTCGCACCGTCATTATGGGGGTGGGGTACTATTAAAGTATTTACGGTAGTGATTCTAATAGAACCAATTTTGTGGTGGTTGGAAAATAGAAGCGCAGCGTCTAATAGAAACAATAACTATGGATATTCAGTTTAGTAGACTGAATACCCTGAGTTTTGAGTCTTTAAGAATATAAGGTTATATAACCATTTCCTTGAGAAAAATAGCATTCTTTCACATTCGTTTTGCATAAGTAGTGGCAATTTTGATAAGCTTTTCTTGTAATTAGGAGGTTATTTGGATTGAATGTTTAACTTAGACTAGGTTAAATTCCGTAGAGCTTATGATAAATTACCGTCTTTTCTCTAATAGTAGTGCACCCTGAGCGTCGCCTAGATTGCTCGAAATCTCGAGAACCGTTTATCAGAACCTATCGATGTGGGGTCGGAAAATGTAGCTCACGATGAGATCTAGTGGGGGGTTTGAGTGTTGAGCTTCTGCAAAAGCTTCGAAACCGTAAAATAGTCACTAACTCGGCTCGCCGGGCTGCACTACTATTAGAGAAAATACGGTATGCCATAAAATTCTCATAACTAAACATTTTGACGTTTTATATTTTAGCAGTCAATCCTTTAGCAAAGAATTTTTCTTGCTTGGGTTTTTCTTAGATTATTATTATTATTATTATTATTGCTTAATCAGTAGCTTTTCTTGCATTTTCTTGCATTGACTGCGATAGTGACATCTCGATTGAAGTCGATGACTCTAACGGTAATGAAATCGAGAATAATGCTTTTTTTTGACCATTCAATTGTTTTTAATTAGTTGTTACCTAAAGGTTTCCTTTCTACGAACTTCTACTTCATCAATTTTTTTTAGTCATTGAAAAATAGAAGCGCCGCCTTTGATAGAAGCAATTTTGTGGAATGATTGAAAAATAGAAGTGCATGCTATTATAATAAATACGGCATATATGTTTTGAATACACTCAAATCCCATTTACCCCGATTTCACTACTCAATTACCTGTTCGAATTTCCATTGAATATAGTTGATACATTCTGTCTGATTTTGTTGCCCTTAAATGTTTCCTTTGATCTTTAAACCAATTTCTCGAATCTCACCTTTATATTCCGGGAAACAAATCGTTAGAGGTGATCGCTGAATTTTCTCAGCGAAAAGATCCTTTTTGTTGAGGAAAAGAATGAAATGAATATCGGCAAACCATGGACTGTTACAGATTGAATCGAACAATTTCAACGATTCTTGCATTCGATTCTGAAACGAGTATTGAAGGAGGGAAAGTTCAATCAATCGACAAGTTGCTGGGCATTCAAATTTCTAAAATTTGTTGACTTTTAAAAACTACCATATCAGGCCAAAAGTTTGATCTGATTGAAGAACTAGAGCCAAGAGTACGGTAGTTTTTGAAAGTCTCACAATTTAGAAACTCAATTGTTTGAGAGGAACAAGTTCTAATGCCAATCAAGACTCATTTCTCTTAACTCTGGCATCGATTCCTGCGCTCTTTTCTCGATGAGAACCCCGACTCACCGTACAATTGTCTTCTCTCAATGTCTGATCATATTCTGAAAGCGATGAGATGAAAATGATTGCATTAACATTATCGAAGCAGTGTATCCATTTTTTCCTCTCCGATCTTTGTCCGCCAACGTCGATCACCCTGAAAAGCATTCAATTTGGATCTAGAAGATAAATCTAGACAATTCAACAGTTGCTACGATAAAAAAGGACTTTCAAATTGACTGACTACAAGTTTTCGGTTTTGATTTCTTTGAGTTCTCAAACTTTTCATAAATCTTAGCCACTTTTAACAATAGGGCATGGTTCAACTTGACCTTATTCTTTTCAAAGGTAGCATCAAAGTTTAAAAACTTTGCATCAACAATTTTTATTGGCACTCCTGTAGCCCACCTGAACGTCAATCCTTTCAATTCGAAAAGCACTTCAGTAATGCCAGTTGTTTTTATCCTCGTTCTCAACAAATCTTGCTCGGTGGGCACATAATTCGGAGCCGATAATCGGGGAAGATTATCCAAAAAGCTGAATTGGAGAAATTGAATTATGGATCCACAAATAAACGAACTATTTCGCTGAGTCATCGATCTGATATTCATTGCTTCGTCGATAACACTCACGAACACCCGAATCGGCCCACAATCGTTGCATTGCCTGGAATCGAGGAATAGAAAGTTCAAAGATTGATATGAATATCAGATCGATGACTCAGCGATCTGAGATTCATATCAATCTTTGCAAGCTTGGTTTTAGATTCTATTTCTATATGTTGATCAAAGTTTTGTCAAGTCTTAGAAAAAATGGAAATCCCTCGAATTTTGCTTGTGACTGAAGTAATTCTGGAAGAGATTCAAACGAAAAACAAGGGTATGATTGTAAGATAACTGGGAAATAAGCTGTGTAAATTGTAAAGCTATCACTTTTCCTTTTGTTATCAAATACTGACCGATGCCAATTCCTCCGTCAATTCTTCTTTATTCGCGTGAACGGTGGCAAAGACGAGTTGACTGTCTCTCTGCAAAAGGGAATATTATTCTTGATCACATCATTAGTTTCCTTTCAGCAAAAGCAAACAATTCTAAAATGTATCAAATTTCGAAAACTACCGTAATCCTTGTATCTATCCATGAACAAGATTAAGGTAATTGTCGAAAGTTGACACTCCAGAATTGCCTCAATAGTGTTTTTGATTAACTCTAATAAAAATTTTTCTAATAACCCTGCATAAATTTTTTCGAGATCTTAAATTTGGAAGGTATCCTTTCTGTACCTTCACTCCTTTCCTTTCCCCAATCAATCCTCTCTTCATCTCTCATTCATTATTGCTTATTGTGCAAAAAAAAAAAAAATAGATCTCGATATCTCCAGGATCCCCTTGTCAATGAAAGATTTCTTTCTCCATTCGCCCTTTTCCTAAAAGAAATCTTTTGTCCCATATTCTTCATCATAAATTCACGAGTAAAAGCTGGTGATTGTCGACAAAAAAAATGGAAAAAAGAGAAAGAAATCGTTTAATATTGGCGTTGAATTGCTTCTCTTTTCTTCTCTTGCTCTCCTTTGGGTTGCCCCTTGAAAATGGGCTTTAAAAATGAGAAATTACACCGGCAAACGATCGTTCAATACCCGTTGTACTACAAGAAAAAAAGGGGTAATAAAAACTTTTTGAAGCTTCACAAGAACAAATTTGGAAATAAGCTTTAAAATTGAAGCAGAGTACACTCTGCCTGCCTCTGCAGAGTACACTCCTGCCATTCGTTTCACACATCAATGTATGGTTTAAAAGTTTAGAAAACTTGCTGCAGTATGCTCAATTTCTGGATCTATCAGTAGTTCTCGAAAAAAAAAACCCCTTTAAAATGTGCAATTCCTCATTAAAATGATGTCTATTTGCGTGCCAGATGTCTATTTTCTTTTTCGGATGCATGTAAAATACGCACAACCTAATTTTCTCCAAAGTTAGCCTAGCCGATAAGCAAATCTTATCTAAAGTTATTCAAAGAGTTATCCAATCCCTTTCTTATCCTAAAGTTATCCAATCCCTTTCTCTTAATCCCCAATCACATCAATTCCCACTTCAATTCTCGATTTTCCCCTTCCCTTTTCCTTACCACTCTTTCCGGTTCTCCATATTCAATTTGCAGATGAAACATCGCTCTCAAAATGCTCAACATTGAATGGATGCAATTGCTGAAATGAGCCTTTTTACCGATTCATCACTTTCAATTCCAAAATTGAAAAGAAATCTCTTTCTCTAACCTGTAAACAACTGGTCGAATCATCTCGAGATCTTGTTGCGAGAAGCCATCTTTATGCAAGATTCGCATTTGTTTCAAGATAGTACTCTTCCCACTTTCACCAGCGCCTAAAATTTTTGAGCTCAACACTTTTTGATCCCTTCGTCATAAGTTTCTCCCAAACTTTTTGGTGTTTGTTTGGCAAATTGGGGACTTTTGTGTGCTGGATTGAGGGGAAGGGGGAGGGAGAGGGAGGGGTAACCTCTCTTGGCTCTCAGAGCTCCCAATTAGGGGGTGGCGATTGCGATTCTGGGGGCAAGGCAGGGGAAAGCATCTCTTATGGAAGGAGGGGACCCCTATGTTTGAGAGGGGACACTTCGATAGATGGATGGGGTGGAGGAGCCCTTCCCTCCACCCCCATCCCTCCCCTCCATCCCCTCCCCCGGGACCCCCAATCTCTTCCTCCCCTCCACCCTCCTCAACCTTCACCCCTTTCCTCCCAAAAAATCTCATTTACTTCCGATTATTTCGCATATCGGAGATGGAGCCCCTTCTCTTCACTTTCCTTTCCCTTTTCTTTCTTTCATTCATTGAGAAACTTTCATTGAATCTCTTTCTGAAAACAAGCCAATCCAGCCTCATCTCTTTTTCTTCCCAACTTTCTAAAATTGGGTTCCCGTGGGGGCGAAAATCGATTGCTCAAACGCTAAATGAAGAGTAGAGATGAGGCAAAAAAAATGGGGAAAAAAGAGATGGGTTGGAAAAGAATTAACCAATCGAACATGGAGAAAGATAGTATTGAAAGGGTCACAAGAAAACCCAAGAAAGATCACAATGAATTAACCTTTTTCCTTTTTTCAGCTCAGAGATCATTTAAAAGTTATCCCCTTTTCTTTAGGTTTCAATCAGTGTCTCGAGGTGTGAAACGTTTTGTCATTTTACTCGCCGTTTTTGGCGGAAAAGAGAGATTCGTCAAAAAGGGGGGAAAGATCTCAAAAAGAGAAGGAAACTCAATTTGAATGTGAGCTCTGAAACGTTGAAGAAAAAGGGGGAAAGGAAAAGGGAAAAACGAACGCCCCCAGTTAAGAAAAGATAGAAAAAGAAGGAAAAAGTCGATCAAAACATCTTCACTATTTTTCTCGAAGCTTTGAAGTTTTTCTGATGGGATGTGCTATTTGGGATAAAAATGAAGGTCAGAAAAAGCGATTATCTAATTGAGCCAAAAAGTAATTCCATGAAAGTTTTTGAAATTTAAAGATAGATATTCAAAATCTAATTTCTAAATAATTGCAATGAAAAAAAAAGCGTCTTGTTGATCACTGGATAGAATCATTTGATTGCTGGATAATATCAGTTGATCGCTGGATAGAATCAGTTGATGACAAGACTATTTTTTTTTCAACTTTCATCTGAAATTCTGAAATTCAGTACCAATAAGTTAGGCCCAAAAGATTTCAAGATCTTCAGCCAAAATGTGTTGTTTGTGTGCCCCTTTTACTTTTTCTTGAACTCACCAAGCAAAAGAAGTTTGATGATTCGCAGGGACATGCTTTGATCTTTTCGAATTTGCTCCTCAATTCGTCGATTCAATTTTTTTTGGTCCTGGAAAAAATATGGGATTTGAGTGAATTGGTTTGATGATGAAACAGTGGATTTGAGTGGTTTGATGCAAATCAAAATTCACTCAATTCTCTAATATCAAAAAGAATTGCAGTGAAATAATTGAAATTGAAAAAATAACTTTTGAGTAGTTCAAAAATGATAAACCATACCTTTGTATCTTTAGAAGTACAGTGGCCCATGATTCTTTGAGGGGAAATATGGCAATAAATAGCGAAAGGAAGTGGCGAAAACCACCCGAATACACAATCGAGGAATGCTTCTTCTTTTCGTTTCACTTGAAAAATGATTTAGAAACTTTAGAAGTTGAGGATATTTTGAGAAAGACAAAGAATTGAATGCAAACCAAGCAAAAAAAAAAATTGTTTTCTGACTATGAGATCAATCTAGACATAAAACAGTTTCTCAATCAATTCCATGGTGTTCAATTACAGTAAACTGGAAGAATTCTGTTGACAAGAAAGGTCTATAAAGGGTTCAAACGAGCAATTTTTGACTCAGAAATACTTAAAAACTCCGTTTATTAGCGAGATTGCACAGCATAATGAGTGAAAAATTCTGAAAATTAAACCGACTAAAAAACGTTTCATTGAAAATTGCGATTGCGCGAGAGGGTTCTGTTGCGCAAATTGAGTCCCCCCTACGAGATGTGAGAAGGGATATGAGGTTTCCACCGAGTAAAGGTGAAAACAGCATAAAAGGGGAGAAGGGGTGTCGAGAAAAGGAGAAGACACGCGTGGGGGGCAACAGCCATTCGGTGGCACTCAACCGACACACATCAGAGAGAAAAGAAGAGATACGCGAGAGGATGAAAAAGAGAAGAAAAAGGAGAAGGGGAGGAGCGGACGGGTCTTTGCGCTAAAGAGGGAATGGGGTTGTCGAGCGAGCCTTGGTAGACACTGCTGTTGGCCCTCGGCAGATCAATAGGCAGCCGCCTCTTCTCTCATCTCGGTGTCCTCAATGGGCGATCCTCTCCTCTTTTCCTCCCTTCTCTCACACGCAACGCAGCCGTTTCCGCTCCTTTCATCTCCTCTCTATTCACTTCAGTTATCCCGCGCACCAGTCTCTCTTCCCCGACCATCCCCTTTCTACCAAACACACCAGCTTCAGCCCGACTTGAAAAACGAAATAACATTTATTTAAGGTAACTGTTCAAAAAAATGAGATCAAAACAAAGTTAAAGATCGACGATAAAGTATGCAAAAAGATTTCCAAGGGTCAAAATAAGCATGAAATATTAAATGAAATCAACATTGAAAACGAGATTTTACTTTTTCTTCCGGGCTTGCGAGCACGCTTCACAAAACCATTTTCCAGTAGGAGGTTCCGTCAAACCGACACTAAAGTTCAAAAAAACGAGTTTTAAGTGTTCTTGCGTTGTACTGCCAAAAAGTACGAGCTTTAATGTTTGCGTTTCAAGAAATTTAATGCTTACCATTGAAAGTGGAACCATTCGACTTTACAATTCTTGTTATCACATCCCACCATTTCGCCAAATGATACCTGAATAGAAAACTACTCGTTTGCTTTTTTAAACTTGGAAACCTGATTGCATGTGCAGTATCTTGGTTCGTTTGGATCAATTGGCATATCTACAACGTGTTGAGGGAGTGGTACCAATTCGAACGATTTGTGTTGTGCGGCTAAAGTTTTATTTGTCGACGAAATTTCTGTATTTCAAACCACTTATATTTGCCATTCGAATTGCTTTATAGTCTTCGTTTTTCTTTTCCTTTCGCGAGCTGGCTGGTTTACGCTTCAGTGATGATGGTTCCAACTCGGCGGCGGCTAAATTTTATAGTGTGAGACAAAAACCGCGCAACATAAAGAAACAAAACATTCATCAAATTAAAAACAAACCTTCGTATAAGCGATTTTTCTCATCTATTGCTGTTTGCCGTTGCATATCAAGAAACTCGGCCCAGTCACGATCCAAATTGTTAATCTTACCATCGATCATATCGTATTGCTTCTCAGCCAAGTGAATTTTGCGAGAATGCATTCTTTCGGCGCTTTTGAGCAACTCCTATAAGCGTGAGATTAGCAAAAATCTAGGAAAGAAACCGAACATGGATTTCTTTGTAGATCTTTAAATGCTGTTCCTTGTTGTGCTTCGCATGGCTATTAAGCAGATCGTTAAGCTTTATTTTTGCCGTCCTCATTGTGTTTTCAGCCTAAAAGCAAGATTTAATAAAAACCAGCTAATTTATCGATTTTACAAACTCAAAAACAATAGTGATGCCAAAGCCCACCTTCGTGTCAAGCTCTCGAAGCTCGTTACTTGTCTTGTGCACCGCAGCGGGGAGATCATCCAATTTTTCAAAAACTTTCTTCAAGTTGGGCGCCATATCTATAAATGTGAAAAAACTGTCATTTTACAAAAATTTCATAAACTCAATCAAGAAATTAGAAAGGTGATAAAGTAGAAACCAGAACACACAGACATTACGAACTAATAGTGGATTATAAAAATTTATTTCTTCAAAAATAGTAACAAAGCCAAAAATCAACGAGCTATAACAAAGACTGGCTGTAAAAAAATTAAGATCGATGAATCTTCTGTCAATTAGCATAGAATTGAAGAAAATGTGAAGAAAAACAATAATAATTTTAGCATCGCTTGCTACTGCCGCTCAATGTTTCACAGTCTAAAATTCCAAAACCATTAAAATATAAATTTTGTCTTACATTCTTATCGAAAAACGGCGCGGAAACGAATGGAAAACTTTTCTCCCCATCCTCGTCCCTAAATGAATCGTAAAAAAATTTACCAACACCCAATAACTATTTCACCGGGGATTTAAAATTACTTTAGCAACTTACAATGCAAACTTCGCAAAACAGGTGTTGCAAATAAAACATGGAGAATCGTTCAGTCTATACGTGTTGAGAGTTTTTTCAGCCAAAGTATTCCACGTTGATTTGGGGGCCACTACAATTCTGCTAAAATTAATTTGTATAAAAGCTAACTATCCAAAGCTAAGTAAATTTTGCTAAAATCAAGTGGCTTTTCAAAGAATATACCTTGCTTTCTCTTCACAGATACGACATATGACAGACTTGAATTTTTTCAAATATGTGCAAATTGGATAATCTTCCAAAGATATCTAAAAAATAGAACCGGGCAAAAGTTTTAAAGGTACCTTGTCTGTAGTTTGCCGCATACAAATGTTTCTGAAAACCAAAAGGTGCTCGCATCTCCCTTGGTGTATGTATACGTATGGTTCTCCAAGCCGACAAGTAAGATCAGCGAGTCTAAAGTTAGGTTTTTGGAAATTGCCAAGTGATAACATTGTTATTTGTATTTTTAACGAAAAGTAATAAATATCTTACTTTGTGTCTTGCATAAATTGAATTTTCATTGACGTGTGGCCTTGCGAATGTATAAACTCCTTCGCACGTTGCCCCATCAGAATTGAATCCGGAAAGCGTTTATCCACGAAGAATGTGTCGTGAATAAAAAAAGAAGGAGCCAGGATACTTTATCTAAATAATGACTATCTCAAGATAAGCTTTTCAAAATACCCCCGCAACATCAACGCGCGTTGGATGAGATTTTGTAAAGTCATCATCGAAAGCCCAATCTTCGGAACAAGTGAACGTCTCTTGGACATTTTTCAGGGTCTGTGAACCCAAAAAAATGTAACTCTTGCGAGGATTTTAACTAAAAACTAGCAAAATGCACCCGGAGACTAAGTCGAAACCAACCAAACGTCCTAGTCGAATTTCATGATGCCTCAATGGTCGGTGGTAGCCAATACCAAGCGATAGAGAGATGCACAGATTCGCATCCGGATCCGGTGAAAGATTGAACTTTTGGACTTGCGTTTTCTTCAAATTTCCGTGATGATCGATGTTTTCGTAGTGATCCATGCTCCCCTTTTCCGCCAACAAACCTGTAAAAGAAAATAGAAGCCAGTGAAAGAAAACTTACTCGAAGCATCAGTGGTTTTTTCTTGCATTTTACCCAGGTCAATTAAGTTTGCATTGAGGGTAAAGTTGTCATAATAAAAACAAACTTGTAAAAATTTTCCAACATCTAAACCAAGAGCCAAAATTAAAAATCTTACCTTCAATGAACGCATGTAAACCGATTTATATTGAGAGTCTTCGCACAAAAAGTCCAGCATGTAAGAGTAGCTGAATACAAATAATTAATATCTACTTTTTCTTAATGTTACTTATGCGAATTTAATCCCATTGGCGGTGTATTGTCGATTTCTTCACCACAGCTTTTGAACGACAAAAGTTTGGCCCTAAGATAAAAAGCATTAATTAAAGCACGAAATTATTGACAAACCTCTCAAATGATTTCGAGACTGTACAATTATTTCCACTTCCTTGTCGATTTGCGTCTACGTTCTTCGATTGTACTGTTGACTGCTGAGTTGCAATTGATTCCTCTAGAAAATCCCTAAACACGTTTCATGAAAAAAAAAAGAGTTTGAAGACCTGAACGATGTAATTTTTGAAACATAGCCGTCCGAATAGTTTTCGTTGGCATAGTGTAGCTCAAATCCCATGCTAAAGTAAAATGCTGAATTTTTGAGGAAAAAGCTATGAAAAGCACAACATATAACAATGTGCAAACAAAAGTAAAGAGCAGTTTCTTTTAATATTTACCAAGGTTAGCTAAGATTAGACATGCTATCCGATCCGATCCGGCAAAAAATTATCGGACAGCATATCTAGCTACCGTAAGTTATTAGAACGACACCCCCCCCCCAGACCCCTCAAAATCTTGACTTTAGACCCCCTTGTGGGGGTTCTATGGAACGATCTAGGCCTAAAACCTATTAATATTTCATCGGCAGTAAAATTTAAAACGCTATTTTTGAAAAAATCATAAGTGTCCCTATATGGATTTTTTTTGGAGATTCAAAGGGGCTCGCGGGTAAGAAAACCATTTCACTTTTAAAGGTGCTTTTTTGTACGTTTTGGACAAAGGGCCATCGTTTAAAATAGTTTTTAACCAGTTCTAAATTTTTGATTCATGTGGTCCCCCTTGCCTTCTTTTTGAGTCGACCGATTTTGAGGGGTTGAAAAATAAAACGACATGTCGTTCAAATACAGCATTTACGGTAAGCGCTTCAAACATAAATTAATATATATTGTTGCTACCTCAAAAATAAATATTTAGATCGTTAACTGAATATTAATTATTTGTACCTTATTGCAGCACCGTGTTTCTCTCCTTCGTCATTCATTGTTTCTGCAATCCAGTTTCTTCTTCAGTTGAACGCATTAAATTCGCATTAATAGCTTTCAGTAGTTTTTCTATTAGCGCTAACCTCAAAAAGAGCGCGAAAACACTTCAATCCAATCAACACTTGGTTCTTGTGCTAGCACTACTTAGGTCTTAAGAGGGTCCGCTTTTTCCGCTACAGTAAGAACAATTTCTTTGGCTCTGTTGCGTTGAATTTTTCTAAAAATACTTTGGTTAAAATTAGGTAGCTCGTTTCTGGATTGAAACCGCATTTCACTGCAAAAAGATTCATCGGTCGATTTCATTGATACCGAGGTCCTACCATAACTCCCTAATTTTTGTTTCTAGGCATTTCACAAAGATTTTTCTTGCTTTTTTATTGTTGTTTTTTATTTTACCCCGTTTTACCAACTACTTTATCATTGTTTTCAGGAAAATGGTCCTTGTTTCGGGTAAAAAGTTGAAGTTGGTCAAGAAGAGGGCTCGTCGCTTTACTCGCCACGAGTCGGACAGATATCTACGCATCCGACCAAACTGGCGAAGACCTCATGGTATCGACAACCGTATGAGACGCCGATTCAAGGGAACGAGAGACATGCCCAACATTGGTTATGGAAACAACAGACAAATCAAGCACGTCCTCCCTCCGGCTACCAGAAGGTCCTCGTTCACAATCCCAAGGTAGTATTTACATGCGTATGATTTTGTTAATGTTAATTATTATCGTAGGCGAAAACAATTAATTTGTGAAATTTGTGAGGCTATGAAAGATGAAAGCTTATGAAAATGAAATATAATTTTACGTCAATTTTTGCTAAAGATTCAATTGGAAACTGATACAAACGTCGGAATTAGCGCAATCCAAATTTTTGAGACAAAGTAGGATTGAGATTGAAATTGTTGGCTGTCAGGGTGGATTCTAAAATTGTGTTTATCATTGTTTTTAGGAACTCGAGATGCTCTTGATGCAAAACCAAAAGTACGCTGCCGAGATCGCTCATGCTGTTGGCGCCAAGAAGAGAAAAGACATTGTCGAAAGAGCGAAGCAACTAAACATCAAATTGACCAATGGCAACGCACGAATTCGCACCGAGGAAAATGAATAAGTTGTTGAATAAATGTTATTGTTTTTTATCTATCACGAATCGTTCACAGTTTTTATCATGTTATTATAAATCTTTGTTACGAGTTATACGCGAGATTTTTATGTGTAGTTTTATGCTGCTTTACCTATCTAACAGTAGTATCATTTCAGTTTATGTATGCAAGTTGATGCGACAAACACTTTGTAAACGCCTACAGTTGTATCTTGTTTTGAATAGCATTGTTCCTGCGTTTAAAAGGGAATTATTGAAACACGTCTGATATTGAGAGCCCTTTGTACACAATAATTTACGCAGATCTTTGATTTGCTTTAACGAGTCTGATAGTGTTACTTGGCGTGCTACGTATTGAGACAAAGGTATTCATCCACAACTTTCTAGAGAAAGCGATTGTGCAGTGTTCTTTTTTGCAATGCACAATTCCCCGGCGAGTGTAATTTTTTGAATTGTCAATCAGTTTCTTTTCTTGTTTTACCAATTTTTGGTCAACTATTGTTGTTCCTAGTTTCAGGTAACAACATTGCTGTGAAGATGATGCGCGGAGGAGGACAACAGCCTGTAATTGTTCTTTCTCTTGGAACAAAACGAGAAAGTGGATACCAAGTTCAAACTGGAAACATCGCTGCGTGCAAAGTAATTTTTTAACTATTTGGCGCAACTCTTTATTTCTAGACAATTGCCGATGTGATTCGAACAGCTTTGGGACCGAAAGCAATGTTAAAGATGCTTATGGATCCAATGGGAGGTATTGTCATGACAAATGACGGGAACGCGATTTTGAGGTATTAATGGAAATAGTAAATGTTGACGCTCGATTTGTTTAGAGAAATCACGGTTAAGCACCCGGCAGCAAAAAGCATGATTGATATTGCTAGGACTCAGGTATATATTAAATTTTATAGTTCGAACAGTTTTGCTTGTAGGATGAAGAGACTGGAGATGGTACAACTTCGGTGATAGTTCTTGCTGGAGAAATCATGTCAAAAGCCCACGTCTTTTTGGAGCAACGCATTCATCCAACTATCATTATTCAGGTAAAATACTACAATTAATTGGATGATTTTTAATTTTAGGCATACCGTCAAGCTCTTGAAGATATGGTTAAATTAGCGGAAACCAAGTTCAGCAAGCCTATTGATGTGAACAACACCGAAGAGCTTACCGTCGTGAGTATCTTTTAGCACTGTGGTTATAATCAAGGAATAGGTTGTGAAATCTTGCCTTGGTACCAAGATGTTAGCCAAGTGGATGGATTTGGCAGTTAATATTGCGCTTGATGCCGTCCAAACAATTCGAATTGACAAGGGAGGGGTTCAAGACATCGACATTAAAAGGTAACAAAATTTGCAAATATATGAAACAAAAGACAATTTTTAGATATTGTCGAATCGAGAAAATCCCGGGAGGGACCATTGAAGACAGTCGCGTAGTAAAAGGAGTTGTCCTCAATAAAGACGTCACACATCCTAAAATGAAGCGTCGGTAAGAATTGGAAAAAGAGACGTCTAAGTTTATGTTTTTATGAGCTGAAAAAGGTCAATCGCAAAATTCAAATTGAATTGAAATTTAGAATTGAAAATCCACGAATTATTCTTCTTGACTGCAATCTCGAGTATAAGAAGGGTGAATCTCAAACTTCGCTAGAAATTATGCGGGAGGAGGATATCACTCGAATCTTGGAACAGGTATTTCAGAGATGTTTTCAAAAATTCAAGTTGAGTGTTTAGGAAGAAACCGAGATTCGCAAACAATGTGATGAAATCATCCGTTTAAAGCCGGATTTGATCTTCACTGAAAAAGGAATTTCTGATCTGGCTCAACACTTTCTTCTAAAGGCTGGAATCACTGCTATTCGCCGTCTGAAGAAAACCGACAATAATCGCCTCGCTCGGTTTGTTTTGAGCATTGAAGTTGATTTTTTTTATTTTAGAGTCTGCGGTGCGCGAATCGTCAATGAGACATGTGATCTCAGGGAAGAAGATGTTGGGCTCAAGGCCGAGCTTTTTGAGATTACCAAGATTGGGGATGAGTTGGTTAATTTTTAATGCCATGGATGATCAATGTTTTTAGGTATTACACTTATGTCACTTCTTCTCAAACTACTGCTGTAACGGTTTGCCTGCGTGGTCCTTCAAAGGATATCATTAATGAGGTACTAAACTTTGTTTTTGCTACATGTGTCAATATTTAGGTCGAACGGAACTTGAACGATGCTGTGAATGTTGTTCGCAATGTTCTTCTGAATCCTCGCCTTGTACCGGGAGGTGGTGCACTCGAAATGGCCCTTTCTCATGTGCGTTTATAGTTTTTTTGGCGCACTAAACAATTTTATAGGCTCTTCATGAAAATAGCAGGCAAATGGAAGGTTCCAGGAAAAGTCCATACGATGCAGCTGCCCTTGCGCTTGAAGTTATTCCTAGGACTTTGATTCAAAATTGTGGAGGTATTGCGAATTGTTCAGGAAATATGCTAATTCGAGCCTTAGGAAACACAATTCGTCAAATTACGGCTTTGCGTGCCAAGCATGCGCAAGGTCCTGAAAATTGGACATGGGGAATAGATGGTTCGTCAGGAGATTTGGTAACTGTTTTTGGTTTATCGATTAATATTTTTTGCTTGCAGGTAGACATGAACAAATTGGGTGTTTGGGATCCACTTTCAGTGCGAATTCAAGTAAGCGATTGGTTAATAATGTTTCTAAAATTGGCTTGCCTAGGTGCTGAAAACAGCTGTTGAAACTTCGGTAATGTTGCTTCGTATTGATGATATCGTGTCCGGCACCAAGAAATCGACTGGTGAAGAGAGAAAAGAAGTAAGCTTTGCCTATTTTTATACGCTAATTTTGGTTTTTCAGATCATGCCGGAATGATCTCATCGACACCCAAATGACCATGAAATTAATTTTTTAAATTGCTTTCAAATTTTGCGATTTTGTTCTTTGTGCGTCTCAATATAAACATCTCAAGTTTGTTTTGCCTGTTGATTTTTTTGTTGTTAAAGCGCGAGTTTAAGCTTCAAATTCATTGGTGGCTAAATTTATACTTGACTTCAATATAGCTTCCAATGATGTGTCTTTTTAAAGCTTTATTGTTTATAAATAAATAATTGTTTTATTTGGCTGTTTTTCTATTGGTATAGTTTGCACCAATCTTACTTTAAGCAGAAAGATATATAAAGTTTTTGATCGTTCACTAAACTAACGCAAATCGCATTACATTCGTTTAAGCACCAAACACGTTTATGATAATAGATTGCTTTAAAGGCTAAAGCCGACAATTAGTGTAAAGTGATCGAGTCAGGTATTAATGTGATGCTGTCGTGACTAGCCTAAAACTAATCCAGGATCTTTCCTAATAACGGCCGCCCCTGTTAAATTTCAAGATATTCAGCCAAAAAGTAGACAAAAAAATCAGGCTAAATTCACCCAGGCTGTTTTGAACTTAGCCTAACCTGATGTGGGATGGGCAGAGGTTAAAGACATCTGCCCAACGCACATCAGGCTAGGCTAAATTCACCCGGACTGTTGTGAATTTAGTTGCCGATAAGTTAGCGATTTTTTGTCTACCCCCGCCCGATACTAAAGAAGTACCAATTTTTGTTGAATGTTTCATTACCTTTTAACAACATAACGTTTTTAATTTAGATACACGTGGTGCCGCCATAAAATTGTTGAAATCTTTAAAAATGGGGGCCCTAGATTTTGAGTGATGTTTATGAGAACATGAATCGTCGGAAGGATTTTCAGTGTTTGGAACCCTTAATGAACACTGGAATTGGGCAAAAATCTGCTTGTGGAGGGAATTCTTGGGCTATGAGCTAAAATTTGGATAAAAATTTTATTTCTTGGAACAAAACCCACTCGAACATATGCTTTAAATCTTGAAATTTAACGCGGGTGGCCGATAATCTCCTTGAAAAATGTTGCCGCCGAAAATTTTATTAAGAAAGATCCCTAATCCACAATTAATCACTGTTTTAGAATGAGTACGACCGATTATCAAACACCTATCAAACAATGGTGGGGTCTCGTAACATCCGATCGTCACCCAAAAGCCGATCCCTCACGGCTAGTTTCGGTTGCTGAATTGCCGGTAATTTTTTATCAGCGTACCTAGCTACAGAGCTTTTTTAGATCTATGCAGAAGACAAAAAATCACAACTGTATTTTATTGAAAGCGAGCCGTTGCCTTTACAAAGAGAATTTTCGACGATCAGAAGGTGAAACCATTTTGGGATGAAGAGTCACCTATTTTACTTCTAGGGCTTGGCAAGAAGAATATAATCGGGTCGCAGAGAGATTTTCTTTGATAGATCATGCGGTGACTGGTGTTCAAAATACCGCTTTCAAGGTATATATTTTGTCAAAAGCTTTTAGTCGTTGGCTTTTTAGGTTCAACGCTACGTAGAGGATGAGTGGAGCGTAATTCCTAAGGCTGGTGCAATTACTCTTGGTAAGTTACTCTTTGGCACTATTTGCCAACAATCGTCTAAAAACTGTAATGTACGTTAATTCTAGGTGGTATGGCAGGCTTGGTTCTTGGAATGCGACGAGGTGCGTTTGGCCGAATTTTCACTTCTGCCACCGGAATGGCGACAATGACAGCATTTTGTTATCCAAAAGAAACGGTAATATATATATATATTGTTTTTGTTAAGATGGATGCTTTTTAGGTCGATCTCATCCGAGGCGGCTTGGCCTCTGTTCGTTCGGAATGGACCGACTTCCAAAAATCGCCTCATCCTCCAAATGAAAAGAAACCAGATCTTTCTCCACCCAAGAAATGATTAGATTAAATTTCTTTCCTATGTAAATACCTATGTGTGTTAGGTAGTCATTTTTTGATTGCCCAAATATGTTTCTGATTTTTGAGGGTAGAATAGCTTTTTTAGATGTTTGAATTGCGTGTCTGATTTCTTGGTATTATTGTACCTAATTGTGAACGAGTCGAAATGGATAGTGATTAATAAAATTTTAACAGATTTTGGCAAAAACGGTTGTAGATTTAAAGTCGAGACGAAAAAGTCAACCCAATCATATATTTTTAAGTTTGTTTATGAACTGCGATCTTTATCTTTATCGAAGTGTTTGCCTCGTATCGATATTCGATGTTCTGCAGTAAACTAATTTAGAAACAATGATGAATACGGGTTGCGAAGGTAGCTCAACGTCAAACTATGACCCAGTCACAAAGTATGCTCGAGTTTCTGTTTTGATTTTACGATTTTCAGAATTCATCGGCGTTCCACAAGAAGAGTCGTTGAAGCAAAAAGAAAAGCTCGTCCAGGTAAACTACTCTTATAAAAGTCTTATATTTAAATGTTAGAGCTCAACAATTATGGATGGAATACGCTCGGTTTTGCTACTTCGTTCGACTTGCCACCAATTACAGACACCATTATCAGGTTTGTAAAAAATTAAACTGAAAATTATCTGACTTTTGGCTACTGGTCATGCCTCTAGAAAAAGAATTGAATCTACCTTGTGGTTAGTCTAATGAAATGAATAGATAGTTTTGATTTTTAAGATCCAGCCCTGGCACAACATACGGCTAAATGTTTTAATGTTTTATAATACAATATAAAATATAAAATTTAAGGTTAAATGGGTCAGAAATTTGTTTGGAAGAGTTCCGTGAGAATTATGAGAAACCACGAATTCCCGTCATTATTACAGGGCTCACCAGCAATTGGGCTGCTCATGAAAAATGGACTCCTGAAGTTTGTTGTTTATAACTAACCAAGTTTTAAAAAACATTTAGAGATTGTTGAAAAAGTACCGCAATCAGAAATTCAAATGTGGAGAGGTTGGTTAGGTTTTAATAAAATACCTAATACTTGTTTTAAACTTAGGACGACGATGGGTATTCTGTAAAAATAAAGATGAAGGTACGACAATGAATTGTTTATTTTCTACTTGCACAGATTTAGTATTACTACGACTACATGAGAACCAATGACGACGACTCACCGCTTTATGTTTTCGATAGCAGTTTTGGAGAGGTTTCTTTTAAATCTATGTCAGCTTTTAAAATCATTCTATGAAGATTTTGTTCTTTTTTCATAGGCTGCATTTCTTTTTATAAAAAAATGTTTAGCGCCACAAGACCAAGAAATTGCTTGAAGATTACGAGATTCCAAAATTTTGGGAAGATGATCTCTTTCGGTACGCCGAGATGAAAAAGCGTCCTCCGCACAGGTGGACTCTTTTCTCTATAATTTTTATTTTCGTTTAGATGGATCGTTTTTGGACCGGCTCGTTCTGGAACGGCTATTCATATTGATCCTTTGGGAACCAGCGCGTGGAATGCTTTAATACATGGGCACAAAAGGTTTTGGTTTTGGTTTTGGTTTCGATTTCGATATCGATATTTTCTTTTTACAGATGGGTTTTAATTCCACCAGATGCGCCGAAGGCTCTTGTAAAACCAATGAAGCATGAAGCTGGAAAGCACCCCGATGAAGCTGTTACATGGTTTAATACCGTCTATAAAAGGTGCTCTTCAATCAAATAGATCTACCGATTATTTTGGACCAAATGGAAGCCTTTTGTTTTTAGGGGTTCGCTCGTCATCGTGGCCAAAAGAATATCCAATAATCGAATGTCGACAAGCACCAGGGAAGTTATGTTTTGTTCCTGCAGGTTTTTAAAATACATGTACTTCATGATTATATTGATTTAGGTTGGTGGCACGTGGTTATCAATGAGTCTGTCACTGTTGCAATCACACAGAATCTTTGTTCGATTGCCAACCTGCACATTGTTTGGCCCAAGACAGTACGAGGTCGACCGAAGTTCAGCAAACATTGGTTTAAAAGGTTTTTTTATTTATCAAACTTCTATTAAATACCAATTCAGAATTAAAAGCGAACGTCCGGAACTGATTTCAATTATGGAGGCCTCTGAAGCAACGCCACAAGATGAAAATTCTTCGAGTGATTCTTCATCATCTTCTTCATCAAGTGATGACTCCGACTCCGATTCTGGCAACGATGATGGCGTTGAGAAACGAATGCAAGTGCAACGAAAGAGGTTTTTCCTTTTTTTTTTTTTACTATTTTTTTTTAAATTTTTTTTTTTTTACTAATTACTATTTCTACGTATTCTTTTAGGCGGCATAGTCAAACGATCTCAGAAAATAAAGTGGCTTGTGCGAGCAAACTTGGACGGAGCCCTGAAAGAAAACAGTAAGGTACCTATTTTGTATTTTTATTTGTTATTTCACGGTCTTTCTCGATCAAAAATTTCTTTTGATGTTATTTATTTTGTGTCGGTTGGGTTCATAAATATTTCAATTGGAAAACTGCGTTCTTTGAAGAGTCAACTTCTGATTTAAAACGAAAATCCGAAATTTGATTTGATCGATCGGTTTTGAACTGAAAATATGATTTGGTTGATTGGTTCCAGAAATCCGGTTCTGTTAGGTGCACTTCAAAGCTTCAAAGATCCGTTTCTATGGACGGCCAATTAAACGTGAAAATACACCAAGTTCAAAAAGTTTTATAAAAAAAGCATACCGTTAAGTTGTAACGATTTGGAGATAGTGCATTACAGGATTACAGTGATTCCGTTTTGTTGAGAAATTCGAAAGTTCTTCATGTAGATAGAATGAAATTGCCTTTTGGAAAAGTTATTCAATTGGAGGACTGTAAGCATCTACAGAATAACATTTGTTTTAAAGCTAAAATTGCCCAGTTTTTTTCATTTCTCATTTCCTCCTTGCCAGGGAAAGACGAGTTCAATTTCCATTTTTGCCCGATGATAAGAATTTACCCCTTTAAAAGAGCATTTATGTTTTTGATGTTTCGATGAAATTGTTTTAACGTAGCGGTTACCACGTAGCCAATGCTTTGTGGCGTTTGATCAGCTTTCCTTGACTTGCTTTATTTTAAAGTTTTTTACTGACATTAAACAGTTTCCATATCATTTCCGCAATCTCTTCTAATAGTAAGCTCTCGTTGGGTGTTTTTTCTTTGTGAACATTTATTTTGTATCCTTGTAGCACAGTGCATCCAACAAATGGTGGCATGAGAGAAAATGGTAATTTGAAAATAATTCCTTCTAAAGACTTCTCTTTTTTAGATCGAGCTCGAACTAAATGTTTGCAGAGCAATGGCACCGATACAGACATGTGAATATTTCTGTATTCTTGTATTTTCGGTATACACGTTCATCTCTTTGCAAACAGCAACCGAAAACAACAACACTAAATTCCCGCAGCCATAGTAGATATGATGTTTTTGTGATTTTTATCAATTTTTATTAACAAAATGCTTAAGTGAAAATCATAAACGACAGAGTAATCAATTTGATGGCTCGCTCTTCAGGATTTGATCAACAATGTTCTTCTTCAACTCATCATCGCAAAACGCGGCTCGTGCTCCATTCAGTTGCTAAATCCAAATGTGTTCAAACGAATGACCCCTTGGCTCAAAAACTTACGCATTGCCAAAGCTGATGAACAGAGAGACCAATCCGGCTGTTGACTAACTCGAGCTCAGAACAGAGTGAGTTGTCAAAACACGTTGGATCATCGCGCGAGATTGAAAAATTAACTCCATCGGCTGCCCACCTAAACTTCAATGATTTTGCTGCGGTAAATTGGAAACAAACCTTTTGATTGGATGAGTCGGCCAATTCAGTGGAACCGATCCTGTCATAACAGAAGAATATGGACAGGCTTCGAGATGGTGATCGTGGTTCTAAACAAAACATTAATAGAAATAAACAAGCTATTAAACATTTTACGCACTTGCACAAATCGTTTTACGTATTCACTCTCATCTCGCATGATTCTGTAACCATGTCCGATTCGTTCAGCGTGCATCTCTTCGATAGCCTAAACATGGCTATTTTATTTAAAAAAGCTGACCAAAATCTCACTAATTAAAGCTCGCAAACCACAAACCATGATCACTTCTTTGTCCGTTCCAGCCTCACCACTGTGCACTGTACGATGAATTCCCATAGCGGCAGCCTCCTGGACAAATTATTGGCGATTAACACATTGACGACCGTGAGACCACCGGTGGTCTAAAACAGTCTACCATCTGGGATCGTTAGACCACCGGTGGTATAAGAAAGTTTTTCAAGGGATTTCAGGTATATATGAGTTTATGCTCCATCTCTCTGGTCTGTAAAGTCTGTATGTACACTTAGCTTATGGGTTTTCAGGTTGTAGCAAAATCATATAGATATATATAATTTAATAATAACGATACAAATAATCGGTTTCTATCAAATAAAATTTACGACGATTTTTGGTCCCACGGGCTTTTGTGTTAAAAAAGCGTCTGGTCGTCAATGTGTTAAACAATTAGCTACCATACCTTGAAGACACGAATAGCCGATGGTTCATATTTTTCATCAGCTCCATCTGCACAGCCGGCAATATCTATTCCCACAACTCCCAAATCGTGACGATGTTTTGAAACTAAAAGAAAGTTTTACTAAATGGCTGTCCAAATTACTTGCAATCAGCTAAAGAATTTTTCAAGAAATTTAGATTCCAGCGAAATCTAAGTTAGCAAAGATTCAATTACACTAGAGACATCCCAGACAGTCTTCGCCAATAGGCAAGCACAAATATTGATAGAAGTGACACCATATGTGAACAACATCTTTTACCTAGGGCAAGTACGTCATCGTTCCAGAGATCGTGTCCGCGAATACAGCAAAGAATCGATCGTGCTTCAATACCGAAATCCTTCTTGCCCCGTTCAAATCCTCGATAAACCGCTTGAACCACATCTTCAGCGGTTACCTGTAAAAGTGTACAATAATCAACATACAAATAACCGACCGGTCCATCCTTGTGATAAGTGTGCTCGTAATCGATGCCAGGACCCGTGTTTGCAAGAAAATGTGGCGCATATCTTAAAACACATTGCTTACTTCAGTGAAAGAGCAAATTCCCCTACCGAGCCTCAAAATAAATAACACCATTTCGATGTTGATCCTCGCATGTTTCATAAGCTGATATTCTCTAATACCGTCACATCACCCCTATAACTCAAATCTATTTTTTTCAAAAGAAAAGATTCACTTACGCAATTCTGGGGAGGATTATTTTGAACGCCTCCAACACTTGAGAGAGATTACCCGGTTTCGTTGATATGATTGCCTAAAGAGTTTTTTTTTGAAAAAACAATCGAAATATCGTGCTCACTTTTTGAGTCCTTCTACGTCATGCACATCAGGCACCGGCATGTCCTTCTTGCTAAATAAATGTTAGTTAAGAGGAATAAAGAGCACTTTACTTGCACATATCCCATAAAGTGGTGAAACGCACGCTTCCGTCAAGATGTAGATGGAGTTCCACCTAAAAGACAAAAATATTTGAGCGAAAATGGGAAATACCTTTGGAAAGGGGAATTTCTTCGTTAGCTTCTCAGAAAATGGTGGCATCGACTTGTCTGTGGCTGATCTAAACGAAAAGAAATGATTAAAATGATGATAAAAATGATTTCGCTAACGATTAAAAGAGTTAAACTCAAGTTTTTTTTTTTTGAAGGAAACTTCATAAGTTACGAGTTTCAGAATAAAGGGATAAATTAAAAGCACTCTACTAACTCAAAAACGAACCCTTCATGAATGGCGGCTCCATTTGTTTGACCCGTTGATTGAGTCATTTCACCCCTAAAAACCAAAAAATTGCACCAAAAATTAAAAATTTTTCGTAAAATCATCAAATCGTTACCCCGCGAAAAGATTCGAAACAGAAGCACCCATTTTTTATTTCGAAAAGCAAAGAAATGAAGGGGAAAGAGAAATATTGGCAAAATTTGAACGTAGTGTGATTGGAAGTGTCGATCGGGCAGAGAGGCCATCAAAGGTCATGCATCGAATTGATAGGAGAAGTCGAGGAAACACAGAGAAATAAACACACAAAGCTAATGAAAAAGATTAAAAGGGAAAGAGAAGAGAGAGACAAGGGGGGACTATTCATCAAGCAGCAACACAATAAAGGAGAAGGAGAAAGGATCATGTGGTGTGGTCTTTGCGTGGAAGAGATTCTCCAGCTGGCTGTTCGCGAGCTCTCTCTATCCATTTGACCCTTATACCCATCTCTTATGACCCAATCAAAAGATGGGATAGAGAATGGATTTCATGACTTGAAAAACTCAAGCACCCACTCAATGAACTCCACACAATCGAAAATGATTGAAATTTTTTTCTTTTAGAAGTCTCTGGGTGGTTTTAAATCGGCTTTGAGACTAAGCCCTTCTTCTGTTTTTTAATCTCTTTATCTTGATGAGGGTTTTCAACGGCATAAAGGGTTAAGCCTCTAGTCTATCCAATGCTACCCACTCGTTATCTCCGATAATATTCCAAGTTGCAAGTCCTTCCTTCCATTTTGAGAACCCGTTTGAAACCGATCTAATTTTGCATTTTTTAATAATAGGTAATACCATTTATCAAAATTAAAATCACAAAAAATCAAATTCAGAAAAATCACCGTTCAAATAAATGACAATCGAAAGCACAACACCAAAAAGAAGCAAAAAAAGAAAAAGAAAGACAAAACATACACGACATATTGCAAACCAATCTCAAGTTCAAAGTTCATCTTTAGTAGAGCCGCTTGTCATATCTAAAAGAAAAGTATAGTCAGATTTTGAACTTTGGCAATGTCTTGGGTTGTACAAAATAAAACCAATACACCGATCACTTCTAAATCGTTGGTTTTAACTTTAAACGGCCAATGAGTAGTAGCTAGTACGAATAGGAGTTGTTAACTTCTCAACCCACCACTTTTTGAGACCAAATTGAAATCGAATCTTGTTTAAATTTTTGAACAAAAACAATGTGACATTATCCACAATTCTTACAATAAATGAGTGCTGTTTGATTGGAAAAAAGTATGAGAAGCATGCTTTCGTCACGACAAAAATATTTCGAATCTCAATCTGGTTCATTTATCGGTAAAATTTAGCTTAATAGGGGTAGTATAAAGTTTGAAACCTTTTCTACCCTTACAAACCAAACCCTGTTAGTTCCATAAGTTCAACTTCGAAATCATTAAACCCATAAAATGAAACCAACGCTTAATGCTAAACGCAAAAATTTAACTTTTTAATCATCACAATCTTTCAGCAGCGTGAGAAAGTAGTATTTGATAAGATTGTTACGGATAGGTGTTGAGAAGTTTTAATCATTTTGAAAAAAGTGCCTGCCTCACCTATAATACTGGCCGTCGTACCCATAAGAGAATATCTAATAATTTAAGAAACAGTTTCCGAAATTATCAGGTCAACAGTATAAGCATCAAAAACTCACGAATGCAATGAATGTACACCGCCTTCGAGTTGCGCATTTGGAGAACGACGCTCGAAACGCACTACTCCGTTTTCCACTTTTTCACTAAAAAATTTGATTACTCAAAATAATCAAAGATGACTTACTGCAAGAGGCTAAGTGATCTTATTCCCACATCTTGAAAACCATGTTGAACACCTCGTATCAAATATGGCACAAATCTAAAAGAGTGCCAATAGTTTAGGGGTTAACTTTTCACATTTTAATCTTATACCTCTTATAGGTAAAACCACATTGCCATTAAGCATATTAGTTTAGATCAAACAAACTTGTGAATGCTTCCGCGATCGCGCATTGTCGCCGAGACTCCCTGGGCAACTTTGATTTGATCGGCCTCACTATAAATTGGACCATACAATTAATCACAAAATGTATTTAGATACCTTGTGAAGTAGCGATCTTGGCTGGTTACATGTGCCTCCATTGCATCGAGTGATCCCATTCCGCGATATTTCTTCAGACGCACTCCATTCGCTCCCCAGAAATACTCACCTATCATGAAATGAGACAAAAATTCCGAAAAATATCTCACCTGGAGCCTCGGTAGTTCCTGCTAGAAGTCCACCCATCATCACCGCACTTGCGCCTTAAACCGAGAGACTCATGAGTGATTTTAAATTAACTCCACCTAAAGCCAAAGCTTTCGTTATATAGCCAACATCCCGAATTCCGCCATCAGCAATCACTGGAACTCCTCTAGAGCGCGAATATCTTGCAACCTGCCAATTTTATGCTTAATTAATAACCACTACTGAAACTTACTTGATACACAGCGGTTCCTTGAGCTCTACCTAAAAATGATCTGTTAGTAAAAATACAATGACAAAAAAGCCCTACCAACGGCCATAATTTCCTGAGTGATACAAATTGATCCCGAACCCATTCCAATACTAAAATAAAATTAAAGTGAAAGATTAATAAATAACAATAAAACTCACCGCAATCCATCGGCGCCAGCGTCAATAAGCAATTTTGCTTGTGCTTGTGTCACCACTAAAACCATGTTCATTTTGCTTTGTGCTAAAAATACCATTTCCACCGATGACTTGGATTTCAGGATGTTTGCTCTTGATGTGTTGCAACATTTCTAAATTTTGGCAATTAAAGGTTTTTTTCGATTAAAGGTCATTTTACGCTGACTGAGATCGTAAAAAAAACCCCACCGACTTGATACATAGAAGAACCATTCGACGAATCCTAATTTGAAGTTAGCTTTGGTTTCACCAAGAAAAACTTACAATCACAATGAGGTCAACGCCGGCTTGAGCAAGAAGAGAAACTGATTCTTTGCTGTTTTCTCGTGTTGAAATCGCAGCTCCCACGCGAAGTTGTCCCTAGGTTATTGGTAATTGATTGTTGAAAAAAAATCTCTATACCTTCTCATCATAAGTCGATAATGGAAATTCTCGAGCCTAAACATAAATATGAAAGTTTATAAAAAAGAACAACCTTTTTCAAATCGGTACGCGCAATCAATGAAACAAGATGATCATCGCTGTCAACGATTGGAAGTTTTCCTAAAAATATCAATAAAATATGACCGAATACTGAAAAAAAAGCCCAACCTTTCTTTTCGAGTTCCAAAATTTCATAAGCTTCTTTGAGAGCAATTTTCTCGTGTCCAGTCATGAGCTTGTCGCGTGGAACCATCACCTAAACAAGCTTTTCGGAATTCAACTTACACAAACATACATCTTGTATAAGAGTCGTTACGTAACGGCTCTCTGGAATAAAATCGACATCTCGGGAAGTAACAAGGCCTAAAAAAGACATGTTATATAAAAAATAAGTTATGTCTCAGTAAATAGCGGACACTTTTAGCAACACGCTACCATTTCTCACATTAAATAAAACTGACCAATCAATTTGCCCCCAGGATGTCCATTTTCTGTGACAGGTGTTCCGGTGAATCCATGCTTTGCTTTAATCATCATCAAATCCTTGACGGTGTCGGACGGTTTGATACATTTTGGATTTGAAATGAATCCTTGTTTATAGCGCTGAAAATTTTCATTTTCACAGAGATGATCACATTGATGCTTACTTTAACTTTCAAAACTTCAGCAGCTTGACCTTCGGGAGTGGGGAAATTGCCATGAATGATTCCAATACCACCATGCAACTAAAAATTAATAGTTAAAGTATTCAAACCATTCAAATTTACCGCCATTGCAATCGCCATTTCCGCTTCAGTGACCGTGTCCATCGGAGAAGAAACGAGTGGCGCCTAAATTTAACAAAATATTTGCAAAAACTATAAAAATACCTTTAATTTGATTCCCCTTGTGAGTTGGGTCTCAAGACAGACAGCACCCACTGGAAAGTCGATATAGCCAGGCAAAATGTTGAAGTCACTAAATAAAGACATTAGATCAACGTGGATGGGTAAAAATACAATTAGCTTACTTGTAAGTGATTCCTTGATGCGAGCTGAACATTTCGTGGATCGATTCTCCATCGATACCAAGTGGCGGGTTGGCGGTCATCGTTCTGAGAGCGGAAAATCAATTTTGAATTGTAAAACGAATAGTTTCGAAGAATAAAAGCAAAAAAGGAACATAACCAAAAAATACTAATAGAGACGATTTCGTTAAATACCCAGCTCTACTTTGCGTACTAGTTTCTCTCAGTAATGTGCGTCAATTTTTATCGAATAGCTAAAATGTTTCATTTAGAAGAAATTAAATTTATGAAAAAGCATAGTTGTCATGGTAGTTAATCTGAGAGATCGTGAAGGAGACGAAATTGGAAATGAAAAAATGTATCAAATTCGTGCAAATTTCGTTTTCTCAAGAATATTCGAAGTGAAACATTTCAAAGTGTGCCCGATGGAAAGATTGGATGCGAAGATTGCGATTTCTGAAAACAAACGAAAGTGCTCAAAGGAATATTTTTGAATGGAAACATTTAGAAATCGCTAAAGATTCGATTTTAGTCAAGCAAGAGAAGGAAAAATGGCTCTGTAAGACTGTTTTGCGCGTTTTTCTCTGTTGCAATTGGACCTGACAAAGTGCAAGAGTGCTTTTATAAAGGGTATTCACTTAGTTTGTTTACTCTTTTAACTAAACCCAAATGAAAATCGTAAGATAAGAGATTTTCTGATTTTAGCAAATTCTGAACCTTAACACCATTAGGTGTTTTGGCAAAGAAATTCCAAAGTATTTCCAACGGTTGCCAGGGAAGTTGTTTTCGTTGTCCTTTCCCTCTCCATTTTCTCCTTTTTCGTTATTTCCAAGGTGTTTACATAACGTGACGATACTCCGCACGAAAATGATCGAGCTGACAAAGGGATGAGTTTGAAATTGAAGGGAAAAAGTAAAAAGAAAATAATGGAAACGAGCATCAAGCTGGAACAAACAGTTTGTTTTTTTCTGCTCTTTGCGTCGGTGAAGCCGTTTCAAAAGCGGCATTGAACGGAAATACGGAATACAAATGAGCTACTTTTCAACGAGAATGGATCGTATTCGGGGTTTGATGAAAACGAGTTGACTTCAGATTCGGGAAGTAAAGAGGTGAAAGAAAAGAAATGTCTAATGTTCTGAAATTGATTTTCAAGATAGGCAAGCCTGGCGTGTGTGCACTTCTCAAGAAAAAATATGGATACGAGAATTTGGTGATGATTGGCGATGGAGCGACTGATTATGAAGCATTCCCGCCTGCGGATGCCTTCATCGGATTCGGGGGAAATCAAGTGGGATATTGAGCATTTTTCAAAAAGCAAATCTAGTCGGCTTGATACCGATGACAATTGATGCAGAAAAAGTAAATGGCTTTACAGATTCGAGAAAACGTTCGCACAAATGCCCCCTGGTACGTTTACGACTTCGAGGTTTTGCGACGAGAATTAGAAGACTAAACATCAACAGCCCTTTTGCTAAGTATTTATTTTAGCCAAGTATTTATTTTTATCTGCAAATTTCATAAACGCACTTCTCACTGAGATAGACAAAAATAAGTAGAAAAATAAGGTAAATAACAACTTTTAGGGTAAATGGACAAAAGAGATAAAGTAAGTCCACGACAAAATAAAATACCAACTTACCGTAAAGATTCTAATAGAAGACCATGGTCTTCTATTTTTCAAACCCCTAAAATTGGCCGATCAAAAAAGTAGATAAAGGTCTCCCACATGAGTCAAAAAATTAAATAAAAATTATTTTAAACGATAGACCTTGACATAAAACGTACGAAAAACATGTTTAAAAGTAAAACTATTTTTTTTTACCCGGACCCCATAGCGAATCTTCCAAAAAAGTCCATGTGGTCCCCTACATGAAATTTCTTTAAAAATATTTTTCCATTTTTCAAAAATCATGTTTTCAATTATACTACCGAGGCTAAAATACTTCTATCTGGACCTAAATATACCATTCTACCTAAAAAGAAGTTTCAAAAAGTCCCGATTTCAGGGGGGTCAGGGCGGTGGTCTTCTATTGGAGACTAGTCTTCTATTAGAATTTTTACGGTAAGTCAAAAAAGAAAGACTTAATCAACGATAACGATTTCATCATGTTTGTCCGCATCGGCGCCATTGCTCTGCACACATTTTGTTCGAGCTCGATCTAAAAAAGAGAAGTCTTTAGAAGGAATTATTTTCAACTTGCCATTTTCCCCCATACCACCATTTGTTGGATGCACTGTGCTGAGATGAGTTTCAAGTAGTTGATAGGAAGAGCTAATGGTGCACCCTGTTGCATGTCATTCACCGTTTTCCCTTTCATCTGCTTCTGAAAAACTTGCAAATGTGTCAAATAACGGTCGCAATCCTAAAAAAGTGCTAAGAAATTTTTTACAAAAAGTACTTACCTAGAGACTTTCATCACAAATTTCACATGCATATTGACATATGGCTTGATCCGAGCCGAACATTTCGTGGATCGATTCTCCATCGACACCAAGTGGCGCGTTGGCGGTCATCGTTCTGAAAGCAGAAAATCAATTTTGAATTGTAAAAAGAACAGTTTCAAAGAATAAAAGCAAGAAAAGGAACATAACTAAAAAATACTAATAGAGACGATTTCGTTAAATACCCAGCTCTATTTTTGACAATAAAATATTTCTGAGTAACACGTGTGGCTGACTGGTTAAGTGTCTTTTATCTTAATCGGAAGGTCGAGGGTTCGAACCCCACATGCGACATGGTCACCCCCTTCGAATTTCCTTTCCCTTCGGGTTGAGAGGTTTTCTGGAGGGCAGTCTGGTGGTTGTGGCCCCAGTTCTTTAAAGTGACAAGCCACTCCTTCATCGTCATCTTCCCTTCACCACCAAAAAAGCTATTTAGTTCCCCATTGAGCTTAGGGTTAGGGAGCCGTCTGTCATGACGTGGGTTAAGTTAAGATATAGCCTAGTATTGTGTGTGTCGTTGTATTGTGATTGATATATTTCGTGTATGCGATAAATTCACCACTGGTAGCCCCAGTCGGTATTTTTTTTTTTTAACACAAGATGTGGAACTGCTGGAAACCAAGCCGAAGCGCAATTATTTACATGAATAAAAAACGAAATTTCCCGAAATTTCCAAAGAGCATTTTGGATTTCGCGTTTTGGCACTCTTCAGAAACGTTTTTTGTAAGATTATGGAGATTCTGAATCTTTATTTATTTATTTTTTGTGCCCAACTATTTCTCTAAATAATTGTCAAAACCGTAAATCAATTGATTTATTCTAGATGGAGAAGGAACGCTTTTCATTTGAATCCCAAAAGCTGAGTCGGATCTGGCAGATGTGCCATATAAAATTTAAATTTTTGATTCCAGACCCCCAGTCTCGACTTTAGTGTTTTTGGACTATTTTTGATAATCTAAAAGGAAAACTATAGGGGTTCCCGGAAAAAGATTTTGAGAAGATCCAGCCCTACAGGTCATCCCCCTTTAACACAATTAGTTGTTCAAAACCGTTATTTTTCATTCGGTTAACCGAAAATTTTTTTCTATCATTCGATAGGGATTACAAGGCTCAGTCAATGATATAAAAATTGGGTTAATCGAATGAAAACTAACGATTTGAGGTACAGTAGTTTCCTCAAATGGTGTTTTTTAGAAAACGAATTACTCGAGAAGAGCACACTCTAATCCTAAAATTTTAATGAAATTTAGCCAACCCGAATTAGCCAAAACTTAGCCAAAACTTAGCCAATTAGCCTCTTTCACTCACGAAGAAATCCCCTATCCCTAAATCTCTCCTTTTTACCCAAATTCCTCCTTTTCACTCTCACTATTGTCTAAGAGTTTAAGGCTGTCTACGTGGCAGACAAAAAAAAAATAGCATTCATTTCACACAAATGTTCAGCGTTTCAGCTTTGTTTTAAAGTGGAATAAAGCTTTAAAACAGTAGTAGTAGCTTACAAAAGTTCTGAACGGTAATGGCCTTTTTTAAAGGTATTATTCATGTTTAACATCATCTTCATATTCCTTTTTCTGGTTATAAACTAGCAAATATTTCATAGAATTCTACAGTTCATTCTATGCAATACAATAGATTTCATAGTCTTTCAATCTCTTCTTTCAATGAGATCTCTGTCTTTTTCTTTGTCTCATTCTCACCAAGTTGATCTTTTGACCTCGTATGTTGACCTTGATTAGCCCATCCTTCTTCACCGTCCACTCTTTCCACTCATATCCAATATGAATAATCGATACATCTTTTAACACATAATTTTATATCTAATATATGTATTTGTATAAAAGCAATAGATCTTACTATCAAATTTTGCAACGTTTTTTGAAATAAAATTTCCTTTTTTATTCCTCTGTCTCAATTTGTTTTCTTTCCCCGTTTTCCATTGACATTCAAAAACATTTTAACACACTGAAATCTGGGATGAAAAAGAAAATAATAAAAATTTCTCCCGCAATATTTTTTTGAAATTGTTATTGATCAAGCTGATAAAATGAATTCATTCTAGAAATTTCAATTGAGTATACCTTTTGGATTCATTTGAAAAATCAAATTTCCGCCAATTTCTTTCGGGCAAAGATACGGTGGATCCTCATTTCAGCCAGACTGATCAGACCATTTTTGGTGTCTAGAGAGAACGAAGAGGACAGACAAGACTGGCAAGAGAGACAAATCATGATGGTGGAACATCATCGGAGAATTGATTCGTGAGTTTTCATCTCTTCAAAACTTCACATTTAGAAATTCTATTTGAAATACATATTTTCTATTCAGTGATCAAAAAATGGAACCAAAAAAAGTGGAATTGGAGGATGAAACGGGAGAGGAAAGAGCAAAAAGAGTTTGGAAAATGGCGGATTGTGTTTGCTTTGACGTGGATTCGACGGTTTGTCGGGTGAGCTAACTATGAGTTAAAATTTTCATGACTACGGTAACAGTATCCAAGTTTTAAACGAACAAATTCCAGGACGAAGCAATCGATGAATTGGCGAATTTCCTCGGCGTTGGTGAAGCCGTTTCAAAAGCGACAAAAGCGGCAATGAACGGAAATACGCGTTTCAGGTCAGTTTTCCCTTTACATTTATTAATCTAATTCCTTTTTCATTTCAGATACCGGTTTGTTAAAAAGTGATAAACAATGGGTTTTGTGCTTTCTAAAATCTAAATCGAATTCATTGAAGCCAGTTTTCAGAGAAGCTCTCCGCTCAAGGCTAAACGTGATGAAACCATCAAAGAACAGATTGAAAGTTCAAAATCGAGAATCCGCCAAGGTTGTCAATGAGTTATCTTAAATTTTAAAAGTTAAATTTTTAGTTGACACCGGGAATAGATAAACTCATCTCGTCCCTTCACAATCATTCCATTCCAGTCTACTTGGTGTCTGGGGGTTTCCGAAGTCTCATTGAACCGGTGGCTGATTGTTTGAAGATTTCACGGTAATTTCAAAGTGCATATACTAATTATCGATGCTAATTCAATCCGTATGCTCAAATACGATCTTTCAGCACAAAAATCTATGCAAATGTGCTACTTTTCAACGAGGATGGATCGTATTCGGGGTTTGATGAAAACGAGTTGACTTCAGATTCGGGAAGTAAAGAGGTGAAAGAAAAGAAATGTCTAATGTTCTGAAATTGATTTTCAAGATAGGCAAGCCTGGCGTGTGTGCACTTCTCAAGAAAAAATATGGATACGAGAATTTGGTGATGATTGGCGATGGAGCGACTGATTATGAAGCATTCCCGCCTGCGGATGCCTTCATCGGATTCGGGGGAAATCAAGTGGGATATTGAACATTCTTCAAAAAGCAAATTTACTCGGCCTGATACCGATGACAATTGATGCAGAAAAAGTAAATGACTTTACAGATTCGAGAAAACGTTCGCACAAATGCCCCCTGGTACGTTTACGACTTCGAGGTTTTGCGACGAGAATTAGAAGACTAAACATCAACAGCCCTTTTGCTAAGTATTTATTTTAGCCCTGATCTGCAAATTGCATAAACACATTTCTCACTGAAAACCATTTATCGTTATACTGAGAACAGATAAAACACCGTACGATAGATTGCGCACAATCATTGAATTGAAAAAATATCAATAACTTACTTTCAACACCATTACAATACTTTTTAGGGTGAATAGACAAAAAAGATGAGACCATTTGAAGTAAGTCCACAACAAAATTAAATACCAACTTCAGTCAAAAACAGAAAGACTCAGTCAAGGGTAACGATTTCATCATCTTTGTCCGCATCGGCACCATTGCTCTGCAAACATTTTGTTCGAGCTCGATCTAAAAAAGAGAAGTCTTTAGAAGGGATTATTTTCAACTTGCCATTTTCCCCCATGCCACCATTTTTTGGATGCACTGTGCTGAGATGAGTTTCAAGTAGTTGATAGGAAGCGCATTTGAATGAGCAAACGTCACACGAATACATGATTTCGGCAGAACCTATAAAACTCTTTGGATGCGAATGTAGTGGGGAAAACTTACACAACTTCACTTGATGTTCAGCGACCAAGTGTTGAAGCATGTTGAACGCATATTGCTAAATAAGTGAATTTGCACGAAAACAGGATATAACATACCTTGCTGCAGTGTTTACATCGTCCACCATCTTCTCGGCGTTGTGCTTTGCTCAAGAGATCGGAGGTAACCAAACCATGAGACATTACAAGATGTCTTTCAAGTCCTTCGTACGTCCAAAACCTATAAAAAAATCAAAATGAAACAATCAAAAACAAACTAACCTTTCTTTACAGCGGCTACATGCTAATGGTGCACCCTGTTGCATGTCATTCACCGTTTTCCCTTTCATCTGCTTGTGAAAAACTTGCAAATGTGTCAAATAACGGTCGCGATCCTAAAACAGTGCTAACAAGTTTTTACAAAAAGTGCTTACTTGGACGTTTTGATCACAGATTTCACATGCATATTGACTTGTTGTCGCCAACCCAGCCCCATTTGGTATGGGATTTCGGTTTAGTGTAGCATGTGTCGATGGAGTTGAGACTGACTAAATCCATGAAATTTGAATAAATATTCAAGCGCATTTTTAATTGTACAATAAACACCTAATGTCTTACCGAGCTCATTGCAGATTTAGTTTGTGATGGCTGGGCTGACTTAGGAGAAGGGGTTGCTGTAGCCTTTTGTGCTAGGTTACGCTAAATAAACTTTGTATGAAAATATGGAATAAATTTCTAACCTGGAATAGCGCTGCAGCATCGTTCAATCTCGAAGACGAACCCCTGTTTTGTTGAGTTTGTTGTTGCGCAACTTGAGCCAGATGTCGTTGCATTGCTAGATTTCTTGCTAGACTTGTACGAAACCCTTTAAGAAAACCTCGAAGTCAAAACAATCTAAAAAAACTACCTGCTATGAGGCTTTGCCCTGGATTGGTTCCCAAACCAGATGAGCGAATATTTGGCTGCTAAAGAAATCATAATGTCAGCCAAAAATTTATAAAATACCGTAGCCAAAAGACGCTTTTGCGCTTGAAGCAACTGTTGCTGCTGCAAAATCTAAAAGTGAAATATTAAATTCAAATAACCTAAGGTTTTGTAGAAGTGTGTACAACAAAGCCGCCAAACAATTACCTGCATAGCTTGTTGTTTCTTCTGTTGTTCGCGTTGTGCAGCAAGGAGTTGGCCAGCAGCTTGTTGTTGCTGAAGTCGTTGCTTTGTTTGCTAAAAAGAAGATCGATTTTGAAAAACGAGAAAGAATATAAAACCTGTTCACGTTGATTTTGTTGTTGTTGAGCGAGAATTGTTGGGTCAACGGGTGGCTTCTCCCACAACCATGTGTTAATCGCCGACACATCTTCTTTATTCTTTGGTGCCATCACAAAGCGTAGTTTTGCGAAATCTCGTTTACAAACCTAAACATTATTGAATAAAGGCTGTATAATAGTTCTATGCAAGTTTCCAATTTAAACCTTGATACAAAATTGTATTTTGAGTTAGATTTTACACAGTTGATGTCATCTGCGCTAAAACTAACCGCTCGCATGTGTTGATCACGTTGCCCTTTGTATTGGAAGTCTTCGTCACAAATGTAGCACGGATGTCTCAGGGAGGATCTGGCTTTGTTGCCACAACTTCGTGATTTTTCCTGTAAAAACAGAAAGTAACAAAGTTTGCTAAATTTTCTTACAAGTAATGTTTCATCATGCGGTTTTCATTTGTATCATTTTCTCCGCAGAAACCACATTGAAACTTTCTCCCATCATAGTGCAACTCAGAGCGGTGAGAAGTCATAACCAATCGAGATTCCGTTTTGAAATTGCAAGCCTAAATTTTACATTAGGAGTTAACGACAAAAACCACATTACCTGGCAAGTTATTATTTTTTGTTTAAAGGGCTCATTTTTCTTCCGAAGTTGTTCCCAAACAGGCTTCAATTGATTAGCCACCTAAAAAGTTGCATTTGAACGTTGAGTCTATTAATTAATCAGCAATTAATTAAAAATAAAAGTTACTTGTTTGTAAGTTTCCATGTTTTTGGGGGCTTCTGGAAGATTCTTCGCATGGACGATATCACAATAAGTGGCTTCTTGAACAAGCTCTTGACCAATTTCCGTCAACAAACGAGTCATGTGCGGCGCCGCGTAATTTTGCTAAAAAGTCACTATATTGATACTTCTCGAAAGCTTAATGTCCTCCACTGTGAATTTCCAAATCGTTAAGCTTTTACCTTCAAATATGCCCTCTCTTTCTTCTCGGTGTCGGAATGCTTAGGTCGCTCTTCTCCAAACATCCTTGTCAATACTTTCGATAGTGGAAAATCGGGATCATGTTCGATGACAAGATCAACAACCTAAAAATCTTCATATAAAACTTTTTTGCTGCTCAAACATACCTGACTTGGTGGGAATGAGATCGTATTTGGAAGAACAAGTTGTTTGTCCAAGATAAGTTTACGAACGCTCAATGGTTCACGTTGGACCGGAAACAGAAATTTGAACAAGCTGATAGATTAGGACAAACTTGAACGTTTATGGCACCAAGCAAGGCATCCAAGACTTTACGTTGAACATTGTTGCCACCTTCAATGGCCTAAAACAAAGATTGATACAGAAACAAGCTTGACAGAACATCCAAATAAATTTTTATTTTTAAAACTCTACCTCGCCAACATATTCTTCAATTCGGTTCAAAAGGGCTTCACTGTTTGTGAGTTCTGGCTCTTTTTTGCCTTTGGCGTCGTTGTCTTGCGTCTTGTTCGAATTCACCAACTCTTCGCTCTAAAAGGGAACGATAAAAAGTTAATATTTGCAAAAACCTTGTGAGTAGTTGGATCATCAGGAACCGGACTAGCCTGTTGTTTTCCGTTCAAATCGGTTTTCGCCTGTTTTGCTTGTGGTGGCGCTTCCACGTTGTCGTCTTCATCCAAAGCGATCACCTAAAAATGTGTTGTTTGATGACAAAGTGCATAAATTGATACTTCGTCGTCATCGGAGGCTTTCCTCTTGACACCATTTCCTTTTTGCAAATCGTTCTCTTTTGCTAAAAATATGATTTTGAAAAGATATACATTTGATTTGTCAGGCTTCTTAAAAGACAAAAAGTACCGCTCGCAGCTCCTTCTTGTTTGAAGTCATCATTTGATGTGCTCGCCTCTCCTTCTCCATCTTCATCTCCTTCTCCATCTCCATCTCCATCTTCATCTTCATTTCTATCTCCATCGCCATTTTCTTCTCCTTCTCCATCTCCATCTCCATCGCCATTTTCTTCTCCATTTTCTTTTCCTTCTTCATCAACAGTCATTTCTTCGTTATTGTCCCCGTCAATGCTGGCTTTTTTCTAAAAATAAAAAGTTATTGTAGCTACAAGAAAAGAAATTTACCAATTCGATGTTTCCATTTTCGTGTTTCTCGTTTTCCCCGGCTTCTGTTTCGGGTCGATCATCGTGCGAGGACACCATTGCTGAAAAAAACACAATGGAATTTGAAAATGGATAAGGTAGAAAAGAAAAAAAAAGTGCAATTTTTGCAAAGCTGTGCATGTTTGGTAGTTGCATTATCTTGCTTGAACATCTTTTGTTTGTAGGTAAAAGTTATCTGCTTAAAAGATATTCAATCAAAGACGTTTATATAAACTGCCATTGGCAAACGTGCAGTTTGGAGTCGCGTTTAACTTTTACAAAAACAAGAAAAATTTAAAATAACTAAAATAATTTCAAACGATTACGCTCGGTAAATCGAAATGGGTGACAATTTTAGGTCGAATTTGAAAGGAATGCGGACAAAATCTTAAGAAGCTCCATTAGAGCTGCTTTAACTAATCGATAAAGCGCAATAATTTCATGGATTTACATTTATCGTCAGGCGATATCGCGCGCGATAACGGGGCGACGCCGCGAGCGTTCAGAAATGGGCGGGACGGGTGAAAAGGGGGGAAATGGGGGAAGAGGGAAGAGAGGAAGGAAAGATCTAGAGAGAGATTTGTGCACACAGAAGAGCACACACAACACCGCTTCCGCACCCCTAGACACCGAGAAACGCAGACGGAGAAAGAGAAATTCTCTCGGGAAGATCGCCATGTGGACGCGATGCGACGTCGCACCTCCCCCCCTTTCCTTCCTCATATCCAGTTCTAGTAGAAGCTCATAGTTCATATCCGGTGTTCGCCAGCACCAACTCTTGGAATCATTTAGAACCAAGTTAGAAGTCATTTAGAACTTTTCTTTTCATGTCAAAGACTTTGGAGAAATGTCTTTAATTTAAAATCGAACCCAATTGAAAGCAGGAAAATCGGACTTGCTAACAAAAGGTCAACAGCTAGATGCATTTGAAACTTCAAGATTCCATGAAAATGAAAAAAAGTTATAGCTAAATGGATGGTATAAGGAAATCTGGATCAGGGATGATTTCGGGGTGATAAGACAAAAGCTTAGTGACGATGGGGCTAGACGGATGGGTCGAGTAAACAGAAATAAAAAACAAGACCGATTGAAGACAGGAGGGAGTTCAGAGAAACGACGAATTTCGTTGTAGGACCAGCAAAAAGAGAGAGAAAAGAGAGTGAAGAGATCGACACACCGTAGGAAATATCGATTGCTGAAGGGGGGGGGGGGAGTGAAGGAAGGGAGAAGGGGGGAGCCTCCCCCTTTACGCTCCACATGGTGCAAGGGAGAAGGGAGAGGTTAAGTCATGAAATAGTCCCAAGCGGCTCTGATTTGAGAGCTTTGAAAATGATACCGTAGTCGAAGGAAGGATCTTCAAAGTGAACTCAAATTTTGGGATTCACTGAAGTCAACAATCTTTTATCTTTTATCACCATTGAATCCGATCTAGTTGACTTCATCAGATTAAGTTTAGATAACAGCTTTGAACGACTGGGCATGGTCCTCGCGATTTTGATGATGATGTCGCTAGCGAGATCGCCGTTGTGCTTGATGTTTTTGGCCTTTTTTTCTGATTTGGCTCGAGAAGCAGCCGCATAAGAGAGATCCTAAACGAATGATTTAATATGGAAATGGTTTAATAGTTTGATTTACCTTCTGAACAATTGGAGATTTTCCAAGAGAAGATCCGGGTCTTGGCCGATGGCCGATGGCCACACAAGAGAGCCATTGCTAGAAAGCACCGGTGAGCCAGCCAATGATTTCAGGAATTTTAATTGACGTTGTAGGCTAAATGCAAAAATTTTTTTTTGTATTTTGTTCAGGAATACAACCCACTCTCCTCAACTTACTTTGCTGAGTTCGTTTGATCATCGGTTGTTTCTTTCGCAGCAGCCATCCATTTCAACAACGGCCCATCACCATAGGGAGTGGCTGCCAGTTGAGCCTCCAATCTTTTTGGCGCGTTCAATTTGTCATTGATTCATATCCGACCCGAGCACAATTGGTGCCGCTGCAGCAGCGGGCACTTGTGATGGCATTGCAGCTAAACTTTAATAAGTAATACCATTATAATCGGAACCGTTTTCAATGAGATTCATTCATTCTTGATATACAGATTTTTAAAAGTCATGCTCAAATAAGGTTTTTCGATCATAAAACTTATAGTTCAAAGGATATCGAAACGCCAAATCGTTTATTTTAACGACATATGAAAATACTACATACAGTGGTGGAAAAAATATTGGAAAAAAGTAAGTCAAACACAGTTAGTAAACACTTTTTTCACCACTATATATTAACTATTCGAACGAAAACAAACAAAAGCACAGAAACGAAAAAACCATGATTACCGTAAAAACTCTAATAGAACGGCCCCCTATAGGAGCGTCGTGTAGTCTAAGTTTACTCTTAAAACAAGCTCTCATATCTCGGCGTCCAGAAATTTGTTTCTCTGCGTTTTGGGATCAAGCTAAAGTAGAGAGAATGGGGGGCCGTTCTATTAGAGTTTTTACGGTAAGTTGCAATCAACAACACTTCAATTTGTTAGTCGTTTTAATCAAATGAGAATCAATGAGATGAGAGACCTTGAACTCTAAAAGAATATGATAAGAGGTCTAGTCGAGATGTGATTGATGATTTTGTACTTATTTTATCCATAGAAAAACATCAAAAATTTCACTAATCCGGCTTTTTCCAATCGAAAAACGATTGATTAAAGCAGGATCAAATACTTGTTATACTAATACTTTATCCTTGTTTTTACCAGTCAATCACTTCAATCAACAATTTTTTGCTACAAAACAGGATCAGATCCATACTTTAAAATAAATACTCTTCTTGTTTGCCCGAGTTTCCTTTAGGATTTTTAACAATCTCAAATTTGAAAGTATAACGTACCAGCGCCTTACGAAGTTGCTTGTACCCAAAGCAGTTCCAAAACGGTTCAATGTGTTTAGTACCGTGAGATCAAGAAACAGATCGACCACCGTCAACTCCACACCTCGACCCTGATGAGCCACAAAAAGCTGTTGTGCTTGAAGGACGGGCTGACGCGGGCTCTAAAAACCTAACGATCAGCACAGATAATTAAAAGCATCATTAGAAAAGTATGAAAAATATGAATTAAAAAAGCACCAACCTCCAAAATGATACCGGAAAAAATGTAGGTGCTCCTACCGGCTGGGTTGCTTATGACGCTTCCCCTATTTCGACAATTGAAATAATAATCTCCTCCCCCGGGCTGCATTTTGAAACGAAAGACATGACCATTTTGAATAACACGCATTGATCGAGCTGCAACGTTAATACGCAATGGAGTGTTCGCATCTTCAGTGATCTTTAACATCACCATGATCTAGAAAGAGCAGATGAACAAAATGATTGAAAATCTCAAATAAGAGATATAAACTTAAAACGTGATAAATAAGTATTTCTGTATCATTTTGCTACCGTTTTTTGGAAAGTTTTCTCTCTCATAAATGGAAAACTACAAGTATGATAATGCTACAAGGAAACTATCGAGACCAAAATAGACGACCCGATCTAGCATAAAAACTCCATTGAAAGCAGCTGCAAAGAATTATGTGCTTAACGAAAATCTCGCTGCTGAATACCAAAACCAAGCTCAACGCATATTTTGTAGACTCAGAGATCTTATTTTTACATCAATCACATACAAAAGTGTCTAAAGACTAGCGCAAGAATAGCATGCATTTCTACAACTTTGACTCAGAGCAAGCTGACAAAAAAATCAAATTAGTCTTTGGCTAAGAAGCGCCGCCGGTGCTAAAGTGTCCATAGAAGGAACTCATACGTCTCAATTACCAATGATAAAGCATAAACTGGCTTCAGCCACTATAAACTTTCAAACAAGAAATGAACTTTGAATTATTTATTGAATCAAGAACGCAAAAGAAATAAAAAATCCAATCCTTAGCATCCAGGTTTAAAATTGGCAATGGCCATGTTGTAGCGTTTTGCTTCCTCAGCCCATTGCGTCGAGCGGAAATTCAACCTAAAGAGAAAGTAGTTGACTGGATAGACACAAAAGTAACTTACTTGAAAGATGTAGTCAGCTTCTCGACAACGTTGTCCCATGAAGGAACGGCTTTGCACGATGGAATGTTGAGTATTTGAGACATCACCTCACGAATGTGGGGTGTTTCTGGCCGGCGCCTAAAATAAAACACTGAATATTTTTCTGGACGGCTAAATTTATAAATAGGAAGCCCACTAGTTCATTAAACCTTACCTTGCAAAACGTAACTCGCGTGATCTTCGTGGTGAAAGAAAGTCCCGGTGATTGACTTCCATATGCAATTTCCGGTTCGGGTTCGAGTTGGTAGCAATCGAAAAGAGAAGAGACGAGAAAAAATGCTGAGGCAACATAATCCACATGACGATCACCCTAAAGACTCAACGTTTCCCCAAAATCGTAAAATCCAAACCTTTGTCGTAGCAATCGAGTTGGTAAATGAGACTTGTTGAAAGCCTCTCTCGCTGACACACAGGCCAACCTAAAGACCAAATTGATTAGGAAAATCCGAAAAATTTTCACCTCCCAGCGATCGTTCACTTGCTCATAGCAGACTTTGTTTGCTTCGCCCGTGTTATCGGTGATATCCTTGGTATACTGCTCGATGTATTGTTTGAAACCACTAACCTAGAACTTCATTTTAAATTACATTCCAACAAGGAAAACACACCGGTAACACTTTTATGCCACAAGATGCGCCAGCTACATCAAAAGCACGTCGTGAAATCAATCCGATGATATCATCATCCAGCTCCGGCATCTTGAATTTAGCCAACTCCGGCTTGAAAGTGACCTAAAAGAAATTTAGATGGTAAAGCAACAAATCCCACTACACATTCGTATAGTCGTCTCCTTTCGTCTTCACAATCTCTGCATCCTTGTCCTTTGTCATATTCTTGACCCAGGTTTGTCGAAAAGTTCCGGATTCTCCACTCGGCTTCCAATTGGGAAATAGATTTCGTCCTCATTTCAAAGAGAAATACAAAATTGATCATGTAAACCTAAATAAATCAAATTTATCTCATAAAAACACAAGAACAATAATAGAAAAAAAATAATAGAAAAACAATATAAAGTTTTGTTTGATGGCTTATTTGCGTGTAGATGACCCTGCGTGATCACTGCTTGATCGTCGCTCCTCCCGATCTCGTCCATGATGGTAGTCCTCCCATGGACATTTCTCTTTCTTTCGCTTTTCGGGTTTCTTCGGATCCTTGACTTCTTTCGATTTCTTTGTTTTTTCCTCTTTGTTTGATGCCCCACATGCGATGCGCGATTTCAGCTTTGATGAGCCTGTAGCGAGTTTGAATTTGAGCTGGTCCATTTGTTGAACCTTTTCTTTGTCGAGTACAATGCTCCGATCGTTCTTTGTTTTTGGGTTCACGCTTAGAGTGTTTGTATCGACTTCTGCTGGTTTAATTTTTAGGCGCGGCTTCTGATGTAGATCGATGTGAATAGATGGATCTTCGTGAAAAATCAATGCCGAGAGTTCAGGAGTGGGCGAACGATCACCTCGATACGGTGGGGTCATCGCTGGGTCCTCGACAACGACCAGGTTATGTCCCCTCTTTCTGTTGATCTTTCCTTCTTTGCAGAACTTTTGCGTAGAGTTCAAGGTCTCTAGGTAAAATTTGCCCAAAGCGATTAGATCGTTGTTATTGATTTTCGCACCGTAACTCTTGCGGAAAAGTCCCTGTAGTGACCAAGGAAGTCCGTTTCCTCTTTGATCATTTACATTTCTAGTCAGTGTACTCAGATTGCGTAATCCCATTTTTTCAATCCTTGAAAACATCTGTTTCATAGAGTCAAGTTGTTGGTGGGTAACCAGGCATATTGGAATTCCGGGTGCTACTACCATTGTTGCTGTTGGAGTTAGCTTTCTTGCTAGGTTAGCCAACTCTTTGAATAGCTGGTCTGAGGCAATTCCTTGAGATGACTCGGAAACGCCTGGGTTGATCACGATGAACAACAGCTCGATCATATTGACTTTCGAAATTAGTGAGTTCAGTTCACGTAGCCTTTTGAGGACAGGTTCACAACCCTCAGCTGTTTTTAACACATAGGTGCTGAAACCTGAGCTCTGAACCAACTCAATTGCTTTCGTAGCCGCATCATCTGCAACAATAACAATTTGCTTGTTACTAAGTAGTGCCGCTAGTTGATCCTTTGTATCCTGCGTTCGTTTCTCTTTTCTCCACGTCCCTTTTGATAGATTTCCCGTTAGACGCAGCGCTTCGCTTTTTTGTTCTTTTTCGTCCATGGCTTTCTCATACATAAAGCTCCAATAGCCATTGCCTATCACCTTTGGTTTCTTGATGAGAAGTTCTGCGTATGCGTTACAGGCATCCGTTGAAAGAGCAGCATAATGTTCCATTCCCAGTACAATGCTGGACGGAGTAACTTCGCCCCTCAGGACTTGTTGTATCAAAATTCCAAGTTCAAGCCCGTCGTCGAGGTTGTTGAAAAAAATGGAACAGTGTCTTCATATCCTCAATGACGTAGCACTTCAGATTGTCGTCGATCTCCTTGTCCCATTTGTTCGCGATTTCGGCAGCGAGAATTGGCACGCGAAGTTTTGCCGATGGATGTAAAAGATGATCCTCATTGATGACCACTCGTTCATCTTCCATTCTGAAAGTAGAATCATTTGCTTTTTGGCGTAGGGATAAGCCATAGTTAGGTGAAGTTTCATTCTCTCACCTGTCTCCCACCGTGACGTTGATGGCCTGTTTTTGTTCCAAGTCAATGACGAGCTCGCGGTCTACAAAGTACGCTTCAGAAGCCTCGAGCTCTGCGTCACTCATGACTATCGAGACTAAAATAAAAAGCTATAAATTAGATTGAAACCAGGTGTAAAGAATCATACGATTGGCGAAAATTTCGCTGCTGAAACCAATGCGCATAGAGACAATCCTTAGGAAAATAATAGAAAATAAATGATGCGTAAATTTTTTCAAAGTTTTTTGAATTTTCTCAGCAACGAGTAAAGCAAATCGAATTCCTTTTATTTCTATAAATGTGCCTATGGAATGCGAACATTCTAACAGAGTTTCTAAACTTTTAGTTAAAAACCCGTAATTTTGTGCAACTTTTTGTCTCTCAGGTGAGTGGGCGGGGGCTTCATCAGTTAAGTGGGGCTACTATTAGAAGAAATACGGTATCTTTACACGATAAATTTCGTGTTTTTCTTTGCAATGAGAATGAATTTGGAGGCTTGGAGAATTGAATGGAAGCAGCGAAGACAAAGTTTATTTGCCGGACCGTTGCAAAACTATTAAATTAGCAAAGGTAAAAGCATAAACTGGCTTCAGCCACTATAAACTTTCAAACAAGAAATGAACTTTGAATTATTTATTGAATCAAGAACGCAAAAGAAATAAAAAAATCCAATCCTTAGCATCCAGGTTTAAAATTGGCAATGGCCATGTTGTAGCGTTTTGCTTCCTCAGCCCATTGCGTCGAGCGGAAATTCAACCTAAAGAGAAAGTAGTTGACTGGATAGACACAAAAGTAACTTACTTGAAAGCTTCTCGATAACGTTGTCTCAAGAAGAAATGGCTTCGCACGATGGAATGCTGAGCATTTGAGACATGACACCACGAATGTACGGAGCTTTTGGACGGCGCCTGAAATAAAACACTGTAAATATTAAAATATTAAATCATTAGTAGTACCTAGGAAGTGGTTTCTCAAACATGAAACCATTCGAATCCTCGACGACCTTTCCGTACGTCTTGAAGATTCCTACATGGAGAGATGCAGCGAAAGAGAAGTGATCCGTCTGATAAGTCCAAGGACGATCATTCTAAAGTATCCAAAATTGAAAAAAACAAAACTTCACACTTACCAGCATTTCAGGACAATCGAAGCATTGTGTTCCGGCGCGACCACTGAAGGAAGTTCCACCTGGCAGAGAAGAGAGATCAATTGCTCGACCCCAATCGATGAGACGTATGATGGGCCTTGCAGAAAGCAACACGTCGGCGCGTAGAGACAATCCTTCGGGCAATCTGAAACAACAAAGTAACTGTTTAATTTAACCACGACTCACTTTCCAATGAACATCACATTGTCTGGCTTTACATCTCCATGGATAATTCCGGCGGCGTGAACTTCTTCCAAAATTCGTGCGAGTTGAAGAGATCGAGTACAACACTGTAGGATACCTCGCCGGTCACGTTGTTAATGCATTGCAGCATGTTGCCCATCGACAAGTACTCGTTGACAATCAGAGATGCGTTCCGGAAGATGTACATGTCGTCGATCTTCATGATGGCGAGGCTGATCTCCGTGGAAACGCGATTGTGGACGGCTAAATTTATTAATAGGAACTCCACTAGTTCATCAAACTTTACCTTGCGAAATGTAGGCTTCCCAGGCACACGATGGAACCTCGTACTAAATATAATTGTAGAGCAAAAGTTTTAAACGCTTTACCTTCAAAGCTACTGTCAATCCTTCGTCATTGCGAGCTCGATGCACCTTTGCAAAACCGCCTTCACCTAATAGCCAATCCTTGAAACCTCATCCGTATTCACGATTTGAGCTGGAGAAGGTTCCTGAAAAAATGATTAATTACAGGTGAAAACAAGTATAATAGTTTTTTTACATGGCATAATCAAATGTTACCTCTAAAGATCTTGACGCAATTAAATGTGGTGTCTTTGAGCAGCCGTTTGTAGAATAATTCCCCTTGTTCACAACCTAAAAATCCAAACATTTATTCTTAATTAAGCGATACAAACCTTCACCTATTCGGCCAACACTTGTCTAAGTTCGGGTCAATGCCGCTTACTTCTTCCGCTTAACTCCTTAAAGGTCATAACACGCAATTCGAATAGTCTCTATGTGAAGTTTTGAAAAAAATTCATAGCCCATTGCTGCTTTTCCGACGGTCTAGATAACAAATAAACTTTTATTCAACAAGAATGAATTTGGTAAACAAACAAGAAACAGAACAAACAGAAAGCACGTCAATGTATCACAAGCCAACTTTTGAGATCGTCTTTTTGAATGATGATGAATGATGTGACTGCAACCATGACCGTGCTGAAACTAAAATTTTGAAAAAATAAGAGTTATCAAAATCTCTATGGAATGTTATCGGCTACGATTCGAAAAAACTTGCTCATTCTTAGTTGCTTCGTTAATATCTTAGAGCATTTTTCGTAAATTTTAAAGGCCATAATGCTAGGTCATCAGCGACGAGTTACTTTGATTCTAACAGATCACACTCTAGCTTTTTACCTAAACCACAAGCAAATGATGAAACCTGAAAAAAACCTGGTTAAATTGGCGTATAGTTGCTCTGTCGAATGCCACCACGGAAAACATCATCCGAAAAAGCGCCCAAATCCACGAACACATCGACCTCGGCGAGATCCACAAACACGGTGAGAGGCAACTGTCCACTCTGATGCTGCTCAAAATCACGGTGGATGTCGGTCGGGTTTGATCGACTCTAAAGTACAAGAATTATAAGCTGTAATTTCAAACCTAAGATCTCATCGATTCTATAGAAAAACTACAATCAAAGAGAAACCTGACCTGCATCATCACATTATGCAAGAGATATTTGAATCTTGCACCCCTTGTAGTTGTACCGAAGTCTCGCGGAAACGATTCATACGTGCGATTATTCACTGGCTGAGTGTGAGCAAATCGATAGCAGACGTTGTCTCGAGGGTCGGTGATCTCGAAGTATGTGCCGACCAGCAGGGAAGTAGAACTCGATAGGGTTGGCGGGAGGGTTGCCCTCTCCTCGTTCTTCGACAAACATCAAGATTGGACGAGGACGTTGCACATTCATCTAAAGGAAGAAATGAAAAATCAGCCAACATCAAAAAATGAGCACTTATCACTTAACGTCACTGTGACGTGCACTTTATAGGCTTAATATTTGATTTCAATCAGCTACTGACAAAAAAGGAGATCCATAAACTGACCTTCGCTTCCGATTTCGAACCAAACTCCTTGGATCTAAAACAACCGAAATTATTAAATCTGAAGAATATCAAATAGTCGTAAAGTAAAGACCAAAACACTGTCAGATAAAGAGCGCACAAGAAAATACTTGAAACTAATAACCGTTCACTGGAGCTAATTTTTACATATGAATAATCTGAAATAACAGGTTTTGATCCATGTTGGGCTCCTACTCGTCAACGTCTTCTTCGTCGGTGTCATACTCGTCAAAGTCCTCTTCGCCAGTGTCATCTTCGTGTTCCAAACCCCCTGACATCATTGCCGAAAAATTGCCTTCGTCAACGCGTACCTAAAATTGAATTCTGAAATTCTCGTAGCCTCGTAAAAATCCACACTTAAAATCTCAACCTAACGAATTAAATAAGTACAAGTCAAGAACTTTCACCCGCAGAAAATTTTAACACTGAACCTGTTGGTAGCCGGCAACACTTGAAAGCTTCTCGACAAATCGACCCAACATCAGCACATCTTCGAATCCGGCCTGGACATTCACAAGTATTCCATACGAAATATCTCGATCGTAGCACTAAAAGTCTATCATGAATATTGTTATTTAACCTAGATCTGGGCAAAGGTTTGCCGCCTAAGAATAGTTCCTCTAGTATGATATTATATCACTATATGATATTATTATATTATATGAGAAATAAATATAGGAATTTATTATTGAAACAAAAAGACAGACCTCAAGCAACATTTCCGGCAATAAGAGCTTGGAGTTGCCCAAATTTTCGACTGCGAACTTCCTTTTTTCGTTGATCGGGTAAGCAAGACGAAAAGCCTTTCCGCCATAGATCACGTCCAAATGATTCGGTTCCACCGCGAAAGAATCGAAATCCTTCGAGAAACGCAGTTGAGGTGTCATTAAGTCACAACTAAAGGATGAGAGTGTGGGCGAAAAGCAAGGAAAAACATAATGGCAGATCAATAAAAAAGAAAAGCTATCAACGAAGCCATCACAATAAAAAATGAAAACTATTCGTCGCATGGGTGTTGTCCATCAATGGTGTAGCCGTCCGATTGACCGGTTCCGAGGATCTCCTTCACCATTCCCTCCAGCTTCTTTGCCGTCACAAGCTTTGAACGACTGGGCATGGTCCTCGCGATTTTGATGATGATGTCGCTAGCGAGGTCTCACAGTCGCATGGGATTCGTTTCTCTGGTAGCAAAACGGGCTATCAGCAAAACTGGCTAACGGGCTATTGCACGAAATTTTGCCTGAAAAGGGCAATTTTACGCTTTGCCAAGAATCAAGCCACCACCAAAGAGAAACGAGCCCTTGCGGTCAGCCTAAGCGCATCGAAACCTTACCTCGTTTGTTCTTTCTTTCTCTTATTGTTGATGTGTTTTTGTGAAAGAGAAAAAAGAACAAACGAGGTAAGGTTTCGATGCGCTTAGGCTGACCGCAAGGGCTCGTTTCTCTTTGGTGGTGGCTTGATTCTTGGCAAAGCGTAAAATTGCCCTTTCAGGCAAAATTTCGGGCATAGTAGCGTGGTGCTAATAGCCCGTTTTGCGACCAGAGAGACGAATCCGATGCGACTGTGAGACCAGCTAGTGCTGCATCTCACAAAGCCGCCCAACCAAAAGTTTGTTGCAACCCCTTGCGGCGATATACAACAAAACATTTTGTTGGGGATATGAGAAGAGGCGAATGGAAAAAAATGAAAAAGATTTTTTTTTGAATGAAAAAGAGACGACGACGCGGTGCTCCTTTAGACGCCCTTGAAACGTCGGCGACGTCAATTGGAATTCGACGTCGTGCGAGAAATAATGTTTGGTTATATAGGCTTTAAACATAAGATATTCAACTAATGGGTTGAAGAAGCAAAAATAATTGATGGTGCACAATAGAATGCACAATTTTCTTGAATAACTTTGTGCTACCTATATTAGGCAGCTTTTTGAGTGGCCATTCGCCACAACAATTGTATCCGGAAACAAGTGAAACATCTAGAAATAGCCACGAAAATCTTTTCAATCAACACTAATTGTTTGCTAGTCTTGATATGTTTGTTTAGATTGCTATCACGATGCGAAGTGGAATCGGGATCTCAATTGTGAACTCGCTGCAAGAAGAGCTTGTGTACGCCCGTTTTGGAGATATTGTGATCAATGCGAGCAAGATTGGCGAGACGTTTCAGATGACCGGCAGCGTGGGAGTCATACAGGTAAAGCATTTAGCATATAGATAATTAGGCTGCGTCGTAGTCTAAAGTTTTTGTGAAACCTAAAACTGTTCAATTGTTAACAGGACTAGTTAGCATGTATGGTTGCAATTTAAACATTTAGGCTGACAATCAACTTCTAAATGCGGACCGCTGGCAATTCATCTATTGTCAAGCGGCAATGGCTGATGATGAGGTAGATACTGCCTTAATTAATCCTTATGCACTTCTTTAGAACTACATTCGTCCTGAGAATCTTCCAGCTGGTGTACCGACCACGGCTCGACCGGCATTGAAAATCGAAATGAACTGTACTCCGATGAAACACTATGACGCCTTTGATGTAGGTTTTATAACAAAAACAAAAGTTGAAGAGTCTTTAGTGTTTCCGATTGAAACTTTGCGACCTCTCGGTTCAACTGGACGAGCTACTTCTTTGGAAATTTATCCAATTTGTGCAAGCGACTGATGCGAGTCAAAGAATACAGGTAACGTTTAAAATTAGCGCTCAAAAGCACATTTCAATTTTAGCCGAGTGCCCTCGAAATGCCACCAAATACCGAATTGGATCGCCCAAATCCGTTAGCATCAAGAAAGTGTTACTTTGGAAGGTTGGAGTTAGATATGGGTCAAATTGCTCTTTCTGGTAAGCGTAAACTTGTATATGTAACGATAAATTATTATTTGTTTTAGTTGCAACAATTCCGAAAAGTGGACTGCCAAAAGATCTCCGACTTCTCAAGCAACAGTTCAATATTATGGTGAGTTTGAAATGGATATATCTCAATATTTTCTTTTAGTTGGTGTCTTTTGAAAACGCAGGCATCAGTCTACCGCCATTCCGTCAACTACACTACTTTGAGACCTCGTCATTCTTGTTCGAGTTGCTAAAGAAATTCTATTTTGGTATTTTTTTGGAACTTCAAAAGAAAGTGATGAACGTCGGCTTTTACCTGGATGCTTTTGGAAACCCAGCTGGCTTTGTGACGGATTTGAAAGACTTTTTCGCGGTGAGTTTTTGGTTTGGAAGCTTTAAACGCTTGGTTTTAGGGTCTCTTTATTGAGGGGGACGTGCTTTTTCAGATTCCATGTTATGGTGGCTGGCGCAAAGAAGCTCTACGGATTCCGCGTATTCGTCGCCTCGTGTGTGCTCACAACGGTAACGATAGGTGAGCTTTAATTGAGATAAAACTGTCGTTGATGTCAACGAGTCGTAAGATGTCATTATTTAGGTTTTGTGCTATGGGACGAGCAGAATCAACGGAATCGACGACAAGAAGGCGTTCGACAACGATTGAAAAGCGTGCAACAACAACAGAACATGACCGATTACGCTATGCAGAAACAAAAGTTGGTTTTAAATTACACAAGGTTCACTGTTTTTGTATTTAGATATGAGGAGTACAAAACAACGCACTCGTAATCGGTGGCGATGAAATATTGATAGCTTGAGGTTTACTCCTGTTGTAGATTAGTGTATTTTTACGGGTATTTGTTATTTTGTTTGTACTTTCTTTTTCTTGTTGTATGAATGAATAAACGTTTTGCTTAACTTTTTAATCCGTTTTTTAGTTCGTTCCTGGCGATCGGATATTTTTTGCGTTTCAATTAATTAAAACTTCAAATGCCTCAGAATCTAATGTCACCTTTTTAGTATTCTGACAAAATGCCAAGCGACGACAAGAAAGCGCCAAAGAAGGTTGACGATGGAAATTACGATAAGGAGGTAAAATTTGAAAATCTTTGAATAATATTTGAATGATTTTAGGTGATTTCAAAATCGCCCAACCTGGAGATCGCTCAACTGCGCTTCCTCGTCAATCACCCTGAATTGGATCCAACTCTCAAGGCCACCAACCTCGAGCAATTGATGATCGAGATTAAAGCCAACGACATGGCCCCATTCTACAAGTTGTTGGCCGAGGAGGTGAAACTGCCATTCGACAAGGCTCTATACGATTCCATGACGGCGAAGAATCAAGAGAAAATCGAGGCCTTTGATGCGGAGATTGCCGAGAAAGCCGAGAAGAACATGGGTGAAAGTGAGGTGCGACAGGCTTGGCTAAAGAAGTACGAGTATTTCTGTCAAATCGGAGACAAGGAAAACGCCCTGAAAGCTTTCACGAGCACTTTCGAGAAGACCGTTGGCGTTGGGTACAAGATCGGTTTGGTGTTCAATATGATTCGTGTTGGACTGTTCTTTCTGGAGCATCAACTGATGAACAACTATGTCACCAGGGCCAAGGAGCTGATGGAACAGGGCGGTGATTGGGAACGTAAGAATCGTTTGCGATCGTACGAAGCCCTCTACAAGATGTCGATTCGAGACTTCTCCGGTGCCGCGGCTTTGTTTCTCGAAGCTGTGCCGACTTTTGGAAGCTACGAGTTGCTGAGCTATGAACAATTGGTCTTCTACACGATTACCACATGTGTGCTGGCACTGGAGCGTCCCGATTTGCGCTCAAAAGTCATCAAAAGCAACGAGGTGCAGGAGCAGCTGACCGGTGGCGGAGAAAAGGGACAGCTCGTCATGATGCGCGACTACCTCAACTCGTACTACGATTGTCACTACGAGAAGTTCTTCCACAATTTGGCAACTTTGGAGTCGGAGAGGTTGAAGTTCGACAGATACTTCTTCCCCCATTACAACTACTACAGCCGTGGAATGCGCCTCAAGGCTTATCTCCAATTTTTGACTCCCTACAAGACAGTTCGTTTGGACATGATGGCCAAGGATTTCGGTGTGTCAGTGGAATTTCTGGACAAAGAGTTGCACCGCCTTGTTGCCGCTGGACAAGTGCCTTGTCGAATCGACGCTGTGCAAGGAGTCATCCACATGCACCACCCGGACACAAAGAATCGCTTGTTTAAAGTGGTCATTCGAGATGGGGATTTGGTCGCCAGTCAAATGCAAAAGTTGTCACGGGTTCTTCTTTAAAACAAACCAACAAATTTTGTCTTACTCTTTTTTCTCATGTGTTATTTATTCCTTGAGATATTATCTGATCTGGTACTTTAATTTTTTGTGATGATCTTTTTGAATGTGCGGTTTTGTCAATAAATAAATTTTCAGATGCTGGCGTCTCAGCGAATTGGGTCAACGTAATGTAATTCCTTTTGTGCCGTAGTCGGCTGGGTTTAACTTTTCAGGGACATGAAACAACTTTACTGAGATTTTTGATGCCTTTAATTCTTCTTGAATCTGAGCAATTTTGTTTGTACGGCTCTGCACAAATTTTCCTGCCTTATCCCTTGTTTTTTCTTGAGTGACCCATTTCAGTGCCACTTCTGAATCTCCGCAAATAATGATTTCATCAATCTTTAATTTTATTTCGTTCAATAGGTATTGAGCCTGCTTATGAGCGCATTCTAGGGCTAACAATTCCATCTTTGGGATTGTGGGAATGACTTTAGTAGGGTTCAACCGATTCTTTGCAAAGATTATCGATGACTCAAATCTTTCTTCAATTTTTGTTTGCAGGTACGCGACAATTGCGTAAGCTTTTACCGATGCATCAGCGAATATCACTATTCGTGTGTAGTCTCTTTTTTGTGTCCTAAGGATGAACCTTGGGGTTGTGATGCTTGTTTCTTTACCGAACTTGCTTTCAATCTCTTCCCATTGCTCACTCTGTTTTTCGGGTAGTTGGTGATCCCATTTTAAGTCTTTGATCGACCACAAGCTTTGATAAAAACTTTTAGCCTCAATCAGCAATGGGGTAGCGATTCCCAATGGATCTTAATTCGTTGCAATAGCTTGAATTATTTTCCTTTTGGTTAACGGTCGCTCCGCCTTAATTTGGGTGGTTTGCGATAAAGTATCTTTGTCGCTGTCCCAAGTCATTCCTAGCGGTTTTAGTGAGCTTTCCACAATTTTATCTTCCTTTTCAATCAAGTTTAGCACAATTTTGTTGTTGCTAGTGAATTCTCGAATGTTCATCTTCATTTTCCTAAAGACATCCTTGTATGTCTTATATTTTTGAATAGCTTCTTGCTCGCTATGTGCGCCGACAAAAAGATTGTCGACGTACATATTTTCGGCAACTTCATCCTTCAGTTCAGGATAATTTTGTTCTAACATGTGTAGTATCGACATTGTGAGTGGGAAAGCACTGGCTTTAACACCGAATGGTGTCCTTGTATATCTTAAGACTTTCAAATTTTGGAAGGAGACGGGTTGTTTGTAATCTTTCAACCACAATATGCGAACTGCATCTTTTTCGGAACTTTGTAGGTGAACTTGATGATATGCTTTCTCTACATCGGCTGTAAGCAATATTGGAAATGTTCTCAATCTTATCAAGATTCCGATCATGTTTGGGATCAATGACGGGCCTTGATGCATGATTTGGTTCAGTGATTTCTGCCCTTTCATGCTCGCACTTGCATTCAAAACAATTCTTAATTTAGTGGTCCTCGAAACTTCTTTTATTACCGCTTGATGTGGTATATAAAAGCTTATTGGGCCTTCAATTTTCGTTGGTGCTTCTTCTAGGATTTCTTGCTCCAATTGTTTTTGAAATTCATCATTATATTTTGCCAATAATTCTGGGTTTCCTTTGAGTTGCTTGATGAGGCTAGATTGCGGAGAGCTAGATTTGTACTTAAACAAAAAAGTCAAGAACATTACCAACATTTCCACAGCTATCGGCAACATAACAGAGGAAAATTTTTGGGATCTAGAAAGAATGGAAATCACTGATTCCCCAGAAGCGGCAGCTTCAGAAAAGGAGCAACAAGAAGTTATGACAAAATTTAAAGAAGAGGTCCAACTCGTCAATGGAAAAATTCATGTAAAATTTCCTTGGGTAGAGAAAAAACCTAATTGAAATTGAAGATAATTTCAAGCTTGCAATGCAATACTTGCATAGCCTCATCAAGCAACTCAAAGGAAACCCAGAATTATTGGCAAAATATAATGATGAATTTCAAAAACAATTGGAACAAGAAATCCTAGAAGAAGCCTAAACTTTCTAACTTAATCAAATCACTCCCTTTGCAGATAGCGGGCGCAATTCTCGCAGCCGGTTGGTACATTATGATGACGTCGATGTTCACTGTAACACTATATCGTTTCATTGTCATTCTTTTCCCAACGATCAGCCAAATTGTCACAACGAATCGAGCATTTATTGTGAGCTTTGCAATGATTCAGTGAATCAATCAATGATCAATCATCAATTTTCAGGTTGTATTAGCCGGAAATTTGTCTATTTTTGTGATCGTTCTCTTTGTGCATCTTATCGGATGGAATGCTCAATACTTGACCGAATTCGGGTATGTTTTTCAATTTCGAAATGAATTTCAAAAATTGAAATCAGATTAAACGTGTTTCTAGTTGGGTTTACGCGGACGGTCTCCCATTGACCGATCTCTTCAATGATTTCGATAATTACGGAACACCCGCGTTGACAGTGATTTGCCTCTTCATGTACATTGCCATTTTCACGTTTTTGATGAAAAATGTGAGTTGTCAGTGATCTCATCAGTAAATATTCCTATTCAGAAGAAAATCAATCGTCAAAATGATATTCGATGGGCTTTACAGGTAAGGAGTCTCAACCACAATAGGACATAGGGCCTATATGCAAATTTAGACGTTTTGTTTCTGTCTTTACACAATATTCGTCTCCGTTGAGTGGACGTGGATCTATGATTTAGTGAGATACGATCGAATAAAGCTCAATATTCGGTATTTAGGTGCCTGAAACATACACTAATCTCTTTCTTGAGAATTTCCTTTGGCCTTTATGGAATGGAGCCAATGTGGTCTTCTTTTTTACCTTTCAAAAGTGAGTTTAATATGGAGAAAAGAGAAAAATGTGCCATCAGATTTAGAAGTACCAAAGAAAAGGTTAAATTTCCAGAAATGTTATCTGGGGCGACAAACGCGTGATCGCCATGATACCAGTGGCCGGTCCGATTCCCCCTTCTCGAAGAAATTCTTGTCGTCCTCCAGATCCCAAAGATACCCAGGGAACAAGATTATCCTTTTGAACATATGTTCCAAACATATTTGCTTTTCACAACCGAAACTCACTTTTATTAAAACCCATATCGTGAATGAACACAATCCAAGAAAGATAGTCACTAGAAATGGGCGAGAAGTTGCCCAGATGTTTATCACAGTTTTAACATATATAAACAGAAAGAGAAATTATCCTAAAAACGACATGCACTAGAAAGGATAAATAATAGAAACTATTAAAAAGGCGGCCCATGCCAATAAGTTAATTGATTGATATTACAGGAATTGCGATGGCAGTATAGCTACGTTTTAAAAGTTATAGAAAATCTTATAGATTTCTGACTATTCTTCGTCTTCGTCTTCAGAAACCACTTGTCCCAGCGCTTTCAGGCGTTTCCTAAAAAAGAAACGTGTTTGGTCGAGTATTTTAAAAAGTGGCCGCTTTGTTTCTAGCAATATACCCAAAATAAAAAATCTACCTGTATGATGAAAGCTTATTATGCTGATCGGCTAAAAGGACGAGTAAATCCTCTTGTTCGTCTTTTATTCGCCGAAGTTCATCTTCAGTCTAAAACGAAAAGAATGCACTTTAATATAAAATTTATCAACCTTTGCATCAGTAGTGTGCCCGTTAACAACTGGATTATGAGGACCATTTGCAAAGTTAGTCTAAAAATTACACCTAGAATCGAATGGGAATACATTAATACCTTCAATTGTTCCATTTCTGCACGTAATTGGTTGTAAGCCTGTTCCAGTTCCTAAATGAACATTGTTCACACATTTTCAAGATTTTGCTTACCTCTGTTCTCTGTTTCCAGCCTTGTGTAGAAGTAATTTGTTGTTGAATCTAAATGTTTTTGTAATGACAATAATGACTTTCTATTTGTCTTAAATCACCACTCAAGAAAAAAAATACTTGTTGACTTTGCGCCTCATAAGCTTGCCATCCATAACCGAGTTGTTGTTCCAATTCGGTAATTTGAGCCTGCAGTTGTTGTAGGCCAGCATCAATTCCACCATTTGGCATCTAGAAAGAAACAAATAAACAATAAAAAACCATTAAATGCACCTGCGAAACTTGGAAAGATTGCCATTGCTGAGCCCATTGCTTGTACTTCTCTACTTCTGCTACCCATTGTTGATTGATACTAAAAGTGAAGCAATATGCCACCAGTAACTTATCTAAAAGTTTACTTTCTCAGATGGGTGATTTGATGTTCAAGTTGCTCGTTGTTTGTAGTTTTCTGATTGGCGATTTCTAGCTGCGCTCTAGCATCCTCCAGTTCTTGTTTGAGCGCAGAAGCAGACGCCTAAAATCAATACGTAGTCAAAAAACCAGTGCAATCAAGAATTACAAAAACTTTGTTTATGTGTCAAGTAACAAACCTGTTGAGCTTTTAATCCTTCAAGCTCTTCGCGGGTTCTTTTGTAATCAGTCTTCAGCACTGAAATCTCTTCATCTTGCCGTTTGATCAAATCCTAAAATAGATCCAAATTCCATTGTTTAGATTGTTTAATAAAACCTTAAATGATTGGATAATCGTGTCGTTGTTTGCCGTGACCAAATTTTTCGAGATTACGGTAAAAATTCGCACCTTTTAGAGCAAACGATTATCGGCGAAGGGGAATTGAAAAGGAGAAAGGCTCGGCGAAAAGAAATCGAGCGGAAACAAAGTGAGACGGCGAGAAAATGACTTATAAATCTACATAGCTAGATACGCAAATTGATACTTGAATGCAAATTTTTGTATTCAGAGCATCCCGACGTCGCTCCATCGACCGCCACAAGATCGAAGAGAAACAAGGCGAACGAATCGCCGATCGAGAAGAAACCGACGAAGCTCGCCGATCGAAAACATCAACTATTTACCCCGGATAAAGCTATTTAAGATTTTTAACCTTAAACTTTTTCAATTCTTAATGATTCACGAGTTATGATCTCTTGAAGAAATAAAGCTTTCGGTTGATCAAATAGTCTAGAGAGTCTAAACGTAGAGATTCAGCATCATTTGAGAGTTTATGTATACAGAAAAACCCTGTGTTTCTCGAGCACATGATTTCCCGGAGAAAAATCGAAAAGCTAAAGAATTTGGCATCAAAAATAAGTGATAAAGATGTAATTTGGCTCTCTTTTGAGAGAAGCCGATTTCTGTTGACAACTCGCTTGTCTTGATGTCTTGATGATCTCTGTAAACATATAAAAAGTAGTTGGCAATATATTTACATGGGAAATCACAATGAGGTTAGAAACAGAAAATTCGAGCGACGAAAATCGAGATGAGAGTGAAGGCGGCTGCGGTTTTTGGAGAGGAATTGCAGAGATCTCCCGCACAACAGCATACTTTGTTCGAGCCTGGTCCCGAGCAGCCCGTATCCTAGAAATTCAAGAGTTAAGAAGTTTCAAAAAAGCTCAAACTTTTTGAACTCCAATCTTTGAAGCAATTAAGATCAAAAAAAGACCAAGCTTTTTTTAGCCGGAACCGAACCCTAACCTTTGGAACATTAACCAAGCGTGCTAGCCCCTTGGCCACCATTCATGAGCAGCAAAAATCGATTGCGTGCGCTAAAGCTTGTGGGTTTGCAAACACATAAAGCAAATTCGGCTCTGCACAACTATTGAGAGAATTGCGTCCAAGCACTTTACAGAAACCAAAAAGCTAACGCCAAAACTGAATCGAAAAAAAAAAGTGAAAGCATGGACGCAATCTCACCTCAGACTTGTTCTATGAATTGCATAGATCCCCAGCGCAACAACATTGCTGACTCTGCCAATCACCCGTGCAACCTGTGTTCTAAAAAGTGGGCTAAAAAAGTTTAAAGTTCTAGAAGGGTCAAGTTAGGCAAAAACTCAGGGAAAATGTTATAGCTTTTCTATAGTATCCGTATATGTAGTATCTATAGTTTCTATAGTTTCTATAGTATCGTACTCATCAGCTTTTCCTACTCAAAAATAGGGCATATCGTAAATCTACTATTTAAAGAGCAGTGTCTGTCTGTCTGTACGGGCATTTTCTCGGCCGTGTTTTGACCAATAAAGCTAAAAGTTCTTTAGAAAACCTTAAAATTTATTTTAGTTGCGCTATTTAAAATAAAAAATTGAGAAAACCCAAATTTAGTGGCATCACGGGGGTCGAACCCGGGCCACGTGGGCCGTAGACAAGCGCGCTCCTGACTGCGCCACAGAGACAGAGACCCGCCTCACACGCCAATGCCCTAAAACCCGCAGCTAGGCGGGTTTTGCAGCTGGTAATCTACGCCCCCATAATGACAGACGTACAGTCGCGTAGTCCAACTTTAAACGTCCCATTCTCCGCGTTGCTTTAAGCTACAGTGCGTTTTATGGTGTCAAATGATAGCCCCTGAAATCTAGTATTTTTTGATACCAAAAGTATAGTTGGGAAAAATCTAGGGGCTGAGAAAAGAATGGTTTTCTAAAAAGAAGTTAGACTACACGACTGTACGAGGGGATGGGGTTTTATTAGAGGATTTATGGTAGGTTTTTTCGTAATGTGCCAACCTGGAAGCATCGTCCCGAGTTTGGATCTCCACAGTCACGAGTCTCCGTATGTGAATCGTCTCCATTATTGTTTCGTCTCACGTACGATTTAAAGCACATGCGCACATTTGGGCCACAATCGCCTGGAATTAGAATTAGTGCAAATTGGTTACATCGAGATTACTGTGCAATGGTAATTGTATCTAGAAATTCCTCAAAATCTACGAAATATCTATCACTTTATCACCTAGCCAAGTGTAAAAGACGATGACTTACAAGGGAGCTGTTACTTGGACTGTACTTAGCTGATTCCTCAAAAGTTAACTTCTGCTAAACTCTTTAAAACTTACGAACAGACATTCCAAAAGTGTTTCCTTGGACTCCTTGTGAGAAGCCGTTATTTCTATTGGATAAAGTCTGTTGTCCAACGTAGCATTGCACAGCCACCGCCACACCAATCACCGCCAATAGAAGAAAAATTTGAGTCGAAGTTCGAAGTTTGAAAGCTATAGTCGAATTCCTTCTTCTTCAATATTTTATTTGGCATTAACAAAAAAAACAAGATAATAATATTTCATACATTAGAAGGCACGAATTCAAAAAGAAGCGACAAGTTTTGTGAGACCCGAAAACAGAAAAAAGTTTGAACCAACACTTTTCATAATTTAAATATCATCTCCCGAAAAGAAAAACAACAAGGAAGCATTTGAAAAAAGAAAAATCATGAAACAAAGTTTATTATCAAAGCTGATCTAGATTGGTCGATGCGTGGGTGAAAGATCTCCAACGAAACGTTCATAAACATCTTCATCCAATCCACAGGGACGAGTGAATTCTTGGCCGCGCTCGTGGATCCATTTGTTCGACACCTGACAAGATTGTTTTTTGTTTTTTCGTTTCACTACCGTAATACTGTATTTCTTTTACAGAAATTACAGTACCAGTAATGTCTATCTTTACAGTATTTTCTCATTTCCTATATCCAAAAGAGTACATGTGTACTATTGAACTCCTCATTAAATTGGACGTATTTCGAAAGAATTCCCCTTTTTCCTTATCTGTTATGTGGTTAAGATTTCGCCACAAAACTCTTCCAAAATAGAATCGAATCTTTATCGATAAATTTAGCTTGCTTACCCATTTCACTCCAAGCAACACAGGACAAGCAGCATGACGGGTACGCATATCTCCATCACCATTTCGTTTCAAATTATACCTAAAAACCTGTTGACAATAAATCCTTTTGTAATTTTTACCAGAAGAGTGCGTCGTGAACTGATGGGAAAAAGGCAATTCCAAGTTTGTTGAAAACTGTGGCTCCACCGAGATCCGGCTGAGACATCTGAAAATTGGCTTCAGTTGTCAGTCTGCTTTCAAACATTTCGTCTTTTTAGCTGAAGCTCTCTTTCTTAGCTTTTGATATCCTACGGTATTGAAAACTTACATAAAATAATACTGTAGCAATTCGATTGCCAGTTCCGAGAGTTTTGAAGGCATTTGTCTCCTCTTTCTGAAATCCCCTTTTTAGAATAAAGATAAGATTTCTCAAGAGTCCATTATCAAAAGTTATTTAAAAATTTACCCTCGCAAAATCGTAATGTGGATCATAGTGACCGCCAAGGCCATAATTAGCTATCTGAAAAGTTTTTCAATTAATTTTTGATAAGATTAAGACAGTTTTCTTCATTGAATTTTGAAATGACCTGTAAATCTTCAGAAGTTTCTTGATTCAGATTTGTCATATCACCAATTCGTCGATTCACTCTTGCAACCACTTCACTCTCCATCTCTTTTAGCCAAGCACTGAAAAACATCAAGATTACGATAGTTCTGACACGTTTTAGAAAGAGAATTTAGATTAGGTAAACTCTTTTCCTCCAGGAAAAGCTATCATAACCCTCAATATCTTTTTATTGACCTCTTTGAGATTCGATACGATGCATGTTCAAGCTCTCCTGTCACCGCATTTTGCACCGTTGCTCGTTTCAACTAAATCAATCTTGATCTCATCAAAATCCAGCAAATCTCTTACTTTTGGTCTTGCCAAATCTTGAATGACAGCGATCTCCCGATCACTGACAACTTGTTTAAACAAAACGGCAAGTGGATTGTGTCGAATGATTTCAACTTTGATTGGAGCAATCTTTAAGAAGGGACGATCATTCTAGAAAGAAGATAAAAATGAAAGAAATGATTGCTTTACTTTATAATAGCAATAAAGTTTTCGTTGTTCTTCAGGTGTCGGCTTTTTTCCCTCTCCGCGACACAGCGATTCATATGCGTCTCTTTCCGGGATTCCATCCCATTCAACTCTGAAAATTGACGATTAAAGTTTAGATATAACTAGTATTGAATTGCTAGTGATAAAATAGCTTTGATTCAGTTCAGCTATTTTCTTTTCTACTTGACATCAAATCCATCACAAATCTCTTTTCTCTACCTTCTTTAAAACTCAACTTTGCCAGTAACTATGAACTTCTTGCTATTTAAATCAAATCTACTGTTGTATATTTTCTTTAGCACCTCTTATTGACAACTGGTGGTAAATCTCCTTGTAATTCTTTTCCATCAAGACGATCCTCATACCATTTGATGTTTCCCTGAAAGTTGTCTCATAAGTTTAGACAAGATTACGATAGCTGTCAAAAGTTGACATCTTTTAACAACAGATCATTTAAAAGTTCAACCTTATCGTGAAGTTTTCAGCTTTCCCCCACCTCTAGCTCTTGGATGACCTGGCGCGATTCGGGCCAATTTCTTTGTCAATGTCAGCGCTCTTCTCACATTTCCCTGTTGATACAGTGAATAGGCGAGGTATTCCAAAATCTCCGACTCCTCAATTGTTTGTGGATTCTCGTTTTCCAACTGAAACAAATTCTTTCTCATTTGATATCCATGATTCAATTACCCTATTCAGCGCTTCTTGCATCCACATCAAACAGTGATAGTAATCTTTTGCATTGTAGGCAGCTCGGCCAACCTGGAAAACATATTTTAATTCATTAAATATTTAAATTAAAGATTTAATTTAAATATTTAAATTAAAACTTTTCTTTATAATTTAATGTTTTAAATCTTATATCTTAGACGAAAAAAACCTCGAAAACATCATGTGTATTCAGTTTGTGTCCGACTTTTTCTCCTCGAATCATTCCATTCGCTAGATCGTGTGTGTCCAATTTGTAAACATCCTGAAAAAGAGAGTGATCTTGATCTTTTTACTTAGCATATTTTTTGTATATTGTATTTGATCGATTTTTGTGCTTACTTGAAGTCGAAGCAGAGCAATCGCGGCTCCCGACAGATCTTCCTCACCCGGGAATTTTACCTAGAAACTTTTCATCAGATTTCACAATAATAAGCGTTTTCCAAAACCGATTTTCAGCTAAGCTAGCAGCCAATCCTCTCCTAATTTTTCTATTGACCTGGCTACAAAAGTATCTAAGCCAGCTGGCGTCATAATTGAATCTAACATGACTTCCCTTTTGGAAACACTTGAAAACAAAAGCTTTCCTGCACCAGAAAGGATTTTTTCTATCATATTTTCAAGCACAAAGTACACCCCTCCCCATCCCCTTTGCCCCTTTTCAATTCTCACCTCATTTTCCTCTCGTCTCACCGTAATATTTTTGATGAATCGATGTGCATGATTGTTCCGCATCATCTCCTCCACCTGGGATCTCATCTTTCACTCAAAATCTAATATTCTTCACCTGTCTCCATTCAGATGTCAATCTTTTGATGAGAAGAAAAGCATTGATCGGATTCGTCACAAATTCCGTGCCCACTTCTTGTGCCTCTGCATTCCTTGTGTTGTACTCTTCAGCGAATCTGAAATCATTGCTATTTCAAGATCATTTTATCTTTAATCCATACTTTTTCAATTGTTCCAATCTTTCCTGTTCGGCCTCAATGTAATCGTTGATCACCGGTACGATGTTTTTCTCGGCACCTAAACTTTCAAAAGGATTCATTTTCTAAAATGTGTCACCTTTTGAAAACTACCGTAATCTTGGCTCTAGCTCTATCTAATCTATCAGTTTTTGGTAGATTTTTTTTTTTTCCCTCCCTCCCCCTCTTTTTGGGGGGGGCGCGGCGCCGCGGGCCCTCCCCCCCGGCCCGGCCTTTTCCCCCCTTTTTCTTTGGAAGTTCACGCTTCCGGATATCCTTTTCCTCAACTAATTTTTCCCCCATTTTTCCCATTTTTAATACAAAATATAATAATAAAAACCCAACCATTTCCCCCCTTTTCCCCCTTTTTTTCTAATATCAAAGCCCAAAAAAGCCAATTATCCCTAACAAAATATTCCCCCATAAACCCAACCTTTTTTTTTTAAAAATATTTTTTTCTTTTTTATTCCTTCCCCTTTCCCCCCCCCCTTTTTCCCTATACACAAGAAAAAATTCTCCAAATCCAAAAAAAAAAACCCAAATGTTCCCCCCCCCTTTATTTTTGTTTTTTTTTTTTTTTTTTTTTTTTTTTTTTTTTATTTTTTTTTTTTTTTTTTTTTTTTTTTTTTTTTTTTTTTTTTTAAAGATTCGCGAAGTTTATCGAATTACAGAAAAAATTGCTAGATTCATAGATAGATTGGTTATAGACAAAATCCAAGATTACGATAGCTTTTGAAAGGTAATACTTGCTAATATGAAGCAGGTTTGATTAAAGTGACACTCACCCAACATGTGCTGTAAATCGGCAGTTGCCGTGAATAGATCAGCCCATGCTATTGCCAAAAGATAACTCAATAAATGGAGAGTTCGCATTGTTTTCGTGGGGTGAACCAAGAGAATTTGTACACAAAAATAAGTAACTGAAAGCTAATTTTATGCTTGAATGAATTTCAAATGGTTTACACGGTTCTGTAAACATCTGGAATAGAAAGAGTTACCAAATTAAACATAAAACAAATAAATTTTATACAAAATCTTAAAAATTCAGCTTCCCATTTTTAGCTGTTAAAAGAAAAGAGGTTAATTTTATTGAAAAGAGATCAATTGAGAAAGGGAAATGAAGGAAAGAAAGGAACGGAGAGTGGATGAGGAAGAAAGGAGAGAAATGGGAAGAAAGGGGTGGCAAAAGTTCCACGCTGTCGCTCTGGTCTTGAGGAGGGGGAGGGGTGCTCCCCTCCCCTCCTCTCCCTCTCCTCCCCTCCCCCTCCTCTCCCCTCCCAGACACAAGACCGGTCACCCCCTTTCCCTTAAGATCTCTTTTATCCCATTTTCCTTTCTTTACCCTATATTCCAGCTTGTGTTCGAGACCACCAGTTTTTGAATTCCATTACCCCCACAAAAATGGTAATTTTGGTGGAACGGGTTTCCCTTTCTTCTCGTCTCTCACCAGAAATTCTACAAGAAGAAAATTATTAATCTTTCTGCAGAGACTAGCTTTTGTTTTTTTGAATATTTCTCAAGTCTACAGTGAGATTAAACTGATTGAAATTGAAATCAAAAATGTTAAAAGAGTTTGATCCAAAATTTGAGAATAAAATTAGTATAGAAAGCTTTGGTACTGTACGCTTATCCCTCCTCTTGAGTGAAGATTAAATTGTCAACGTCTGAAACTATTTTCTACGGAAGGTATCTAAATAGCATCTAAATTTTTAAGACTTCTTTTGTTCTAATTGTAAGATTTTTAGAAAATTTTGCTTATCGAAAACACAAAAGTTCAAGTTTGTGGAAAAACAAATTTTCTGAAAGACGAACTTCCAAAATATGTTAAGTACATCTAAACAAAACTCTGTTAAAGAACGAATTTGATAAAATATCTTGTTGATGTTGTTATTATGTCTGACAGTGTTCTCATGGTTTATATAGGAAAAGTTTAAAGACGATACATGCTTTTGGAGGAGAGAAAATGAGAGAGAAGCGGAACAAAAGGAAACAAGAAAACTTGTCCTTGTTTTGATTCAAATTAATGATGCAATCGAATGATGTAATGAAAAAGAGAATAATGGATTTAGAATGTTTATTATATTCAAGAGAATCCTTGAATTTGACCTCCGTTTTTGACCTCTGCAAAAAGAGATTGACATCTGTGGATGAGAGATGGGAGATCGATGGATTCTCTTTTCTTTTCTTTTTCTTTGAGTCACTTTGCACCGCAATAGTGTAAAAAGAAAAGAAAATGGTGGAAACAATTCAGAGAACGATCAAAGAATGAGAGCAAGTTGAATGAAATGTGAAAGTTACAAAAGTACTTGAGAGATCGTTGAGTCTTTCATTGGTAGATTTAATATCAGATCTATTCACTCACTGTCATGGCTCACTACCTTGTACTGATGTCAGACTCAAAACGTAGTATCAAGATCTGTTAAAGAAGCCTAGTTGTCAGATGCAACTCCATGAAGCACGAGGATGGTCAAGATTAGTCAAGAGGCCCATACCTCTTGACTAATTCGTTTCCGAAAATATGTCAACTTTCATAGAATATCATAGTCTCGGCCGCAGTTTTTATTTAATCTATCTACTCTTTATACATTCTTTGGTATCTATTGTGATCTCTCACTGCATCAAACCAAATTAAAAGCAAAACTTGAACTTTTGTTCGATTTGTTTGTTCGATTCGATAAAAGCAGAAAGAGTTTTTCGAAACGTGACATGTTTTAAAATAGGAAAAATACCAGTCAAAAGGGACACATGTAGTCAAAATTGTGCTGTTATAACCCAGCTTGTTATCTCATTTAACCTGTAAGAGAATCGCGAATAGAGAATCCATAAAAATATAATTTCACACCGCATACAATAACCAGAACAGAAGAAGAACACCGATATGATTTACATCAACATTTTCTATCAACAAAAGATTTACATCAACATTTACTCTTCATATTCGTTTATATTTCAATTTTTGTATATCAAAAACATTTCAACAAAAATATTTTCTATTTAACAATTCTACATTGGAATGACTTGTGAGTGTGTGCAATTCTCAAAGATGAATTCTTTCCATTGGATCAGACGGGACATTCTTATAGGGATCGGTTTGATCAGAGCCAAGAATTCGACTCTAAACAACATCGCATTTGCATATCTTAATCCATTATTATAGTAATACTATTTTACGACAAAATATTCATTTAATATAGTCGAAAATGTTCACTTGATGCAATAGTTGTATCTCTTGTTCTTTCGCGAGAACTTTCCTCTCCTCGATCTCCTCGAATCTCTCCAAGATCAGGGTCACCTTTAAGTTTAAAAAATTTAAAGATTTTCTTGATTTAGATTTTTTCTTATAACAAACATCAGTCAAAATACGTCCAATTGAGTTCTCGATGTGATCGATTCGACGGTTCAATCTGGAAATGATCTTCATTATCGTTTAATAGGGAAAAATGAATCTACAGCTTCACCTTCTCTTAGCTATTTACCGTAAATACTGTAATAGTACCCCACCCCCCTCGTACAGTCGCGTAGTCGCAAAAGTTTTTTAGTATTTCATTTTTTTCAAAGCGCCCGTACTTTCAAAAAATGCGTCTTTGGTATCAAAAAATAGCTGAAATTCAGGGCTATTTTTTGATAAATAAACGCACATTGTAGCATAAACCAGTGTCGAGAAAAACGCGTCCAAAGCTAGACTACGCAACACTCCACACCGTCATTATGGGGGTGGGGCACTATTACAGTATTTACGGTAGCTATTTAATAGTGTTGACTTGAGGGATCGCCTTTTAGTTTTGAAAAAGTAGTTATATAAAAAGTAAACAATACGCAGTGTAGCCATTATTCGATTTCTCTAAGCTTTCTTTGGATTGAAGCTTTCTTTTCTCTCTTTCCTCCTCCAATTCATTCTCGATTCGACTTTTCTGAATTGATTGTTATCTAAATGAGAAAACTTCTCCACTTCATCCGCATTTTTCACCGATCCCTCGTCAATGCTGAATTTGATGAACTTATCGTTGATCTCATCATCTGAGAAACCACGGCTGAAAAAGCTATAAATCTTATCCACAATAACTAAAAGCAACTATAGAATCTATTCAGAGAAATTGCAAGCTAAATCAGACAGGGAAAAGCCTGGCCTTGCCTAGCCCTAGCTCGGAAAAATGACATTAAAACAAGTTTGGAAATAACTACAATAGTTTTCTTTTCCTCATTTCACTGACCGAACAAGTTGAGCTCTCCATTTGGAATAATCGGACACATCGGGTGTCTCCCCTTTCTTCGAGAGTTTCAAAAAACGAAGAACACGATAGAATTTCTGATTCGCAATTAAATCAGTCAACATTTCCAACAAACCGCTTTGAAGAATTCAGCCATTTCGAAATCGTTTTTCTGTTTCTCGAGCTCTTGTTTAACTTCAACATAGGTATCATTGATGATAGCAAGGAACATGTTCTTGAAAAAGAAAAAGATCATTCAATTCCCATTTAATAATTTGAATGTTTTACCAAAAGGACGAAGAAAACGAAGAAGACATAAGTGATGAAAAAGGTTGGTCCAAGGTAACGATTGGCTCTCTCGAGGGCGTGGAAATCTGAAGAGAGGGGAAACTGATGGCAATTTCGTGTACTTCAGCCGATAGTACAAAGTGAAAACGCATCTTTTTCTGGCATATTTCATTATTTATTAACTAAATACTAAATTATGAAATGCTAGGACTGATATCGGGTCGGAAATGTCGGTTTAAGACCGTTACAAATTTGAATCCATATCTAATAGGTTTATAAAAGAATTGTGTGTGCCAGAAAGGAGATGTTATCATTTTTTTTAAACACAACGTAACTCTTATTATTTGATAAATGCTTTACGAACCGAAATCTCCCAAAATCGTTCGCAAAAGTGCGAAAACGGCCGAGTAGAAAGTGGAATAGTCTTGGATCTGGAAATCAATGATCAATGATCAAAATTTTCTCAATTTCTCAATGATCAATGATCCAAAAGCTATCAATTTCAATCTTTTCTTTTTCAGAACCTAACCTGTGTCCCAAAACAAAGATATCCAAATTGGGCATAGGCAAAGAAAAAGATAAAAAACATAACAGCAAATCCACCGATATCTGAAAAATCAAGAGATCAAGGGGATTAAGGGTTTTCCTGTATACAAGATATCGATATTATTGTTCATTGGAAGACATCAATGATTGTTCAACTACTAGTAAAGTCTAAGTCAAGCCAGAGGCCAGTTCAGGCAGAAGACCCTGGCCTGACCCTGACAATATCCATATTCCCTTACCCTTTGCCGATCGAGAGAGAGTTGCTGATAGTTGGGACATTGTCTTGTTGAAGCTGATGTATTTGAAGATCTGGAAACAATTTGAATCTTTTCAAAATGTTTTTTCACTTTCATCCACGAGAAGAAGAGAAGGACGGCGAGGAAATAGCTGTAATTGTTGTTCGCGGTGACCACATCGTCCAAACTAGCCACCTCGAGATTGCCTCAAATTGGGATATTTAGGCAGTAACTAGCTTTATATAAATATAATCTGAATCTTATTTAATCACAGATTCAATATCACTTATAAATGGAAATCGATTTCCCCAACCATTCATCAGCTCGTTCACGCGCATCTCGGAGATCCGAATTCGATTCAGAAAGAGAATGATCGTCACAATTGAGAGCTGTAAGTGGATAAAAGGTTGTAGCATTTTTACAGTATTCCTATTTTGCATAAATAATCTAACCGATATCACGATGATATCGATGATATTCCAGAAACTCTCAAAGTATCGCAAGCGCCACTTCATAATCTCCAATAGCTCCTAGAAGCAATTCACTTTTTTAAAGCCTTTCTTTCAGAAAACCTCAAAGACGAGAAAAAGGGTGAACGCTGTGAAGACTCCTTGACATGCCAGAACAAAATAATCAAAGGTTGACACGTAGCTGATCAAACGGAGAGTCTCGAAATTGGCTGTTGGAATGACACCACCAGTAGCGGGTAGCTCAAACAGCAATCTGTATAAGGAAATTTATCAGTATCTAGTGTTCATACTTTTCGAAAATTACCGTAATCTTGGCTCAGGCTTAGCCTTGATGGCCTTTATCTAAGCTTATCTTAACTTTGGCTTGGTCTTACGGTAGCTTTTTCTCTATTATACCTTTGTCCTGATTTTGTGGCTCAAAAAGGATCCCGAACCAAAATAGAAAGATTACAGTTTAGAGCTAAAACAACGGTAGTTTTTCGACTGTTCGACACTCTTTAGAAAACACCTCTACAATGAAACACACCGGCACACGCAAAACAGATTGATATTTGCATTGTAAAGGGAGAAATCGACGAGAATCGCCCTCGTTCCCCTTTCGATCCAACGATTGTAGAGAAGGTGATTGATTCGAGTGTTTGCCTCCTGGAAATGATCTCAATTCTGATATTGATATCTCCATCAAACAGTCATGTTGTTAAGTGGTAGCAATGCCACAAATCCTCCTCCGCCGTATGTTCCCATCTGGCCGTAGATCGTCCCCGTGCTCAGATCTTTCGCCGATTGCCATGAGAAGCTGAATTGATTTAGATGTTCAGTTGACGCAAGTCGATTTTGTGATTAACTGAATGTCTGGTTCATTTTTCTTTTAAAACCTACCGTAACCCGTTTTTAAATCTAACCATCAGTAGCCTTGATGGCCTTTATCCAAGATAAGGAACCAAGAACCTTATCCAAGCTTATCTTGACTTTAGCTTGGTCTTACGGTAGCTTTTCTGGCAAACGAACATTACGGTAACTATTCTGAAGTGTATTTTAAAAAAAAACCCCTTAACAACTTGATTTTTCTATTTTACATATTATAGACAAACGCTTGATAATCTTGCTGATCAAAGCCAGTCGCATTTGTGACCGCAATGTCTTCGTGATCTTCTTTCGATTCTCTAAATGTTTAACTTTAGGCTCGTTTTTGCTTGATTAAATACGTATATGGTGCAAAGCATTCCTTGATTTCTCTCACGAATGGATCCACAACTGTGCACGAGTTATTCGTCACCTTAACATCAATCAATCTTTCAGCAATTCTTTCTTTTCATCTCTACTTTCAACATCCGAATCCTCGGTCGTCCCAACAATTTATTCTCATAGTAAACCATTCCCATTTGTGTGCTATTCCCATCAACTCCTTCAACAAAAATAATAATTGTATTGATTTTCAATAAGATTTGGAAGAAATTTGCAATTAAATCTATCTTTAAAGTGCTTTAAAAGTTGTCTCTTAGAAAATGACTGTTTTTGCGGTTACATCTTAGCATTCAAGCCTGTTTCGGAGACTTTTATTTAGAGCTCAGAGACAAGTAGATACTGTGGTTATTTCAGTTTTTAGTTTTTTTAGCTTTTTTATACTCTAATAAAATAGTGATCGATACTAAATTTTTAAAAAATTGATTCGAAAGAACTTTTCAAAGAAAAGTAGTGAACTTAAAAAGCCCTGGAGTTATGGGGAAAAGCAAAACTACTTGCAAAACTACTTGCAAAACTATACTGTAGTATATTCAACTCTAGTAATCGTTACGTTTCCTCTACTTATTAGTTCATAGTTCTTTTTTATGTTTATCTTTCCCAAAAAAAAAAACACCTTCTCCTCCACAAATGAACCCATAGGTGGAATTTCCATCAATCGTTTCACAATCATTTGTCGCATACAAACCGTTCACCAGTTGAGTGTTCATGTACTGAAAATTTTCGATTTTCAGACTATTTTCGGGTTTTTGGTCAAAAATCGACTCGCAAAATTGATGAGAAACAGATGTTCTTCGAGATTTTTAACCGTCAAAAATTGCCGCCTCAAACCAAACCAAAACGCAAAAATTGCCGCCTCAAACATCTGTTTTCCATGAGAGCATTTCTATTTGTTTACATCGATTTTGAGAGACAAAAAAAAGCGATTTTAAACAACAAACAGCCCAAATATCATCCATTTTGGTCACATCTTCGAACGTTTGTCCGTCTTGATTCTGCGAATTCACGAACAATGATTGCATTGCAGAGGTGAAATAATAGGTCGATGATGAGGTCGAGGCGAAGGCAACTCAAAGAAAAACGAATTCAATTCAAAATAATCTTAAATACTGATACTGAGAGTCAATTTCTTTTTAAACTACAAACTACATTAGAGTATGTCAAAGTTAAAAGTATTCTGTCCAAAGTCAACTTACTTTAATTAATAACAATAAGGCAACAATTCACTTCCACCGTAATCTTTCCTTTACAGTATTCTTTCGTAACCTTTACAGTACTCACTTATGCAAAGGATGAGCAGAAAGAGGAGAAAAACGAACATTTCTCGGATTGTCATATGTACGCCTTTTCCTCGACGAGAATCGATCGCACCTAAACAACCTTTTTTTTAGATCAACTGGACCTCTACATCTTGGCAATATAATGAACAAATCTCCTCAAAATGTTACCCTGTACTCCATTGATGAATTTCCCCATGGACCCTTTCACTCCATTTGCTTGATTCGTGTTCTTTCCACCAGCAAACTTTTTCGAGTAGTCGCCCTCGAATTCCTGGAAGGATTCATAGGAGAATCGTTCTCTTCGAATACCTCAGATTCCATATGTCCTGCATGAGCTGCTTCAGTGACCGATGGAGGGCGCTCAAACCCAGCCAATGCTGCATCACCGTAAAGAGTGGGTCGACGATTACGGGCGCCCGTCAAGCTCATCTGGGTATTCATTCTTTGAGTTAAATAAGAATAGTACTCAAAAAAAATACGAAATACAGGCTACCTAGGAATAGAAAGCTACAAATTAAGTTTGGATTTTGGACTACTGAGACCTTACCGCAAAGAGACCTTTTGAGTAGTTAAAATTCTGAATTTAAAAATTTAACCAAGCTTTCAAGGAAAGCAAAATTTTCCATTAAAGAATATTTCTCCATGGAAATTGTCTCGGTTCTAGGAGACGATCTCCACAATTTTATTTCTTCCACCACATTCACATCCATCCATTTCCCCCATTTCCATAGTGATCTCAAATTCTTCTCTAAACCCTTAAAATTCTCCCGCAAAACGTTTTCAACTCTCTGTAATTGGTGAATATTTGGTTTGTCTGTGTCGAGTGATTAGACTCAAAAAATGGAAAGGGAAATCGGGAATTGTAAACAGAGAATCGTTTCTTTTTCATTCTTTTTCATTCTTTTTTGTATTTCCTCTATTTGGATGAGTCGTTTAAACAATTCGACGACTTTTAAACGTTTCAAACAAAAGCAAGAGATCACTTTCACTATTTTTTATCTTGGTTGAAACGTTGAAGAGAATCGATAATGGAAAATGCGATAGGAACATTAATAGAATGCCAATTTTGTTGACACTGACACATCCACTGAAATTTTTCTAATAGTTTCAATAAAACTTCGCAAGCCAACCTGACAAAAAATAGACAAAATAGACAAAAAAGATGAGAGTATTTGAAGTAACTCCACAACAAAATTAAATACCAACTTAAGTCAAAAACAGAAAGACTCAGTCAAGGGTAACGATTTCATCATCTTTGTCCGCATCGGCACCATTGCTCTGCAAACATTTTGTTCGAGCTCGATCTAAAAAAGAGAAGTCTTTAGAAGGGATTATTTTCAACTTGCCATTTTCCCCCATGCCACCATTTTTTGGATGCACTGTGCTGAGATGAGTTTCAAGTAGTTGATAGGAAGCGTATTTGAATGAGCAAACGTCACACGAATACATGATTTCGGCAGAACCTATGAAACTCTTTGGATGCGAATGTAGTGGGGAAAACTTACACAACTTCACTTGATGTTCAGCGACCAAGTGTTGAAGCATGTTGAACGCATATTGCTAAATAAGTGAATTTGCACGAAAACAGGATATAACATACCTTGCTGCAGTGTTTACATCGTCCACCATCTTCTCGGCGTTGTGCTTTGCTCAAGAGATCGGAGGTAACCAAACCATGAGACATTAGAAAATGTCGTTCAAGTTCTTCGTACGTCCAAAGTCGTAAGATAAAAGAAGATTACTGATAGCAGCAAATTCTTAACACCATTAGTTGTTTTGACAAAGAAATTTCAAAGTATTTCCAACGGTTGCCAGGGAAGTTGTTTTCGTTGTCCTTTCCCCTCTCCAAATACCATAGAAAAGCACAGTTGCTAAGTATAACATACAAGTAAACATATCCTTAATGCTAATGAGTAACACCAAGCATTTATGCAAGTTTGTGTGAATGTGGAAAAAGTGGGTGCGTATGGTTTTTCAAATATTTCAATACCTACCGTAAATACTGTAATTGTACCCCACCCTAAGAGGGAAAAAATAGTACCCCATGGGGTTCAATTACAGTATTTACAGTAGGTTGTTTTGCGTTGATGAACTCGTCGAAATCTTCGAAATCTTCGCCCTTTCCTCCATGAATCATCAACGATTTCTCACCGACCAATATTGATGATCATTGATCTAAGATAAAGAATATAAGTTGACTCATTCACTGTTTGGATTAGCTCTTTTTCACCCCACAAAAACCTTGAGAAGGGTCAATTGATAGAGAAAATGATTGCGTTTCTCTCAACATCACTCTCTATTTTCACAATAATTTTCCCCGGATGTGAAAGATGGGGAAAATGAGAGAGAAGGGGGTGGGGGAAGGGGCTGGACTGGCTGGACTGACTGGGGGTCTCCTTTCCTATGTATTGGGGCTAAACAGAGCGGTCAATCAGTCCCCATTTCACTGCGAGACACCAATCAACATGTTATCTCCGAAATATTTCGGAGTATTTCTTTCATTGCTTTAACTGAGGTAAGCTTTTATCATTTCAATAGGTTCAATATTTCGAATAAAACTTTGCAAGCCTTTGCAAACTTTGCAATGTAGTCTAAATCGAACTTTATTTGTTAGTGCTTTATAAACAGTTTGATCATAAAACCCGATATCCAATCGCTGTCATTCATTCGATTTTTCACAGGCAGCCGTGAATCGTCGTGACACGGCTGTTCTCTCGCAAGTCAACAATGTTTTCAAAGATAATTGTCGAGCCAAGGTTTGTTTATGAGATTGTTTAGCAAAAAGATTCGTTTTTATCGTTTATCGCAAAGATTTTAAAAAGCTATATTCATAAAAATTTTGATAAAAAGCTAGTCGAGATGAAATTTTGCTATAGTTAGTCCATAATCTTGATGCATCAGCTCGAATCTTTTCAGTCAGGCGGCGGTTGTTCGTGTGATATCAAATGGGGCGATTCTGTTGAGCAACGAGATTTCTACAGTGACACGGATTGCAAGAAATCTGTTGAACGTATGAGGAAAATGAGGAATGTAAAGGGGAATGAATTTAGAACAAACCGTTGACAACAAGAAAGCCCTCAACAAAGAGATTCAACAGAAATTCGGAGGATTCAAGGATAACTGTTTTCCAAAGGTCGGAAAAATTCCTTTTTTCCTAAATGATTACAATTTTTGAACTCTTTTATTTCCTGCATAAAGCTTTTTAAAAAGAAAATAATATTCTATTTTCGATAAAATAATATTCTATTTCTGAGAAATCGAATCAGTTTCATTTTCAGCCATCTGGCGGATGCAAATGTGAGGTGAATTTGGGTCGAACCGGTGATGCACCACAAGTGATCGAATATCACAATGAAGCTGATTGCAAAAAGAGTATTGAGGGTTGGCTTTGGAATGATAGATTTTTAGTTTTTAGTTTTTAGTTTTTAGTTTTTTAAATTTTACATAAATAAATTTCAATTTCAGCGGAAACAGCCGAAAACAAGAAAGACGTCAACGAAGAAATCAAACAGAAATACGGAGACTTCAAGGAGAATTGCTTCCCAAAGGTTTTCAAAAGAATTTCATTGAAATATTTATTCTTACATTCATTTTAGCCATCGGGTGGATGTAAATGCAATGAGAAAGACGCGAGTGGAGCCGATGTGGTGGCATCGTATTCAACTGATGCACAATGCAAGGAGCTCGTCCCGGTTTGTTGAGATACTGTTTAATAAAAGAACTAAAGAGTAGAGATAATTTAAACCGGTAAGCTATTGCTAGGGTTTTCAATTAACACTATTTTTTCAGCGAAACAAGGAAAAGCGTGAGGCTCGCGAGGATACCCGAACACAATCGCAATTCCAAGTCAACGTTCGTCAACAAAAAGTCGGTTTCTATAGCTTTTCGATAAGTTTATCATTCTAGGACTCCGATTCTCCATCGCAAAATGTTCGTGATCCAGTGAGAGATCAAGCCCAAGCCAACTATCGAGCTGTTGTCAACGAGTTGAATGAGAAATTCAAGGGATTGCGTGAAGGATGTTATCCACGACCAAAAGGTAGAAGAAGGGGAACATTGTAATAAAAGATCTATGGATTTGATAATCTTTGGATCAAAGCTCTGTATTTGATATTTTCGTGGACCAGGGTTGGGACTAGGAAACTAATATATATAATACTTTATTCAGGACCTGAGATAAAGTGCGCTAGATTTAAGATTAAAACACATGAATTCATACACATAAGACGAAGAGGGCCGATAAAAAGCAACACGATATAATACATTTAATATATGGGTAGCACAGATAACGTCAAGGATCCACTAGAGGATCCACGTCAAGAATCCATTAGAGGATCCACGTCAAGGATCCATTAGAGGATCCACGTCAAGAATCCATTAGAGGATCCACGTCAAGGATTCACTAGAGGATCCACGTCAAGGATCCACTAATCTTGCAAAAGTGCAAAAAAATATAACAAGCAACTTTCTAGGTTGCTTGTGTGTTACTGGGAAAGATCGAAGCGGAAATGACATCACGAGACGTTTCATGAAAGACACTGAATGCAAATGCACAGCCGGATCACCTGGATGTCCTGTTTAAGGGTTTATCACAAATTTCATTTCAAACTTTCTGTCCCATATATTGAGTGCTTTTCTGCTGTACTTTGCCCATAATAAGATCTCTTATGCCTAGCCAAAAATACTCATTTCTTCATGCAAATATCAATAAAGCTTTATTATATATACAGCAAGAAAAAGGCTTAACACTTTACAATTTAAAAATGATTTTTGTAAGATATTTTTTAGATAGGAAATTGATCAACAAAAAAATTGAAAAAAAATTGAAAACTAAAAAATTCTAGAAGCAAACAGTGTGCGTTGAATGACGCATATGAAGTTCTTTTGCGATCATTTCAGCGGTGATTGGATGCATTCCACCACGACATTTCAGATAGGTCTCACGAGCACGACGAGCCGCAACTGGCCAGCCATTCAAAGCTCTGAAAAGTTGACTCTTTTTAAGAACGTAATTTCTTTGACTTTCTACGTATAGTTAAAGTCTATTGTCATAAGTAGAGTGTATTCTAAAAGGTATCTATTTGAGAAACTATCGTAATCAAACCGTTAGTTTACATCTAATCAACCTGGTAGTATTCGATGATGAAAAGGCTTAGTCAATTATATCAAAATCGGGCTGACCGAATGTAAACGAACGGTTTGACTTCGATATTTTTCTCGAATAGTTGTCTTTTAAGAAACGCATTACTCGTAAGGAACACACTCTATTTATAAGGCTAAATATCGTATTTCTTCTCTTATAGCTTAATTTGAATAACTAAAATTTGCATATGAGCTGAATAAAAAGTGGCGGACATTCGAGTTGCAAGTACCCTTTTATATTTTCATCCACCGATGTACAAAAATGGCTATGTATGACTATTGGCTATGTGGCTATGTATGGCTATGTACGTATGTCTATGTATGTATGGCTATGTATGCATAGCTATGTATGTATGGCTATGTATGTATGGTTGTTATAAGGCTAAATATCGTATTTCTTCTCTTATAGCTTAATTTGAATCACTAAAATTTGCATATGAGCTGAATAAAAAGTGGCGGACATTCGAGTTACAAGTACCCTTTTATATTTTCATCCACCTTGGGCTCTATTTAGAGGAATGGAACTCAATGGTATGTTAAGAATACGGTATATTAACTCTATTCGATAATGAGTTTATTAGAAATACGGTATTTTTGCTTAATACATTGACTCTTAGCTATAAAGGCTTTTAGTTTAGTCTTATCATTTAATCTCAAAGTTTTAAAGTTTCAAACGCAACACGTGAGCGCAACACGCAACACCCAAAGAACATTCCCTATCCTAATATTTATATTTATTTTTATCTATAAAGTACTTGCAAACATTTTCTCACCTATAAACCGGTCTACAATATTTGAGTCGTCCTTGTACTTCAACGAACCACAAAGCTTTCTCGATGATTTTTCCCATTTTGCTTTGATGCAAACGCGAATCCAACTGAAATGATAACAATTGAATGCCATAAAATTTCTTGACATTTCAATTGCCTATTTGAATGTACTAATGCTTTTCGGACAGTCTTGTCTAAATAAACAATCATTCACAATGGAAAACGAATGAAAACATTCTTTGAAAATCGAATATTTTATAGATGATAAATAAAATAAAAAAAGGGTTATATAAATCCGTGAAAAAAATTCTTTTATATCAACTTTCTTCTCATTAACTTCTTTGCAATGAACGCTTTTTCTTTCATCGTTTTCTTTTCGATTTTATTTGTGGCTGGTGAGTTTAAGCAATCACACAGTACTTTACTTCAAAGGTGTTAAAAGTCAAAAAGTGTCTCTAAAAGTCTGGTTTCAAGGTTACGGTAGTAAAGAGACAAAATTTAGTGTCCACAATGGGTGAAGTGGACGATGATGATCGAGAGAAAAGAGACACTCGAATCAACACCCCGTACTCGTCATCGACTTACTATCGCAATCAATATCCCTCTCTTCTTCATCACTCTATGGTCGGAATTTATCCCCTTTACTCATCCACCTATTACAACAATCGCTATCCATACAATCAATATGGACGAGGGTTTGAAAAAATGATGAATTTTTCTAATGACATTTCAGTGGCTACCCGGGCTAAGGACCGTGGACAAATCGTGTAAACTAACTTCTCAAAAACTGAATATATTATCTGTAAATTGTTTTCCCAATGCGCAAATAAACCCACTTGAGCACGATCTCGCAATTTTGACTCTTGTTCAATTCATACAACGCATCGAGCGCCTCCAACTTGTAGTGTTCGAGTGGAGGATCGTGCTGAAATCAAAACGCTATAAATACAGTACAGAAAAATATTTGCATTCAATACAACACTCGTCTGTCTTTCGTCTTTAATTCTGAATAGAATCGATACTTTTTTTTTTCACTCTTCAACTGTCTACAAGATCTACAAGATTCAAATGCCCGTATCCAACCTGCCACAGTTGACTGAGGAATTCGATTTGCTGAAGTGGTTGCATCTCTTTGTATTGTTTAGCGGAGATCTCCTGGAAATTATCGGATAATTTTTTGCCTTATCTTTTCCTCACTTTTATCTTCTCCTCATCGGCCTCAATCCATTGATTGAAGAGCTGCTGACAGTCATGAACCATCGTCTCATCATAGCTAAAGATTTTCTTGTGAAAGATGGATCTGAGTTTAAAAAATTGAGTATCTTTAGCTTGTAAACAATTGTCAGAGTTCCATTACAAACCTCGGCTTTTCGGGCGGCATTCCAACAGCGAAAAACCAGGCATCGAAATTCACCGTATCCAGGATGTCTTTCTTGTCCTAAATCTCACAAATTTCTCCTTCAAAACTCTTTTCTTACATGAAAATATTTGAATAGATGATCTTTCCATTGAAATGAATCGATTGCTTTGTGAGCAAAAAGTACTCAAATAATCACGAAGATATGGCTCGAAAACTTCTAAAGAAGATTCATTTATTATTTTGTTGATTTCTTTTAACAAACCAGGTCCTCCAAGTTTTTGCTCAAGATAAACGAGTAGAGCTGAGCCTTTTTCATAAGGAACACACGAGAAAGCGACGTCTGGATCCACATTTTCGTGATCTTGAATCAATTTGGTGAATTGATGAGTGGGCGTGAATTGCTCGTACACCTAAATAATCAAACTTTTCAAAGCCGTGTTATTTTAAGATAATAAATGATTAAAAATGCTTTACCGCTGGAATGAGATTATTCGTCCATCCGTTGAACGCCATAAATTGTCGATACTCTTCCGAAACTAAACGCCCGCAGATTTTCCTCTCGATGAACATCGTGGGAAAACTTAGTTTAACCTTTGAATTAATGGAATGGAATATATTCGGGAAATCTTTCCCTCCTACCGAGAAATGTATCCTAACTGCTGTTCGTGACGAGATTCCCACTCCACGAATGTAGTTGATCCTCGGAGCGATCACCGATAATTTTAACGATCGATCACCAGCCTTACATATAGTTTTTTTAATTTCTTTTTAAAGTTTTCGATATAATTCAAAGATTCAACGAAAAACTAATATTAATCTAAAGAAATTTTAAGCCGTAAACTTCATTATCATCATCATACTGATTATCTTTACAAAAATCCTTACTATTAGAGTTGGGTCAAGAATGTGGAGACACGGATTCTCCATACCACCGAAAGGAAAGTCGATGGAAGGCAAACCATATCGTATCGACTCCCAATATGTTTCCTAGCAATCTCCTCTCAAAGTACAAGCCAAGATGTTCTTAGGTCTAAACAAAAACAAGATTTGTAAACCAGTTACCCAGATTACTCTACCTAATAGACTAATTTAACTATTTAATAACTATGACACTGAACTCAAATAATAGAAATAATTTGTTCTTCTAAAACCCTCACTTCGTTGAACTCCCAGTGAGCTGCTTTCAACCATCGATGGTTTCAGCCCAAACAGCGCAGACTCCGATCAGAAATGTCTCTCTTCTCAAGCACACCCTATATCAATTTATATGAATGTTAGCCTGGTTCTCCATACCGACAACACAATAGCCAAGAGATATGATGGAATTGCAACGGGTTGCTTGAAGAAGAAAGCGTCGTCTCTTCATCGTCACCCTTTGATCCTTCTTCTCCAATAGCTGACATCAAACAGGTCAGACCGGTTGGCACGGTAAATCACAACAAAAACAAATTGCAAATGCAGTAAAAATACCTCATTCTAAGTAAAGTACTGTGATTAGATATGGAAAATAAAAACCGGGGGGGGGGGGGGGCTCTGAAATTCCGTCTACTAGCAGAGACTCCAAATTTCTATTTCAGGTGCTGAAAATTTTCGCAAAATCGGTCAAAAAATGCATTGAGAAAACACTATGGAATTAGGTTCGGCTTGGAATTTTCCCATCTCCAGGAATTTTTCCATCTCACCTGTAGATCATACGTCGATTTCATCGACGGTGTGTCCACGCTTGTTTTCATTTCTTTCTGTAAAATGTTAAAGCCCAAAAAACTTATATTGGCATAATCGATCGGGCGTGAATTGCTTGACATTGTGAGAACAAATATGGAGCTTTGGGTCCTGTGTTTGTTCCTTTTCAGCCATTGAAGAGCGAAAACAAATAGGGTGAGGAACTGTACTTGATGATGACCCTCCTAGCCGCAAATTCGACAAGTTCTCCGAAAACTCTTCCTTTACTTAGAACTTTGTGGGTATCGCTTACTTTCACAAGAAAATTTTCTAAATTCCTTTTCCCGAACCGTACCTTATGTCAACTCCTTCCAACTCCCACCGCTGCTTGAATAGAAAAACCAAGATTTCGCTGCTCTTAACGAAATCCTTTTTTTCAGACAAAAAGATTGGGGGAAATCGAAAAAGAGAAAGAACTCCAATGTGATAACCTTCAAAATACAAAAAGAGAGAATTTGTGATAAGAATTTTAAAAGGAAGACGAGAAAAAGAAGATGAAAAAGAGAATGATTGAAGTGTCTGTCACTATTTGTTGGCTACTCCTTCACAGAAAAGTGAAAGATTAGGTGTAAGTGTCTCTGCGTGGGACAGTTTTAAATCCCCTTCCACTCAGGGTTCAATCAGATCTAAGCCTGCAGTGCTGCAATCGTCCAAAGATCAAGGAAATTATTTCGGAAACTAATTTTTACTCACAATTCTTGTCCCTTTCGTGCAATCGGTCGGCAACGAGATCTTCATCTTTGATCGGAAGAAAGTGTACACATTTGGAGCGATGCGAAAAATCCGCGTTTTTCCCGTTCACCGACACCGAGCGAATCGAGAGATCACGAACGTCCAACAACTGAATTTAACTTTGTTGGGCGAAAGTAGGGCAATCTTTGTACAGTTCTAGTTTCATAATATAGCCCATAAGATTTAATATTCTTTACCAAAAGTAGTTGGAGACAAATTTGGGTTTTGTAAAAGAGGATAGACTACGCGGCACGTGGGTTGTATTGAGATTTTATGGTAATAAATTTGAACTCACTAGAGTGGTATCACTTTAGAATAAAAATATGTCTAAAGTCCGTGCACTTATACAATGTCTTCGTCAAATTAAGAAAGGGAAACATTTCAGATTTTAAAAACCCACCAATTGTTGAGTGTTTTTGAGAACTTTGGCTGTGATTGTCACATTCCCGATGAGCATTCGAAGTGGGAAATGAACCTATGAATTGATGGATTGACTAGCTCATCACTAATCATTTTGAGTACCTGCCAGCGGAGTGCATAATGTGAGACCGAGATCTCATCGGCGTTGGCACAAGAGCACGGATCCTAGAAAGAATTTGATGTTTTGACAACCACTTTTATTTTTTTTCAATAATATCAAACCTTTCTAGAAAAGCGATGATGAGCACGACACATTCCCACGAAAATTTCCCGCAAAAAGTGGAGAAGGGCCTGAAATGTGAGTGGGGTAAAGGAGAAGGGGCGCAGCCAGTGTCAGTCTCGCTCCTTATCTCCATCACCTCTTCTTTTTTTTTCCGCACGGCTCGATTTGCCCTTTCATCCGCTTACTTGTCTCGTCAGTCGGCAAAAGGCGAAAATTTAAAGGTTTAAATTCCAAAAAGGATTCGGAAATGATTGAGGCTTTGACAGAAAATGGTTCTACATTGGAACAATCAAGACCCACACGTCAGTGTCTACGGGAAAAAAAAGCTGTGTCGAGACAATAGATGACTCAATGAAGATTTCAGATTTGTTGAATTTTTTCTCTCCATCGGTATTTGAATACTTTTCCGTTTCCCATCAAACAGTAGTCGTTGCATGCTATAGCTACCAATGAGTTACTGCTAACCCCCACTAAAACGCTAATTGTAAGAGGTTTAATAAGTAGAAATCAACAGCTGAAAGGCTTTATTACCTTAAATTCGGGAATTTACTGAGCATGACACGTTCACATTATTCACATGACACAATAGCTACGACTATTCTATACACAATCTATGTACAAATTTTAAAAAAATCAATACTTAGAAAACGTTTTCTCAATTTTTAGATTAATAGTGTCTTTTATTCGGTATAAATACTGTAAACGAATAATTAGTCGCTTTGCGTCCTCCCAACTCGATGAAGCCAACTTTTGGGTCAAATCGGTGAAAATCGTATTTATCTAAATTAAAATTAAAACTAGTTCCAAGATATTTATCTATTAGGCTGTCCAAAAATCTATTCGTTCGTTTTCGTACATCCGTTTAAAACCCATAAATGCACGAATTGAACTACGGTTTGTTTCATTAGATAAGCCAATTATTTTTCTGCAAAATAACATTAAAACGGGTTTAAAATGTCTCATGTCTGGATTTTTTGGGAGCGTGAAGTCGGGTAGTCAAAAAGTGCGACGGTTCGATGATGCGGTTTAGACACTTTAGCTAAGGAAACCTATCTTGGTGTCAATAAATAAAAGATAGAGCACAAAATTTTTGGTATACAACCAAATTTTCAGAGAAATTCATTCAGTCAATTTCTTTGTAGAGGTTTTTATAGATTTTTGCGAGAAACACGCTTTCAGCCTCGAATTTATTTGAAAGTGAACCCAAATTGACTTAAAAAGGTGGGAAATTGTACAATAAACACTTTTTATTTAGAGCAAACCATAGGTTAATTGGTCAATTTGTTGGTTTTCAACGGAAGTACGAAAAAGAACGAAAAGACTTTCTGAATAGCCTAATAAAACTCAACAAAATGCAAACCTCTTTAGTAACTTTGCTTTTTTCTTCTTGTAACATACATTCTTCCTCCATTTCACTTATGCTTTCTTGCCAATCGAGAACCTCCATCAATTCTTCGGGATCCAAGTGCATCTTCTCGTCTTCTAGAATGACAATTTGTCGATTGAGAACAACGATAGTTACCAATTCTTACATCTTTATTTAGTTTCAACAAAGGAATAGCTTAAGTGTACTACCGCTTTCAAGGCTGTTTAAATACCCATAGCACGACCAACCGCCAATTTTGAGGCTTCCTTCCGTTTCGAGTAGATACTTTGCTCTTTCTAGCTTCTCGCCCAAAGTTTTCATTGCGATGTTCAACATTCGGGAATGCTCTTCAGACATTGATCGTTCCTTGAAAAAATATAATCATAAATATTTCAGTAAACGTACCACATCTGTTGCATGTGCAAATCTGTCCGGATGTAAATGCAGGTGCAGTTTGTGAAAGCTAAGACAAATAAAATTAATGTAGACTGCAAAAAAGTTCTATTACTTTTTCTTAAACGATTCCTCGTCTATTTCAAATTTCTTCGGCAAGTTGACGTAGGTGAAGAGATTTTTCGCTACAACTGGCTGTATTTTATTGCACGAATCACAGAAGAAAGCTGATTGCGTTTCCTAAATTATTATTCGTAAGGTGAAAAACAAAGCTTAAACCATCGAATTAGCAAAAATCTAACCTTTGAACAATTCCAGCATTTTTTAGAAGTGATGGAAGACTGATGCTGAATTTGAAGAAACCCAAAGTAATTTGCAAAGCGTCCCGACCGACATACTGAAGATAAAATACTGAGTTGTGAATTCATCTAAATATAGCATCTTACAATTTGCATCTTTTTAAAAATAAATAAAACAAAAAATAAAAAAATTTAAAAATAAAAGTATAGGGCTTTTCTCACATTAAATTCTTTTTTAAAACCTAAAAATTACGCAATTGTCTGTGTCATAACCAAAATATGTCAAGTTTTTTTACAAATGATAAATCGTCAATATCTTAAAACCAATTTATTTCGATAAAACCAATAAATTAAACAATGAGGATCAAATGACAACAATTAAACCAACCATTGACAATACTTCTTTTACTTTTTAGCATAGCTGACGCGCATCTGCAGACTGGGCGTAACTTTGAAGTTGTCTAGAGCAGCACGAGCGGCACCGGCCTCAGTCTAAATTTAAATAGAGTTAAGTGAACTATTGCACAATTCACCTCCGATTCAAACTCCACAAAAGCGATTCCTGTTCGATTTGGCACCATTCGAATGTCACGCAATCCAGGGAACCTAAAATCCGCCTGATCAGTTTCAAATGAGTTAAAGATACGGCTTAAAGAGAAGCTCAAGAACGTCCGTTGTAGTTTCATCGGGCAGATTTGTACAGAACAGAATCTAAACTAATATGAAAAAAAAGGAATGTTTCAAAAAAAACTTTGTTTGGTGGAGCTGAAGTGTCATTCTCCGGCTTGCGTGTTGGAACCTAAAAGTTGTCTTTGTTCACACAATCGTACGTGGTAGTCATAACTTTTGTTTTGCCTGGAAAAATTTTAAAATCTTTTGCCAGAATATAATCAAAAGTGCGTTAAATTAACCTATAAAAGATAAAATATAAACAGGATTTTTTTGACCACCAAAACAACAACTAACCTTCTTTACTTTCTTCACTCGTTGTTGATACTTCTTGGCACGTTCAACAAATGTGCCTTTTACCTTTGCAATAACATCGCTATCGTCGCGAGAAAATTGAATTCTCTGAACTAAGCAATAGCTAAAAGCAATAAACAAAAATCTACCATTGGTTTATCATAAAACGGAAATCCTTGCATGGATCGTAAAGCGTTTGCGGCAGAAGAAACCTCCTAAAGTTTTCGTTTAGCAATTGGGTACTACTTCACACCTTGAAAATGATGTGAGCCTGTCCACGCATTCGAAGAGTTTTGAATGCCAAGATCGAGATGATTTCTCCAAATTGAGTGAAGATAGCGTGAAGAGCCTTTTTTAATTCTAAATTTTAATACATTAATTTGGATAGGTGACACTCGGAATGCTTTAGTAGCTTCAAGTTGGGAATTTGCTTATTTAAGCTAAAAAAACTTTTAAGCGTAACCAACCGCGCTAAAAAATGTTTGTTTGCTTTGTTTACTGCTCGGCCATAAAATTTAGTTACGTTATAAAGATTTCATACGATTTAAAAATAAAATTCACCTTCTTTCTTGACCTTCTCGTTGAGATTGTTGATATAGAGAGTATGATTGGGCTTGAGATCCATTCGTCCCTGTGGATCAGTTGGCTTCACATCCATTGTTGATACGCGAGATATAGTTTTACAGCTGAAAAAATAAAAAATTGAATAAGGCCTGTTTTTTCAAAAAAAAAAAACAATAACAAAAGTCGGTTAAATACAGAAAAAATGGTGCATCGAGTAAAGGTTTCCGAAAAGGGCGACCTAGCAATGGGAACATTCAAATCTATGTGTTTTGTACAGCCGTGGACTCGTTGTGGCAAGGTAGAGATAAATCTACAACGCCAATAGCAAAAGTTTAATAATTGGCGAAAGTAACGTTAGTGGCACGGAATTTATAGAAATGAATAACTCTCATGGAAAAAAATCAGTCAGTCGACTGAATATCTTTAACTTGTGTAATTTTGATCTTTATTTTTTGCGTTTTTACGTTTGTCTGTCTTTGCTTTACGATTTGGTCGAGCATTTGTTAGTTTCGATTCAAGGTGAGCTATTTTGTATCTTGGAAAAATCTTTATTCTCCAAAAATTTAAACACGCTTAGTGTCTCCGTATCGATTCTCCACTTTAAATTTGACTATTTTCCCGTTCACGTGGTCGTTGTGATCTTGTAGAGCGATTCGAACCACTTCGAGGTAACGGACCCGCACTTTTTGATCTACAACTACTTGTCTTAAACACTTAAAACAATAAAAAACCGTTTTTGTTCACTATTCGTCTTTTTATTCGTGACTATGCTTCCCACACGACGACGTTCAGAAGTAGTTTCGGCACCATTGCCGGCTTGATATCTAAATGGTTTAGATTTCTTTCATGGTGTGTATTAGTCACTTACCTTTGACTCTGAGTACCGTACACTCGTAAAGTATTGTATGGGCTTCCTACGAGTAAATGTGAAGGACTCCGGCCATGCAAAGAGAGAGTCGAACAACCGGGAATACTGTAACAATTTTTGAGTTCTGAATTCCAGAAGCTATTCAGTACACTGGTGGATAGAGTTTCAATTCATCATGTGGTTTAACAACGTTCGAGTGAGCATATTTATTGGCTAAAACCGGATAGGCGGGCGGTGGAAGTGGTTGATAGGGATCTTTCTCGAAATAGGGCTCGGGATCCTATGAATTCCTGACTATGGTTTAGGGAGATGATTAAAACCCGATAAATGGTAGTGATTGTCGTCAATTTTGATGGCTCTTCATGTTGTTTGGTATGATGCAAATAGGTTTTGAAAAACTAAATAGTTATTTGGCAATCTTTCATGAGTTTCAACTTACATCACTGTTTGTCAGACTGAGGCAACAGGCAAGTGAGCATAGAATAGCGCCAAGAATAAGAAAAACAGGACCCACAATCTGTAGCACTTTGAGCTAGACTTTTGAATGTACTTGCCTGTATTGGTGGTGGGGTTTTTCGTTTATCAGCGTCCCAGGTCCAAAATGGAGAAGTGTAGACCCAGAAATAACCAAGAAATACCTGCAGTGGTTTATGAAATTGTTTCACAAGCGAACTTTACCATAAAAGCTCCACCGAACAATAAAAAAACACCAAATGCGCCAACACAAACCGTGGAATGAGAACCTCGAAATCGACTAAATTTCACGTTTATTTACTGTACTTTTTTACTTACGTTGTCCGATAGGGGAAAAATCCAAAAGTGGCTGGATATAAAATATCCCATCCTTTTGGATAATAGTAGAAATATGGATCCCTTTGTGCCATTGGTCCATAGTGTAGAACTCGTTGATTGCCGGTCCACTCGGTTGGATCTAATAAACCTTAAATCCCTCAAAATCGAGTGTTTTTCAAGGTTTTACCCGCTCCCGCTTGCACCATTTCGTCTTTTTTGTGGACATTTGTGTGTTGCAATTTGTCTGGAAGCTGTTGTTATAATGCTTCTTTTTCTGTGACCTACTATGGGGTCTTCGTTTCCTCTTTTGGGTGCTTTGCGTGTGTTCCCTCGAAAATAACAAATGTGTCCGTACGCGTTCAGGCGGTCCACCCCCACCACCGCCTCTGCGCTTACCGCCCATCTGAAATTTTTAATACTGGTTTTGGTTTTAACGCTTATAAGCTCAGAATCAGCACTTAAAGCAAAAGTAAAAAATCCTCAAATTTGCATATATGCCTTGAAATTACCTTTATGCTATTCAGCTGAGTTACCTGAGTATTTTATTTATTACTTAAAGTATTTTATATACTTTCAGAATACCGCCCCCCCCCCCGCCCCAGTGTCCCCCTCAAAGTGTCCCCTTTGTCCCCCTAAAGTGTCCCCCCCTAGTATCCCCCTATTTTTTTCATATCAAATCACAACTTTTTGCTCTCCAAATGTGCTTTAACTTTTTAAACTCAATGATCAATGAAAAATTTAAAAAGTTAAAGCACATTTGGAGAGCAAAAAGTTGTGATTTGATATGAAAAAAAATAGGGGGATACTAGGGGGGGGGACACTTTAGGGGGACAAAAAGGAGACACTTTGAGGGGGACACTTAGGGGGGCAAAAGGGGGACACGGGGGGGGGGACACACTCGAAATGTATACCCACTAGTGTTATTCAATGGATAATTAAATTACGCACCGAATGGTACGAAAATCATAAAAATTGATCCAGTAGATAGCGAGAAAATAGCAAAATACCGTAGATTGCCAATGGCAAGGGGGACACTTTTAGAGGGACACTGGGGGATGGTACTTTGGAAGTATAGTATTTTACAGCATTTTTCTGCTTTTTTTGCTGCCATCTTTACATAAAAATTTCCCCAAGGTTGCTTACCATTTTTACGAGGCTTTGTCAAAGTTAGATCAGTTGCTGAATGTTTCAAAATAGCATCTAGCGTAGTACAACAACGGCGGTTAGACCTTTTATCCAATTTCCAAGTCTTTTCAAAAGAATGCATGCTTTTGTTCTTTGCAATATCACACAGCAGACAACCCCAGATGCTTTGCTTTCGGGTGAAGAACAGCTGCTTTTTGTCTTTCCTCCTTCACCCAAGTGTACTTTGTATTCCGATGTAGGATGGAAATGGATATTGTGCGTCAATCATTGCTTGCGTTTGCGCTTTTTTGTTTCTCTAGTTCTTACGGGCCACACTTGCAGCGTTTTTGATATTTACTATCCTTTTCCTTGATTAGAGTGGTTTGATTTATTTATATCGTATTTGTTTAATTTTAATAAAATTTCTCACATTCTTACTTAGGGGTTTTTGGGTAAACGCGACCAATGGGTTCGTTGACTAGATCAGCTGCGTCGGTCAAAACGGTTGGTTTATTATATTTATTTATGGTTTTATTATATTAGTTATTTGATACGTTTTCTTTTTACAGGTGGTTGGCCGATCGTCAAAAGCAATTGCACCGCTCTCTATCACATCGAGCCTTGGTTCCCCGGTATACTTTTTATTTGATTGACTAGTATTTGATCCATTGTTGACGAGTAGATTTGATTATTAGGTCAAAGTTGATGCAGATAGAAAATGAATGTTGGTAAAATGCTCAGTCTAGCTGTGATTTCAATTGATTAACGATCATAAATAATTTATACTTTTTAGGATGCGGCAATTGACCACAAGACCATAGACTCGCTTCAATTGGCGACCGAGAAGGCCTCTCGCACTGGACTTTTTGTTAGCGGTCTCGCCGTTAAGGGAGTCAATGGTTGGTGGTTGACGAACATCATAAAGCTTTTGAACATTTGATATAATATGTTTGCTTTTAGTTACCTCACGTCGTCATGCTTCGACTTATGATGTTCCATATCCAAATTTTGATGAGTGTCGTCGTAAGTCAACTCTTGACGCGAAAGTAGCTTCCAGGGATACGGAACCCGAGAGAGTGGCTTTCACTCGTGCTGTTAAAGGCGGTAAGTGTCTACATAGATTTTAAAACCTGTTCGACATGAAATTAGCTATTGATAAATATTATAATCATTTCCTGAACTTATCCTCTGTTTAGTTGCATTTGGATCATTTGGTCTATGGGGTGCAAAAGAAGGAGTTCAGCTACTTCTTTATTCTAAAGTAAGTTTTTAAAGTATCCATTTGTTTAATTGTTCTTTCATTGCAAATGATTTTCTTTTAGAGTATGTCAATGGCGACTCGTGCTTTGGCTGCGATCGAAATTAGCATGAATGACATTCCCGAAGGTTATTTTCTTTTTCAGTACGTTAACTAAATGTTTTGATTTTAGGGACAACAAAAACCTACGAATGGCGCACGCGTCCAGTTTTTGTTCGGCACAGAACCAAGGCTGAAATTGATCGTGAGAAGGTTAGAATTTGCTTTTTTAAACAACTTGATAGTTCTGCATTTGATATTTAAACGTCGAACAAGATATTCAGCAAGATATTTAATAATAATCAGCTCCAATGTCTGCGCTTTTAGGCTGTTGTTGTTTCTGAATTGAGGGATCCTGAGCACGACGATGTGCGAGTGAAACGTGATGAATGGTCGGTGGTTATTGGTGTCTGCACACATCTTGGATGCGCTCCTATTGGTTGGTTTAAATCAAAAGAACGGGATATTTTAGTCGATTATAGCATAGCATAGAATGCACGAGTTGAAAATACTATAGAAAATATTTAGCTGGCGCTGGTGAATACTCTGGCTACTACTGCCCCTGCCACGGCAGTCACTACGATGCATCTGGACGCATTAGGTATATTTTACAAAAATTCTTTTAAATCATTTACTTTAGAAAGGGACCCGCTCCTCGTAACCTTGATGTGCCACCATACGTTTTCAAAGGAGATACGATTGTTGTCGGAGAAGAGGAAAAATAAGCAACCAAATTTTACGCTTTGAAGAATTTAGGCTGGTTTTTGCCTTTTTTAGTTTTGATTTGTACTTTAGCGCCGGTTTATTGTCTATAAAAGTAGATTTCTGTCTATAATGTTTTGGACGGAAAATAGTAAATAAACGTTTATTCACTTTAATTGCTTGTAGATTAAGCTTTGACTAACGTGATACGTTTGGTGGGGACGGCGGTTTTTGTCGTGGATGGTGCTTTGAAGAAATTCGGAGTTTCCGTTTGTGGGGTTGATTTATTTTTCTTGGTCATGAAAAAAATCGTTAACAACCTAATAGTGGTAATGATAAGGATTCATCTTATAGTAAACAATACCCGATCCAACAACTAAAACACAAAGGAATTGCCATGTTTGCAGTGAACGAAATAATCGGTTGAACGGTTAATTTTGCCGGTCTGAATTCTGGCATAGATCGCTTTGTAATGGTTCACTTACCCATATTGATGAAAGAAAGATATGAACAGATAAAACAATCCGGATCCATGTGTGGCAACCATCTAAATTGGTTCTACTTTGGCAGTTCTCATGTAAGACACCTGTTTTGTCAGTTGTAGATCGGATCGAGTGAAGTTTCCTCCGTGTTGGGATTTGAAAGCTTGTCCCTTAAAGATCATGAGCATTTCGAGTATAATTTCTGTAACAAATACCAAGCGTATTCTAAGGATTCTCAGCGTAAATACATCGAGCCCAATCGATATGCAAAGTAGAGAAAAAACGAAGAAATTTAATGTCGGTATCTATAGATTTTGAATGGGAATTTGATGCTTTTAGATACCATTGTTGTGAAAAAGTCCCCATAATTCAAAACAGCGTAATCTAAAGGATTGAAGAAACGACAATTGCCCGCTGAAAACTTATTAGATATTAAGGCCTCAAAATCTTTTCCATACGGATAAATGTGCCAATTGTCATCAGTGTCACAGGCAAAATGGGTACAATGATCATCTGGAATTTGGTTTTAGTTATAGAAATGATTTTTTTTCATTCCTATTTTGATCACCTGTATATACCGTAGTTGCAGGGTCTTTTTGTAGTAAATGCCCATGAAAGCGACAGCGTAAAAGCGATTCGTTGATAAAACGATCTGAAATTTGAATTTGTTTTTCTTTTGTGAGCATTTATAAAGGAACCTCATAAAGGAATGCCGAATAGTGAAGACATCCTTGAAATGCGGCCAAAATCTGACAGATTAACCACCAGGGATCGAGTAGACAAAAACGGCTAAACGGAGAATCTTCGGAATCAATTAGCATATTTTGAAGTACTGCATCGGCCACTGTAGATCCCATTTCATGAGAAGCTCAAAAGTGAATGCACACCCTTTCTAGTATTTAGAACTAGAATGCACACTCATTTATGAAACTTTTCCAGACAGGAACTTATTACTGTAAGGAAAATAAATATTTCAGTGTGCCAGACAGTTTGTTTTCAGTTTCGAGCCCAGAGAACAGTTTACAACTTAAGAACTTAAGTAAGAAGAGCTAAGACCAGAACCAACTAGAGAACCAACTTAAGTATACAAGTGCCGAAATAGAGAACGAGTGTGCAATTCAACGCCCTGCACAAGTGATCTCCAAATAAAAACATCTGAAAATTTGTCTTTTTGGCATTTTTTTGGCAAAAATTTAGCATTTTTCAACCTTGACAGCTTTTGCAATCCGATCATTTCCCCATACGAGCCCGCATGCATAAATGTTTAAAATGGTCGAGAAAATGGCGATCTGAAAGAATTCTGTGAAAGACTGAAAGACTGTGAAAGACGATATTTGTTCTACAACGTGCCAAAACTACCATAACCGGTTATGGTCGTTTTGGCACGTTGTAGAACAAATCGTTTACCCCAAAATAGATGATGGCCACCAAAATGTCGGTTTGCGATGGGGTGAACTCGAGCACCAGCTCCTCGATCGTCAAATAGTCCGTGGAATTGGTGGAATTGGTGGAATTCGATGATTGACCACTTTCAGCCATGATGGAATGGATTCGGTTCAAGATATTTTATACAAATGTAGATTTTTTGCTGTTTTTTTGATCACCTTTTCTAATAATTCATAGATGAACCGCGAGAATTTCTGACTAATTTCCTGAGGGAAATTTCCTGTCCAAAAACGATCGGAAATCGTCTCGAAATACCGAATTTCCTCCCCTTTTTTTGTTGTACATACAGAGCCTTTTCTGATCAATTTTCGTTTATCGTCAATCATTCAATTACATGAATTTTAAGATAAAATGATGATGACTAGTTCGAATGGTTTTCGAAAGCTACCGTAATCTTGCTTATACTAAAACTATTGAATGCTTTACTATACAGGGTGACCAAGAATTACCGCAACAACATCGTATTATGTTATGAGCCCCATTTCACTTTTTGCTCACTGTTTTTATGGTTTTTGTGTATTTTTCTTATATTATTTTCATGTACAAAACCACATAAAAATATGGAAAGTTTGAAGAAGGCGCTGATCAAAGCATGGGATACCCTCGATGATGCCTATTTGCTCGCCACAGTCAACGCGTTTCCCAAACGTTTGCAGGCCTGTCTGAATGCCGATGGAGATCTCAAAGCGCCTGAATGTCCCCAGAAGCCTCGTTTCTCGAACCATTCAACGTTATGAAACTCTGGGCACAGTTTCTGATCGCCCTGGAAGATGTGCAAGCGATTCCCGGACTTCCCGGACTTCATCTCGTTTTCTGAGTGGCCAACCAGCTCACGCGATCTTAACCCATTGGATTACTCAATCTGGAGTGTTCTTGAAGCCAGGGCATGTGCAAATCCACATAAAATATCGAAAGTTTGAAGAAGGCGCTGATCAAAGCATGGGATACCCTCGATGATGCCTATTTGCTCGCCACGGTCAACGCGTTTCCCAAACGTTTGCAGGCCTGTCTGAATACCGATGGAGGCAAATTTGAATTTAATTGTTAGTTTGTTACTGTTATATTTTGAATAAAGATATTTAAGTTAACTTTTCGAGATGGGTTTCATATTTGGTTATAAGCCAGGCCCTTTTGTGTGTTGCGGTAATTCTTGGTCACCCTGTAATTTGTGATCAGTCTATCTAGTTTTATATATTTCCTGAATGATTCAGGAAAGATAGATTAAATTACGGTCTTACGGTAGCTTTTGAAAGTTTACAGATTTTAGAAAAGATTTTAGTTTAGAAAAACACTATTGATAGTGTTTGATTGAGAAAATTGATATTGATATTATTGATAACACTGTATTGTGTTATCTCTATTGATAACACTGTATTGTGTTATTTCTATTGATAACACCAGTATCCTTTTTTTCTGAACAAATCAAAAAAAGCTGTCTCTTTCTCGAAATGAAATCTGAGAATCACAAAAAGGAAAAATGAGATGTTTTGAAAAGGACAAAAATGCTTTAGGTCTTTTTGTGTAACAAATTATCGTACTGTACTTTTCAAAATTGAAGGCAATATTCTAAAAGAACTCAAAGAATACTCAAATTAAGCTTTCGTTTGAATGAGATGCGTTTTCTCCCATTTCATCTTTCCCCTTTCTTTATCCTCCTCTTCGTATCGGTTAGAAATCGCTCGCATCGATATCGCCAAATAGCTAAAGGATTTGAAATGTTTTAAACTCTATTCATATTAGAAATGGTTTTAGACTAGATAGTTTACTTTAAAACTTTTTTTTAGTTTGTTGGTTTTACCTTGTGGGCAAATCGCCCAAATTGACGGCCATTTGATGGAGAACGAAAAGTCCGTCGGAGCCGAGACGACTGAAAATTTGAATGCTTTTGGAAAAAAATCTAGTAGTTTAACATCTGAATTTTGAGAAATTTGAGCATTTTATGGATCCTGGTCCGAATTATAATCCGAATTACTATGTATAGAAATCGATCGTTAATTCGGATCTCTAAAGAAATATTGAAGTAACTGAAATTCGTCAAATGCTGCTTTACATTTTGCAATTTTTGATGCACAAGATGTACAAGATGTACAAGATGTACAAGATGTACAAGATGCACAAGATGTACAAGATGCACAAGATGTACAAGATGCACAAGATGTACAAGATGCACAAGATGTACAAGATGCACAAGATGTACAAGATGCACAAGATGTACAAGATGCACAAGATGTACAAGATGCACAATGCACAAGATGCACAATGCACAAGAAAAGCTTTTCCGTGCCTCTTTTACATCTCATGAACCTATTAAACTTATTTTCGATGTTTTCATTTGTCCAATTTGTTCACATCCTTCTTTGAATCGTTCTTTGCTTTATATGCTCACTTGTAAAAATCGACAATTGAATCTCTCGACTTCAACTGTGGATCGGTTTCCAAATAACTGTTGATTGTAGATTGAGCCTGAAATTATCTTTTTAGTTTTATTTAGAAATGATTTTTTCAATTCTCTACCCTGTATGGCGCTGCACAAATATAAATCCAATAAAAAGCATTAATCGTCGAAACCACAGAAACGAAAAGTATCCAAAACCATAAAAAGAGAAAGATTTTCTCGTAGTAGATATTCATCGACAGAACACACAACACTGTGTCCAACTGAAATTCGTTTCAAAAGTCGAAAAGGAGAATGTTTCATCACCTGTACAGAAGCGGGTCGTCTTCGGTTGAAATCACAATGGGTAATCCGGGGGAAATGACCGGTGCTCTGAATGAAATCTATGGCTACGGCGGTTTTCGAAAATGAACACATTTTAGCAAACACTCTCAAGACATGCTTTTTGATTTGTTCTGAAAAAAGGATACTGGTGTTATCATGTCTGTCTCTACCTGCCAATCATTCCCCGATACAATGTCCATCAAAACGCTCGGACCCCAGAAAGTGTTCTCCGTCGAAATGACCATATTGATCAAGTAGAACTGAAAACATTGCATAAATTTAACAAATCATTCGGTTCTTCTCGGAAATTCGGGTCTTTTCATTGCGAAATCTTTTAACCCTTTACCGAGGGGGTTTGCTAGATGGCAAGCGATTGTGCGCGCGTACAAAGAACACCTCCTCAGTCACTTTACACAGTGATTTTTCTTTTGTTTTGTAAATGATTCCCAAACGAGATTTAGTGGTAAAAATTTGTGCCCCGCGGTTTTCAGGGTCGTAGAACCTAGTGGCGGAGTTTATTTTAACCCCATGTCTTAACAAAAGTGCCAAGAGAATCGAATTGGCTTTCGGTTTTGCATATGATAGCTTTTCACAATCGAAAGACCCGGATTTCCAAGAAGAACTGTTAGTGATAGTTCTGTCAATGTTTGAATAGCTTTAATTTTGACAATTTCTCTCTACCTGTATCCAGGCATTGGCTGCTTGAAGTGCGGCTCCAATCGCATAGTATAGCGGGATTAAATGTGATCCTTTCTTGCGCGCAAGTCTCAATGCATCCCACACGTAAACGGCTGGACGACCCTCGAAATGGCTTAGGCGATCTGAAATCTCGCTACAATATTCTGATTCGTAATATAAGTATATAGGTGTCCGAAAAAAAAAGTGCTCACCGGTTTGAGTCTGGAAAAATTTTCTCGTTGATTTTTCAAAGCGCATCGTGGTGTCAGAATTGGTTTTGCTTCGGGCGTCACACAACAAGATCAAGTTCATTTTTTGATGATTTTGTGAATAGGGGTTCATGCATCGGCCGGGGAGCTCAAAATCCACGTATACATGAAAAACACACTTTTCAATTCCTCTATTTCACCACAAATCTTTCAAATTTTTCTTTCTATAAATTTGTTTTGATATGAGGATCTTGCAAATAAGAGACCCCAAAAAGTCGGTCCTGCGAAAGCAGCAACAAGAGGGTTTTCAGCAACAAGCAGCAACAAGACAAAAGCAGCAACAAGAGGGTTTTCTCGTTTAAAAATTAACCATATTTTTAAGATTTTTAAAGCAGCCAATCCAACAAATGCAAACTGAAATTGTGTTTAGAAAATTAAAAGAACAAAACAAATTTATAGAAACAAAAAGTTGAAAGATTTGTGGTGAAATAGAGGAATTGAAAATTGTGCTTTTCATGTATACTTGGATTTTGAGTGCCCCGGCCGATGCATGAACCCCTATTCACAAAATCGTCAAAAAAAATCAACTTGATCTTGTTGTGTGACGCCCGAGGCAAAACCAATTCTGACACCACCATGCGCTTTGAAAAATCAACGAGAAAATTTTTCCAGACTCAAACCGGTGAGCAACTTTTTTTTTTCGGACACCTGTATAGGTTAGGTACCTCTAAAAGATCCATCAGCCGCTTTTACAACCGTCCAAAAATCATCCACATATCTGATTGAGCCAGCGAGATCGTATCCTGAATTTCTTCATGAGAAACGCTATAGATTGGGTTAATGGCAAGATTACGGTAGCTTTCAAAAGTTGATAGCTTTTAGAAAATGCATTTTTTGAAGGGAAACTTTAAAGATAACCCACCCGAACGAGCGCATAGCGATTTCCAAATGAATCGCGGCATGTAAAAGAGAAAAGCTTGACCCGCCAAAATATAGGGAACCTGGAAAATCAAGTGTGTTTTAAGGAAAATGGTAACAAACCCTTTCTAGTGCCAGAAAGGGTGTTTTTACTTTTCTGAGAGCTCAAAGTACACTCGAGTGCCAATCCTATTGCGTAACTCACCCATTGGTAATATGTGATCGGTTGTTTTCTCCTCTCGTTCTCGTCATGACTCAATTCTTGATCCAACGGCACAAAATAGGTTCCATGCACGAAACAATATTGATTCACGAAAGCTATCCACTAAAGGCGAATTTTTGAGATTCGTAATTTTACATATTTCAAACATCTTTCGTGAATTGATGCGGTAACCAACAAGTGATCGCATCACCAAAAAATTGACCCGATAACAATAAAACGGCGGCTAGTGAAAGAATCGCAACGGTGAGACGAGTATTTAGACGATCAGCCTAAAATATGGATGCAGTCAGGGATGGACAAACTGACTCCAGGCCAGATGAAAGTTAAAGCTAAAGCTAAGATTTAAAGTTAAAGCTTGACTTTCTAGCTGATTCCAGGAAATTTGTGAACCAAGTATGCACTAAAGCCAGTGTTCTTTCTGGCTTTTCGCCATATCTGGCCTGGAAAAATTATCTCTAGATCCTGGCTACTGTAAAATCGTGAATCAGTCCAAATTCAAACTTACAAGATCTCCTTTCGGCTGTTTAAATATCTTTGCGATGAACTCATTCAGCGTGTTGATCGCCCCGATTTGGGTGCTCATCGTTGAGCGTCCTGGAATTTTAAATTCGAGATATGATTTACAACAATTGCTCACTCAATCAATGAAAAGGCAAACAAATAGATTGAAGAAAGGTTGTCCGAGACTCACTGATTGTGCAACAAGAGTATCTCCTTCAGTCCCTTTTTTTTGTTCAAATTCAATTCTCATTTTCTCTGTATGTGTGTGAAAAGCTTGTTCACGAACAGAACAGAATGATGGCAACTCTGCGCAAATACAGTAAAGAAAAAAGAAAATGAGAAGAGAAAACGAAGTGATTTCGACAAGAAAAAAAACTCACCAAACAGATACACCCATACACAGAAAAAAGGAGGAAATTTATGGAAAAAAAAAGTCTGATTCTAAGGTCTCATTGGTGAAAAATCCGTTTCACACCCTCATCTCATTCAGGATGTCCATTAGAGGGTTCTTCTGGTTGATGGTAAAATGGGGTTTAGAATTAAATGCACCCCGACATTCGAAAGTTGTATCAATCATCGAAAAAAGGCGATTTTTAGCATATATTGGAAAATATTGATTACTATCTCTTCAACTTTTGAAAACCTATCGTAGCCTTATCTCTAGCTTTATCCAATTGATCTACTCCTACGAGAGATCACGAAGTAGATCGCAAAAAGTAGATAAATCGAATAAAAACAGAAGCAATATTATGGTAGTTTTGAAAGTTTAAAGGAATTAGTCGAAGTGAATAAACTAGTCTTACTCATAGGATTTCTAAGCTTCCAAATCGAGTACCGTATACTTTCGAAAGTTGAGATTTGATAAAAACGCTTAAGTCAAAGTTATTTTTTATCTTGAAAAATACATTTCGATAAGAAGACTTCTTGTGGATCTACCAGTTCAAGTTAAGTTCAAATCACAGAACTACCGTACTCTTCAGCAACCGTAGAAAAATTAGAGTTGGATAGCCAGCTTAAGAAAGGTTTAATTATAGTTGGATAATCAGTTTAAGAAAGATTAACCTTAAGCTCACTATTTAAAGTTCCATGTACAAAATAAAAAAAACCGAAAAGCATGAATGACCCAAATCAAAAGAAGACCCTTGACTCAATGAGCATTGAGAAAAGCAAAGAAAAGAGAATGGGAGAAGAATCAATGTTTCGAGAGTATGTCTTCTTCTTGTCCATCTCCTCCACCTTTTGCTTCTTCTTGTCGTTTTCTTGTTGACAAACCATTCTCTTGAGAAGCAATGAGATCTTCTTCCCCCCAATTCGAGGGTCTCCTCTACGTAAACTTCCACCCATTCATTCATAACAGAAATACCGTATTTTACTGGGTATAGCCAAGTATCAGAAAGTCTACTGTAAAGAAACAACTCTCTCAAATAATGCTTTTTTATAAAAAGTACCATTTTTATGAAAGGTACGGTAGACGTGTCTTCGTTTTATCCAATCTATCTACCTTTGATCGACTTCTTTAATAAGATAGATAAAAATTATATTAGATAAAAACTAGAACCAAGATTACGATAGCTTTCGAGAACGCAACTAGAGAAACACACTATATTTTGAGCTCCGATGTGATGAAGAGAATGTGAAAAACAGCAAATGAGGCTTGTAAAGCTCTTGTAAGAAACGGTAGACGAAATGATATTGATAATTGGACATGAATGTAATGATGGGAAGACAAACATGAGAATGGGAGGAGGTGAATCGATGATAATCACAAGGGTCAATACATGTCTCCTCCCATCTCTTCACTTGCTGCTTTCTTGTATCACCTCCGCACTTTAATTCCATCAAACATATGCATAGGAATAGCGTAGCCCTGTTCCCAACCAGAGAAACTTCAAATTTGGCTCTAATTTTGCCGTTAGATACATTAGCTACGACAATCGATTTGTCTAATTTTTCGCAAACCAATTTTGTACGAATAAAAACCAACATAACGCGATATTAATCTTTATTCAAGCAATATATAGATCAATCTATTTTTCAAAAGTCGTCATCTTTCATTTCGGCGAGGCAAACATAATCGGCATCATCGTCGTCGTCTTTCGGAACCTGTAAGGAAACAATGAAGTCAAACAGGTGCCAGTCCTAAGGTTCACAGCTACGGAATATAAACCGAATATATCTACCTTATTTTGTTGCCTCAACGATTTCTTTTTCTCGCCAACATCATTGGCAAAAAGATTGTCGCTGCCCAAACCATGCATGGTCTAAAAAAATAAGAACTTTTAACTGTAAAGTGACCAAAACTCACATCATATTGCGGATCCTTGGCCTCGGCTTTCTTCACCTAAAATCACCCAAATTTAGCCACTAATCTCAAAACAAACTTTTTTTGGCACTTCGAATCTTTTCTTGACGGAAGCTTTCTTTTTCTCGTTGGTCAGTTGCGTGACTTTGTCTTTGTTCGTTCTCAGGACTTGCGATGAAGTGCCGTCAGAGGTGCCCTAAATAAGAAAACCATTAAAGATTGATTTTCTGGATGACAGGCTTACAAAAACAAATAATATCAATGCGAATCAACCGCCAACCCTCTTTTTAATCTCCTCAACCTTTGAAAGCTTTCGTTCGTCACTCTTCAGCTCACCAACATTGTGCGTTGAGTGCGTCGAACACGGAACCTAAAAATGCAAAAAATGATAAGCTTTCCGCAAAAACTCACCGCTGGATTGTTCTTCTTTTTGATACACATCAATTCCCTAAACTTGCACAAATAGAAAGAAAACAGAAAGATACCTACCGAAAAAGTGGTTGACGGAATAAAAATGACTTTAAATGATTGAAAAGCTTTTTATCGAATTCATGATAGGTTATGTTTATATTCAAATACGAGTTCTAATGTTAATTTAACCAAAATTTCATTTAGGCATGTATAATAGTAGTATAATACTACCATGTTTATACTACCACTGACAAAAATTAAGTTAACTGTTTACCCACTCACCTCGGATTTATTTCCCACTGCCGTCCGCACATCTGCAAGTGGTTGAGTAAGGAGTGCGGTACGTGGATCCGCTGCTGAGTTTCAATGTGCCGTGCAGACATTCTAAGGCAAAATTTAAGCAAATTTATACAAGAACAACTACCTTATCCAAAAGCGCTGCGACTAAATTTTTCAACAAAACCCCTTTGGAGTCGCGTCACACATTTTTTCCAGTTGTTCAACCCAGTTTTCCAGCCTTTGACCGATTGAGTGGCGACGGTTGTGTGGAGATTCTCGTCTGAGGTGCATCGCGTAGTTGTGCAATCGATTTGATTAGGTGGTGGCTATGCAAAAAGTTATTTATCAACAAAAAGATTTACTTACCTGTTGAGTCTCATAGAAATTGCAGCGATTATAAACAATAGTCTAAAAATATTCGAGATCAATCCAGGAGAAAATTTGTTAAAATATACCGATTTCGCACTGTGCGGTAATTGAAGCAACCCTTCAGAGCCTTGTGCTAAAATCAGAGTATATGCAACGTATAGATCAATCATTACCTTCCACACTGAGTGCTCGCCCATTGACACCACTCCTTACGTCTCACGTATGATCGAAAAGAGCAATTGCAAAAGAAGCATATGGTATATAATTTTAAAAAATCAACTGCCCACGACTACCAATTCCCCGTGAATATTTCCCGGGTAGATTTCAGTGGACACGTGTCCCACGATTCGTTAAAATTTGTTGTTGACGCTAAATTAATAATGAAAATCTACTAGGGTGAAAACTTACCCAAACATTCTCCAGACAAGATGACATGAATGACACAAAAGTTCGTTTCGGGTTCCGGCTATTGAAGAGATTGACCAATTTGGCTGATTTAACTTGTACACGTAATCGCTAAATACGACCAATCTCCGAATAGGTAAGGAAAAAATGAGAAGCAGTTTATAATTCTTTTGCATATTAAAAGTCTTGTTAAGAATCATTTATTTACCATAAATTTACAAGGCTGATAATCCACAACCGCAAATTGTCAAAATGCAAACACACTAAAATTGGTAAATCACAGATAAATGACTATTCAGTATCGACAGTGAGGTTTGTGTAGATTAATGTGTCCTGCATGTCACTTGGGAGAACGGGTACACCACGAATAGCTTTGCGCAAGCTCTTGGCCATATCCACCATAAATTTGGGCTTGATCGTCTCGACAATGCTTTTCACAAAAGGGATTCCCCCACTGACTTTCAAATCGCCGTGGAAGTACAACTCGAAGCCGATTTTTCCTAAAGTAGAAACATGACAATGGGTTATGCACAATTCAACTAATGTTTACTCAGCTAAAAAACGATTCATACAGTAATTAATTAGTTACCTTCTCCACAATCTTGAATCACAAATCCTCCCAGATGTTGAAAAGTGCGTACGTGACCCTTGAGTTCGGGCATGTCGGCCATTTTAACTGAGCGAGCAGCAAGGATGATAGTTGATCCGTTATTTCGAGCGTCGACGGAGACCACATCTACCGAGTCACGAGCGCTCAATGGAGTCTTCTTTTTAGTCACGTGATGAACGATCTTCATGGCAGGAGAAATCTCACCGAGCACCTTTGCTCGCTAAAAGAAAAATGAAGCTAGGAAAAACCTATTTTTCTTACTGCAAGAAGATCATCCCATTGCGGTCTGTAAGGCATCCATGGCAAAACCAGAGCAAGTGCGTGGTTGAGAGTAGTGCCCTAGAATGACAACGTATACACTTGATAAGCAAGCATCAACTTTACTCCAATTAATTAGGGTTTTACACGGTCAGGAGGCTTGTATTACTGTTTGAGAAACTTTTTAGAGCAGCATTGAAACGGCAAGATCAACAATAAGTCAAACTTTGAACGGCCACTTTGAATACCATAACTGACGCATAGTCTTTACTAGAATAAGTAACTAAAGATGACTGACAATAATATGAAAACCACAACTAGCGAAAATCTGCCATTCCCTAGTAGACCACGTTTTAATATCCATAAAGGTCTAAAACTCTTACTTCTAGAGAGATGGAAGCTTTGGCGATATCCTCGGGACAGTCGGGGTTGTCACTTTTCATTGTGTAGACCTTGATGTCGCCTTCAGAAAACTTGCTGGATTGGAAGTTCTCCGGATGATTGTGGTACTTCCATAGATCGGCGATCGCCCGCTTTCCAACAGCCTCGAAGTTTGCGCGTTCCTCTGTCATCACGCAAGCCATCACTGCGACCAGAACTAAAAACACGAAAAAAAATAAAACTTGGTGTATACTAATAATGAAAACAACATGAAAACAACATGAAAAGAATTTCAAAGGGCGGTGTCTCTAAAACGACGTAAACTTTTTGAACTCTCAAAAATTGAGAAAAAAAATACAATGATTTTATTACAGAACCAGGAGGCAGTATTGCCATTGAGTTAAAAATAGTCAATCGATCGGTGAAAACAGCCAAAATCAAAGCGCTTTTGCTTTCGGAACAAGATATTCAGTCAATAATTTCTCTTGTTTTTTTTCCAAAGATCTGCAAGTTGATTAGTGATGATGTAAGTTGTTGTTTGGAGTTGATTCCCTCACCGATAACCTTTCTGTGGAATGGGGTTCTCTATTTTCTTTTCATCACTATTATCATCCTTTTTGAGATCATTTCTATTCATATGAAAAGGTTTTTCCGTAACTCTGAAAGGCAAAAGAAAACTTTTGTAAAGGAAACGAATTCTCGCTTAATCCCCTTCACCCATTGTCTTCATCCAATTTTCATTTTATTTCGAAAGAAACCCGATTCTTTTTGGATCGAAAATATCCAAAAGAATTGACGTCATTTGTATATTTTGTGTCGATTTTTCAAGGAAATAGCGTATTTTGGGAAACCCTTTTGGAAAACCTATAGTTTTTTTTTGAAAATCTTGTCACCAATTCAATATTTAACAACTCTTTATTCTTCGTTTGAATGAGGAGAATTTATTGTGAACTTGATGTAACACTTTATATAGAAAAAAGAATTTGTTTTACACAAATAAGCAAAAACATTCGATCTTCTATATCTAACAAAATCTGTTGCTGTTGTAGTTGCTTTGTGAGAACCCATATCGATGTGCTGCAATTGAGTTTGAGAGAGGAGAAAAATAAGGGGAAGAGTTGAGAGAGGAGATCAACTGAAACGATTTGGATTTGAATGCTGGAGACAGTACTGTTCCTCTCAAGCAATACGTTCCTAAAAGACACCTTTTTTTGGAAAGCTACAGTAATCAACCAGTTCTACAGTATGTCTGCTTTGTTATCTTAAATTTTTCCTTTACGAGTAGCAGTTAGATTACTTTATATGCGTTAGGCAAGTGCTCTTTCTCATAAGATCAGTCCAAGTTTTCTTTTCATAAATCAGCGCTCTCACCATCAATTTCATTTCCGTCCAAAGCGGATGAATGAGGCTTTCCGTTTAGCGATGAATGACGATGGATATCCCTCGTCGAATTCGCTCATCGATTCGAGATTCTAGAATAAAATACTATTTACTTTTGTCGTTTCTTGGGCTCTTGAAAAGCAACAATCTTTTGCAAAATGCTTTACTTGAGGAGCCGATCGCTTTCCGAATCGAATAAATGACGCCTTTCGCTTCTCTGGCTGAAAAGATAAACATAGAAAAATTCTTTTGCTTGTAGGTTTAGGATTTGAGAATTGCTGGGTATGGAACTGTCAAACAGAGCTAGAACAAGTCAAGGGATTACTGTAAACGGTAGTTTTGTTGAGACGAATTACGAAAGTTTTCGATGATTGACAAATCATATATTGACATTTTAGAAATTACATATTCTATTTGCAAAAATGGATTTTCTTCCCCAACCTGTCCATGCTGATTGTTTTCCGTGATCTCATCAATCGGTCTCAACAAATAATTACACAATTCCCTCGTCTCGGCCGTCTTCTCGCACAACTCGCCCAAAGTCTAAATTTTGCAAAAAATGAATGAATTTCTGAATTTTCCAGACCAATTCTCCCCAAAATTTCCTGGTTCATTCCTTTCCCAAATTTCTAAATTTTGCAAAGAAACAAAACTTCTGTCAATTCGACAAAAGTTTTGTTTAAAAGAGATTAATCTCAAATTTCTTTTTCTTTTCTTTTCAAAAGAGAGATTAGTGCAAAGTTTTGTTTGGTATTACCCTCAGACATTACTCGTCAATCCATAAAAATGACGACCGTTTTCTATTTTTGCCATCAAGATTGACATTTTAAAAGACGAAAGCTTTCCGCCTAACTCTTCCAATTTGGAAAAAATATTGGAGAAAATATTGGGAGAGATTTGGGGCGATTTTTGAGTGAATAAATAATGACCTCTTCATCGATAATAAATCGAGGAAATTTTTCCCCCAAAAAGATTTCGCCTTTTTCCCTTTTCTCAATATTTTCTTTCTAATTCTCATTCTCATTTCGATGTCAATGATTCCTTTTCTTTTTCAAGAGAAACGTCCTCTCAACATCGACATATCCGTTTCTCAATGGCTTTTTTTCCTCTACAGCTTTAGAAAGACGGATGTTTTGAAAGGTTAAACGAGAGCCAATGATGGTACGAAGGCACGTAGAATTGAAAATTTAGTAGCGCAGTAATGGAGACTAATTCTGACTAGCTAAACCTAATTTCTGGCTACAATAAGATAAATTACAGCTAGATTCATTGCTTCAAAAATGAAGCTATATGAAAACTTATGCTATTTTAGAACTCGAGGCTTATCGTTTTCAAAAACCTCACCCTATCTTACTTGCAGACTTTTTCAAATATCCACTCGGGTAGGCAGTTTAAACCGTGGCTCATCTACCGTAACCCATAACGCAATTAATGGATATTACAGTAAACCGAATAGTCGCTAAAGAGCAACTATTATAATATAGAGATAGGATCCAAAGGTATCTATGTAGGATTAGAGCAAAGCTGAACTTTTCCAGGTCAATTGCTATAACTATTGCAGCTATAGCTTCCACATGATTTCATCCACCAAAGAGATGATTGATGATTCTATTTCTTCTCTGTTTAGTCAATCGTGTTCCCGTTGCTCAATCTCGGAAATGAGAATTGCTAGTGAGGGTAAAAATTTGTTGGTGAACTAATCAGAGTGAATGGATGTGCACTTCTTCTCCCATTCTTTCCCCTTTCTTCCCAATTTCATTCCCTTTGCTCATCATCAATGATTTTTGGAGTTGAACAACTAAAGCTCCTTGCTCTTCTTTTGCCAAGCCAAAAATAATATATTCAATTTGTTGGGAGAATTTAGACGGAGATGTTGCGAGTGGGGGACAATGGGATGTCTACGACAGAAGAGTCAAAATATGTTTTGGCTTTGTAACTTATGATTGAACATATTGAACAAGCTTTTGGTTGAGATATTTGAATATGATGAACTTATTAACTTACTAGTAAGTAGATTTTGGATTAAAGGCTGTGTTCTGATCATTGAAATGCTTACCTGTTGACTCCGCGCGATGGTGAAGAGTACGCTGAAAAGGAAAAGAAAAACCCCACTCCAGTTCATCCTGAAATTGGGGAATTGAGTGCTTGAACGAATATCGAATATTACCAACACTACAAACAATTAGTATAAACGCTAAAATTCGTTAGAGTGTCGAAATAAGCTTTAGTAGCGTATTTGGGGTAAAGCGAAGACTATTGTAGCCTGTTCTAGACTTTGAGTAAAGTGTTTATATGCAAATTTTTAGCGTTTATACTATTAATGTATTAATGAGAGTCACCAGTACTCAGGTACAAATGGAAATAGACTTAATCGGGCATAAAAATGCGGAGATAATTCAAATGCCTTTGATCAAGGAGATCAAGGAGATCAAAACTACGAGACAAGAAATGGGAAAACTTAAAATTCTCAAGCAATTAGAAACTCGTGTAAAGTTTGAGGTCTTCAGACAAAATCCGGATTTGAGAATTTTGAGGGAAGGATTTAAGGGAGAAGAGAAGGCGAGGTTCAAGGGGGAAGGGGCGGGGTTCCAAGGGATCTCTTCCAACAATTCGATCAGAAAAAAAGAAGAAGAAATTGTGAAAAGATTTGAAAAGAAAAGGATACGGTGCATAAAAGAATGGGTTAAAGAAAAGAAAAGATTATCCAAGTTGTTGATTCTTCTCAAAAGAGACTCTTCCACTTTCAATTTATTGTCGATGATTTCATTTTCTGGTATAACACTTTTTCTACTTTGTTCTTCGTAGAGCTTCAAGAGATACTAGAGAAAAGGATTACATCCGGGTACTTCAAAAATCACTTCCAAAATCTATATCTGAAAAGGTTGTCGTATCCAATAGAGTTAAAAATTCAAGAACGACACCTCAGTACCTTTTCTGATTAGTTTTAAGATGCTTGCAACATCTGAAAAACTGAGTGATTCTATTTGAAGGCCCAAAAAATCCCAGCGCTATGTCATTTTATTTAGAAATCTCAAATTTGAATGAGTGTCTCGAAAAGACAACCAGAATGTTGCTTGGATGCATCGAATATTTTAAAAAAGACACGAAATTCATCAACATCAACATTCTGAACCATTCCAAGGACAAAAATGATTGAAGGAAAAGACGGAAATGATCTAAAGATTCCCATGAGGATGTCAATGAAAGGAATGAGGATATTTGAGGGAAGAGAAAGGATCAATGAATGATTTAAGAGCTACAACACCCCATTCCATTTTTGGGCTGAAGGGCCAACATTCGCCATTCCTTCCCCTCAACCCATCAACCTCTCTCTTCAAGGTTTCCTTCTCCTTTCCTCTTTTTTCGAATGTCAATCCTCCTTCAATGAGTGACATCTTTTTGTTTGAGGCTTGTTGTGTTTCGAGAGAAGAATTCCCTCCTTTTTTGGACACATCTTTAGATACGTCAAGCATTCACGAATATGGACCTAGCTTAGTTTTTGAGTTTCCCACGAAAAAGCATAGACTTGAGTAGTTGAAAAGGGATTGATGGTTTTCTTGGAAGACTAGGTACTACATATAATGCAAATTTCTATAGGTGACTCAAAAGGTGATTGAATGAGTTACGAAAAGAATAATCAATTGGTGTCAAATTAAGCTGGTATATTAAATACAAATTAAGCTCCGCTACTACACTAGTCTGCCTCAACTCAAAGTCAATTGATTCAAAGGTATAGGCAAAAATAAGCAAGTAGTCGTCATCGAGGCTGATGTTTTTGTGGTATTATGAAACAAAAGGGTTTAAAGGCTAAAAAAATTGAAAGAGTTTGAAACAGAGTTGTTCCAAAGGCAAGTTTATTGGATCGGTTTATTGGGTCAAATTTATTGGTTGATTTTGTAGACTTTGTGTTTCCTATTTTGTAAACTGAATAGCTTGGTCATGTCGTATTTTGGGTTACTGTATTCTGTGGGTATAAAAGTAGAATTTTTAAACGAAAATTTCATTCTGTTCATTAACGTAAGCAGTTTTAGTAAACTGTTTCTGCTAGCAAAGCCAAATTCCTTTTCTGAAAAGTCTACAAAATGAGATTTTGTGGATTCGAACGGAGAAAAGTTGAATGAAATGAAAGTTTTTGGAGTGAGAACACACAAATCAAGTCCTGATCTTGCATGACTTTATAGCTTATTGCAGACCAAGCCCGTAATGTCTCTGAGCCTGCCGGAAGCCAGACCTTGACCTGGCTTGGCCCTAGGCCCTGTTGGAAAACATTCTTAGTTGGCACATAGTCTGAAACTTATTAGATTCTAAACTAAAATACTGTTAGACCATATTTGGATTAACTATAATCTTAGGTTGGGTTCGAACTTTTATGCTTTGATCAACTTTTTGAATTTTGCAAAATTCTCTTGGGATTTGCCAACTAGGGTGAGCCTTTCTCTGGACATGTGCCAACTCTAGTCCTTAAAATCTCTAAAAACAAACCATGTAACAAGTTTGGGTGAAGTGTGTTTTCTGTTAAGGAAGAGTGTTGATGATTGAATGTCTCTCCTCCGATTCCTTTCTATTCCATTCGAATCCAATCCCTTGGGGTAATTCCCCCACTTCCTCTTTCTTTTCCTTTTTTCTTTCAATTCATCAACTTTCCCTTGAAACTTTGTGTACTTGTTACCCCTTCTAACTTTTTTGCAAAACAAAATATAACTGATTACTCCAATTCTTTTACCCCTTTTCAACAAATTCTGGTGATGTCGGAAGTTTGCATTCATAATATTCATGATATTGCGAGTAGAAGTTCAATAATATTGCGTAATGAAGGGGTTTTTTTGAACTCTTTCAAACTTTCGTGATGAACGGGTTTGAAAATTTAAACAAAATTTGAAATTTTTAAGAAAGATTAAGACTGAAACTTTTTAAGGCATGCGTACCGCTATGCGAGAGGTGAAATTCATGGACCGTAGCGTGACGAACTAAAGCGAAAGCATTTGCCAAGAATGTCTTCATTAATCAAGAACGAAAGTCAGAGGTTCGAAGGCGATTAGATACCGCCGTAGTTCTGACCGTAAACGATACCATCTAGCGATCCGGTGGTGGTTTTACCGCCTTGCCGGGGAGCTTCCCGGAAACGAAAGACTTCCGGTTCCGGGGGTAGTATGGTTGCAAAGCTGAAACTTAAAGGAATTGACGGAATCGCACCACCAGGAGTGGAGCCTGCGGCTTGATTTGACTCAACACGGGAAAACTCACCCGGCCCGGACACTGTAAGGATTGACAGACTGAGAGCTCTTTCTTGATTCGGTGGTTGGTGGTGCATGGCCGTTCTTAGTTGGTGGAGCGATTTGTCTGGTTTATTCCGATATTCTGATAGCTTCCCGGAAACGAAAGACTTCCGGTTCCGGGAGTAGTATGGTTGCAAAGCTGAAACTTTCTTAAAAAGTTTCAGCCAGGCTCAAACCAGGATCAAAAAAAGCCGAATTGTTAATTTTAAGAATTCAAGATTTCTTCTTTGTGCGTAAAAAGTGCAAACACATCCTCTTTAGCACACTCAAAAGGTTTTGTCGGATGAGAAAGTGAGAGTTGAGTGTACCAGAAAAGATGTGTTTCTATCTAAGTTTGAAGTAAAACTAAAGCACGTGCTATTTGATTTCAAGTATGAACAGCTATCTCAAATCTTGTTGCCAAATCTTTGACGTTTCGAATCCTTTTTTAAACCTATCAACAAAGAATCTCTTGCAAAGCCGTGATCAAATTTGGAAAAGGTGTCAACTTTTCGAAAAAAAGCCGAGAAAATGATAAAAAAAGGGGATTTTCGAGGAACTTGTGACATTTATACAACAACAAAGAAAAGATTTGAGGTGAGTGTGGGAAGAGGAGAGAAAGATCGGCCATTCAATGATTCGATCATCCATTTCATGGCTCTTTGCCCCTCAGAGATCCGCTCGAATTCAATTTTATCCTTTGAAATGCTTTTGATTTCCCTCCGAATTGACCCCTCTTGATTTGGGTTACCCTTTTGAATAAACTTTTCAGGAGTTTACTTTTCAGGATGTAAGCTTTAGAATCATCTCAATTAGTCAAAGTGATTTGGCTTGAGAATTTTGGGACTAAAACTTTGACGTTAGATAAACGTTAGATAAACGTATGAAGATGTTTGACAAAAAAAAGATTTATTCATTCGAAGAAACAAATGTCACATTTGATCACTGGTCGATCTCCACTTTCTTATCCATTGAGTCGGGCCATTCGGATCAACATGAAACATAGCCTGAAATGAAAAAAAAAGATTAATCAATTTAAAATTGATCTTTTCCAAGTCAGGTCCAGCTTGCTTGGACTGGCTTACTCTAGAGCTTTTTGTAAGATTCCTGATCCAAGTATGCTTTTAGAATTTTGTAAAGTATAGAAACTATTCACATTGAAATATTAGCATAACAGTCAGATGAAATACTAGCATAACAGTCAGTATCTTATTTTATGTGGAAGAACCTAACATTGATACATAGAAAAACTCATTTTAAACCTTGATCAATCGATTTCTCAAGAGATTCGCTTCATGAGCCGATCTTGCTGACGCTCCCGAAACAATATCTGATGGACCTGGAAATACTCTTTGAAATGAGTTTGTTTTATGAACTATTTTCGAAAAACAATCCTTTCATAACACTTTCACGTGTTCTTGAGATAAAGATGAGTTTTGGTGAAGAAAAACTGTATCATTTCGAAAGGGGGATGATGGGATGGGTCAGTAGGTAAAGAGATGTTGGGGGAAAGGAATCGACTCAAGTGGACCATACTGTTGTTGAAAAAAAGTGGAGAAAAATTTGAGGAAAGGGGAAGAAATGGGGGAAAAGACTGTCTGATAGAGTGACAATGATTGAGAAAGAGGGGAAAATCAGAGGGGAAAGGGCCCTTCAAATCCCCTTCATCTCAAAGGCTTCCCGATCAATCGTCTTCTACTTACCACCGACTATTTCTACTTTCTCGTTAAAAAGCTTTATTTCACATTTATATTATAGACTTAAATCCTTGATTTTTTTTATTCTACAAAATGATTCTACAAAATATTTCAAAGATTCCATTTTGATTCCACAGTATCCTTGAATTGGAGTTCACTCAAAGAATGCGCTTTCTGTCTCCATCGTGTCTCCAAAAAGCTACAGTAATCTGTTATCTTTTAAAAGCTACCGTAAACTTGCCTCTACATCTAATCAATCTACTTTTTGTGTCTTTGAGTTATGGACTTTACTTTATATCTTTTGATACTCTTTGTGAAACAAAAACCAAACGTAGAATAGATTGGATAAAGTTAGAAACAAGACTTCAGAAGTTGACATGTTTTAGAAAACGTCTTCTTCAACTAAACACTCTACAATAAGATACTATTGCAATCATCAAATGATCATAAATCATTCACTTCTTCACCTTTTTCCAATCTTTCCCAAGCTGTACGCTCCAATTGTCCAAGCCCCTGAGTGTGGCAATAAAAACCACAATGCGAAAAGAAATGCAATCTCCACATTTTGTCTTTTGCGTGTTGAGCTACCCGAAAGTGAAGTTTGGATAAAAGTGGGCTTTTCCTACTCTGAAGTAAAGAACGAGAGTTGAGCAATGAGGTTAAAGAAAAGCCGTAATCGATAGCCATTGGACAGCAGGATCTCTTCAAATACTTAAATCTCTATGTTCAGCAATTCAAGAGTCTCGATATTAGGTCAATTCAAATCATTTTTCTTGATAACACACTTATTTCAAAACGTTTGATTTTCCTAGACAGATTCAAAGCTTCCCGGAACCGAAACAATGGGCACTCCACACGATAAAGCGAAAACAGTGGCTCAGTGGATGAAAGAATTGAGATTTGGTTTTGTCAGAAAAAAGTATTTCCTGTGTTTCACTCATCTTTGCAGGAACTATTCATTCATGCAATTCCTTTTTGTTGAAATTCCCTTCAATTTCAACACGAGATTTTTATCTCACAGCTGACCGAACAGGAGAAATTCTCGAATTCCAAAGATAACTTTCTTTTTATTTGATAAGGTGGACGATTCAATGAATTTTTAATGAGTTATAATTTGTGACAGGTTATAAGGAAGGATTATTAGATTCTGAAGTTTTCAGCTTATAAAAGCAAATAGACTGGGTTTAACATGGATTAGTTGTTCATATTACCGAGGATCATAAAACAATTGTTGATTATAGTGATTTACAAAATACTTTTTTAGAAAAAAAAATTAGCCACATTCTACTTATGTCCTAGTAAGATTTTGCAAGAAAATCCCTCCATAATAGGATGAAAAAACTTTCACTGACTATGAGTAACTGAAATCCAATTTAGGATGGTGATGGGACGGTACTAGCGAAGAATTGGGACCGAAAGCAATGCGAGCACTGGACAAAATCCCACAGAACAAGGTCACTTAGAGAAAAAACTCTTTCCCGCTTTCGTTTACTAAACCAAAAGAAATTGAAAATAGATTAGAACCGAGAATCAGATTTGAATGTAAAATATTTTAAGAACCCTAGTCAAGAAATGGTTGTTCAAAGAAATTTAGGGTAGATATCCATATGTCGTAGCCGCTTACGAAGTGCAGCCACTAACAGCGAATGATTCGCGTTAACGGCTAGCCGCTAACGAATGAAATTTTTCGCTAGCCGTTTTGAATGATTCGTTGGTGGCTAGCTGTTAACCACGAGAATGATTCGTTGGCGGCTGGCGGTAACAAATGATTGCGTGAGCGGCTAGCCGTTAACGAATCATTCGTTAGCGGCTGGGCTACCTAAAAAAATAAAACATCAGTATATTTCACTAGTCAAGTAGTGATTTGAGGTTTTAACTCTCAAAGCTTTAAACCAAGTGGAGAAAAGGATGGTTAAGTGTGTCATTTTTAGATCAAATCAAGGGTTAAGCCTTTAAATTTCTCACTTTCAGCAAAATGGCTGAGATTATCTACGATGTGGTGGACATTGATGGGAATGGACAGGGTGGAATTCCCCCGAATTCTGTGTGATGATGAAAAAGATTATGAAGGTTTGAGAATAGAAAAAAAAACAAGTTCACGAATATCGATATCGTGACGAAATGAGGGTTTTCTGAAACAAAAGACACTCTCCTAATTTGCACGTTTGGATGGGAAGGGAATGAGGGAATGAGAGAATGAATATCATCAACGACAAAAATGAAGCGGGAAAAGATGGGAAAATGACTGCTCTCAGAAAAAAACAAGTTTGAATATCGATATCGTATTGACAAGCTGAAAGGGTTTTTCTATGAAACGAGGAACGCTCCCTGTTTTGCACGTTTGGATGGGGGAATGAGGGAGTGAGAGGAATGAATATCTCATCAACGACATAAAGGAAAATGAAGCGGGAAAAGATGGGGAAAAGAATGACTGCTCTCTTCTGAGGGTCTTCTGACTGCAAAAAAAAAGAGACCTTTAGAACAAATAAACCTAGAAATTGGGTCATATTTCAAGGAATTTTTGGAGACAATTTGCTTACAAGAGAATGTCTACCGACCACTGATATAGATACAGGGAAACTTACAGAAATGGAACAACAACAACCAGATCATATCCATTGATATTGTGTTTTCTAAAATGTGGCTTAAAGACTACCGTAATCTCTCCGTAACTTAAAAACTTAAGTCTACAGCCAATTTTATCTCCAATTTTGTCTAATCATCTACTTTTGGGAAAATTTTGAGGAGGTTTATAGAGAAATAGAAGCCAGAAAAAGATAAATCAGCTAGATACGATAAGATTTGAGTGTGTTCCTCCCAAGAAATCGTGTGAGAAATAGGAAGCGGGTTACGGTAGAAATCAACTGAATAACTTGAATAACTGAATATTTTCTACCGGTACCAAAGATATTCAGTTGGGGGAAACCTTTGTACCCCAAAAAAATTTCACACTGACTGCTCGAGAGGACTACAAAAAAAATAAGACGCCCAGTAGTTTCGAAAGTTGATACGCTTTAGAAACGATATAAATTGAATGGAACTAATCGATACAGCTTTCCTACTAAAAACTTCCGGGAAACAGACTCGGAAATGATTTCGAGAAACTTTCCGGGTTTTCGATAAGGGTAGAAATGGGGTGATCACATCAAGTGAATTCAAATATTTCATGGTAATCACTTTCTTTATGTTTCCCTTTCAATCATTAAATCAATTTTCACGTAAAAAGAACACAATAAATTCAAAAAAAAAGAGAAAAACTTGTCGCCTAATCAAATTCGATCGCGGAATTACACTTGCAAATTGCAATTCAGGGGTCCACTCACTCGGTGGATGGTGGGGGTAGATGATGTCAACAAAATAGTATGCCAAATGCAAAGTAAAGAGGGGATGAAAGCTGGATTCGATGGAATAAGACCGATCTATTCGATAAAAAATAATCAAGCTTTAACCCTGACAGTATTTAGACAATATGTAGGCTAATTTTCTCTCAATTTGACTGCGGTTTAAGTGGCATAATGGTTTCGAAGAAGGACCAGAAATTGTATTAAAAATACATCGATTACGGCGCTATTCATTTTTATTGAGTTAACCAAGAGGGCTCGGGATTAGTGAGTGCCAAGCTATCTGCCTTTCTTTTGGGAGAGAGATTTTGCTCAGGGAATTCTTTTTCAAAAGCTTTATGCTTATATTCTTTATCCAGATTCCTTATGGGTATAGTGTTTACAAAAGCGAAAGTGGATGACAATTCTGAAAGATGTTGATGCTTATCGGTTTGTCGATTAAAGTCATACGAAAAACTTCTTGGAGAAAATTTTGGGGAAGCAGTGAGGAATCAGACTACGAGGAATTCGTGCAAATGATGGGAGAAATTTTGAAAGCATTTTTTTTTATTTTTCAGTATTATTGCTGTTTGTGATCTCATCACAGATTTTAAAGGACGTGTATACTTTTGAGGCCTCCAGATGGAGTTACAGTTTTTATTTTGTCGGAAGATTTTTGATTTTCTCCTTAGCGCAAAATGCGTTGGTTTGACCATAGGTTCTGACAAGTGAGAGTGAGATTTGTAGGCCTTGATTGACTATGAGATCACAAACTCAATATGTTCATTGTCGGTTAAAAGCTTTCAATTATAAACTATTCTCTAAGAAGTGCCGTATTTTGTAATCTATCATACAATCTTTGCTAATCTATCTATAGCTTGTTCTATGTTCTTCCAAAAAGCAGCTAGCCTATGAACAAAACAAAAGCAAAGATTTTTCGAGGGTCGACGAAGCTTTTAGAAAACTTAGATCCAAAAACCTATTCAATGATACAAACCACGATCCTCTCGATCTTCCTCTTTTGTCCGGAGTATAATCAATAATTCGATACTCGGGCCGTCTGACGTAAGGGCAAATCACGTTGCGGACCCGCGCTGTATGCAAAATCAACACCAGGGAATCTGCTTGACCTCCATCGTCTCCATGATCTCCATCAATTCCTCTCAGGCCGTCTTTTCCAGGCAAACCAGCCGCTTTCCCCGGCAAATTCCATCAGCACCCTGATAATCTCATTGATATAAAGCACTTGATAAAAAACCTTCTTCCGCTTTCCCAATGGGTCCTGGGGATCCAGACCGGTCCTTGTTTACCTCAACGTCCCAAAAATTCCCCTTGGTCCTTGTCTATACCGTACTCACTTGCTGTCCCATAACTTCCTGCATGAGCCAGGCATTCCCACACCCCCTGGTTGTCCCTTCATCTCCTGCTGGTCCTTGTGGTCCCACTCGGCCCCATTTCAAACCCACACTACCCTTTGGTCCTTGTTGACCTGAAGAAGAGGTTTTATTGAGCGCAGCCCAATTTTCTTTTACCTTTAGGTCCGAAAACCAGTTAGCCCAATTGGACCCAAAGAAAAGGACCGGGTGGTCCGGCTGGGCACTCAATACCTCCACCGGGCGCATCATGAGGCCAAAGACATTCCCGGTGTTCCGGATGGTCCTCAATGTCCTGGTTCTCCATGTGCTCCGTGGATTCCATCGATGCCGGGTGGACCGGGAGGTCCAGGAGGGCGACGAGTCGGAAGAAGGCATTCTTTAAAAAAAACAGTTCTCTTTTCATTTTTACAAACTCACGACATTGCGAGGGTAAATCTTTACGAAAGCATTGAACGATTGAGCCGGAAGGGGGCAGCTCGAGGGGTTTCTCGGTACTTTCCGATAGCTACTCCATTTTTAATCAAAATCGTCCAAGCATCGTCCGACGATTCCTAGAGATTGATAAGAGTTACTCAAGAAGTCTACTTACTTCAATTTCTTCCATGAGATCAAGATTCTCCCTCGTAGAAATCTTTCATATCGGTCATGATGCTGTTGGCAAAACCCTGAAGGTGGAAAAACTTCTTTAGATCGGAACAATTCAGCCAATGATAACGACAAAAAAATTTTAGCTAACTATATTTCAAAAGTACTGTCAACTTACTGAACATATGCACGGCTCAATAGTTGACACGGAGATTGATTGTGACCGTGGCCACGGTGCCCCGTCCACCATTTCCTAAAACTTTACTGGTAATTTCTAAAAGAAGCTTTCTAGTCAAGGAGAAAGAGTTTGATCGAAGGCACAATGACAATGAAAGAGAAAGACGAATGTGTGGCAAAATGTCAATCTCAGAGAAAATACCGGTCGTTTGAGGCTGAGGAAAACGCAAAGTGAAGATGCGATGGAGGAGAAAAGAAAAATGGGAAATGGGAAACGAGGGAGAAGGCCTCTGATGGAACGATCTGTAAAAAGGAAAAAGCAAAAAAAAAAAAAGAGAGAGGGCTGCTTCATTAAAGAAATTAGCCAGATTCCACTGTTGTGAGATGAGGATGAGAAAGAATGGTATGAGATGGGTGATATGAGGGTCGGTGTTTTCTGCTTTAAAGAGGCAAGCGAGGCAATCGATACAAAACCTTTGTGGAGGGGTCATTGAGCGGATGATCTGATCAGAAAGGAAATTTTATTTGCTAAACATTTGTACAGTATTAGAGTTCGCTTAAGTGGGGCTAAGCACGTCATTGTGGTAACTCTGCTTCTGAATAAAGTTTTGATTTTCGTTTCTCTAGAAAAAATACTCAGGCTTACAGGCGCCAAGACGGTTAGGGAAAACGGCGTGTTTCTCTAAAATAATGAGTTTCTAAAACGATGTCAAATTTCTACCACCAGAGTTGGGGAAAATTGCAGAGGACCCGAAACTTGTTTGAGAATATTTATTACAATTGGCAACCGTTCCATAAAACTTCTATAATTCTTTTTCTATAAACTCTTAATTATCCTAAAAAAAAAAAAGTAGTCACACTTTTCTAGTCTTAATGTTTTCTTTTTTAGGTTTTTACAAATGCTTTTTTAGCACTGAAAAAAGGGAAAATAAAGCTCCCGCGCCAAGATCAATTGGCTGCAGTGCTTTATTACTTTGGTTCGAGAAGAAAAGCCAGCCAACACAGTTTTTCTTTCCAGTAATTTTCTAATAAGTTGAGGAATGGATAAGTAGAAAATTATACGGTTAAGTTGGTTGGCTACAAAGAGGATTTACAACGAAAAGAACTTCTTGTTCAGGGTAATTTTACCACATCTTTAGAAATACTTGTAACTTTGCCTTTACGTTTATCGGGATATTTGTATTTCTTCGTGAGTTCACGCAAAATCGGGCCCAAAAGCAGATAAAAGCCAAGACAAGATTACTGTAGCTTTTGAAAGGTTCGCATAGTACACAGTGGTCAAGAGAAACAGACTTTTTAACTGTTCAAGAATACCTCGTTTCTTGCGACAACTAATCTGTAGAGGTCAACTTCTACAGATTGGTTATTTTCGAATTCAATTCTTGTACCAATTCGGTATTCTTTTACAACCATTTCTAGAGATCGCATAAGCTGTGTCAGCCCTGACTCAAAACAAAAAATACCTATAAAGGGATTCAGTTCCCCTCTCGCCACTCTTCCCTTCTTTTTCTCCCATTCACCTTCATCATCCCCCTCCTCGCACATTTTCTCTGGCTATCCAAAGAAAGATCGGGTCAAATTGTGGCTTCAAAGAGTTTTTCTCCCTTTTTTTTTCTTTTTTTGTCCTTTCAATTCCGCTGGCCATTCCTACCCAAAAACACCACATCTTGCTCAGTGCGTAAACCGCATTGGTCCCTTCTGTCTTAACCAATTTGTTCAGCTCTCGAACTAGATCTTCACTAGTTTTACGTCATTTTTTGAACTCTTAACACCTTAGGTATCTTGAGTTTAGTATATACTTTTTGAAAGTTTCAAAGCTCGGTCGATTTTTCACAAGTTTATTTGAAACGTAAAATCGGTATGGCTCAACACAGATCGCAATAATGACATGTTCCGGCGCTAGAAGTTTACTTTTTTTTGCACTGAAAGCCGACTCATTCGGTTATCGATTTCACGAACTATTATATTTCAATGGCTATAGGAATAGAAATTCCCGAAATATGTCAAAAATTAGCAATAATGATTGGATTATAATAGGCTTGCTCGTCAAAAATGATCATCACCATAGAGTTATAGAGAAAAAGATGGGGGTTAGGTGTGGTGGTGTGGCAAACTGACAAGGGCGCCCGTTTGAAACTGGTCTTTGGAAAGGGAGGTGCTTCTTTATGCACCCATCCCCGACCTCTATTTTCTCCTTTTCTCCCACATAACCCTCAAAGAAGCAATTTTCCTCTTTTTGTCATGACAATTTGAGATTCATTGATTATCGGTTGTGTAATACAAAAAATAGACAGTTTTTTCTGACACTTTGATCACAAATAGATGTTCCCTCTTGATTAAGGCCTTTTCTAAAATGTGGTAGCATTTAAAAGTTACCGTAATCTTCTAGAATAGGGAGGATTTCTAAGCCGTGTCAGTTCTCGAAAAGAAAGCTATCGTAATCTACTTTTAGTTTCTACTCAATCTATCGTAATCCAATCTACTTTTTGTCTGATTCCATCGGGAATATTCAAAAGGGTGCCGAAAGATCAAAGAATTCTATGGATTGGGTAAAAGTTACAAGGTTACGAAAATTTTTGGAAGTTGACACGTTGTACAAGCTGCCTAGAGCCCAATACCCGATCGTTTGATGGATCTCTCTCCATACTTTTTCATATTGTTAATAACAATATGAAAAAGTATAGTTATTGATATCAATCTGTTTCTTTTATGAACTGCAATATCATCGATTTGTCTGTTGCTATCCTCGCTGCTTTCCATTCTTTTCTCATTGAGATTGAATTGAAAGGGTCACCCTGTCTCTCTTATACTCTTTTTAACAAAATCTCTTCCCCAATCCATTGACCACCCTTTTTCTCTTTCTCCAAAATTTCTTTTCAACTATCGTTGTAAGGTTTTGATCCCAATCATTTAGTTCTAAGCATCAATTCTCATTTGAAGTCGCATTTAATCAATGTTTCTTTTTTGTGATCTCAGGTTTTAAAAGAAAGAACTGATTACTTTGCACATTTTTGCATTTTCAACTTTTTGACTGAATATCTTGAAAGTTTTAGAAGATCATAAATCTTTAAAAATTCAAGCATAGAGTGAGCCTCGATCAAGTCATTCCAAATAACACATCTTTACCTCTCTTTGTCCTCCATACCCATTGCAAGTGTGGGTGGGTGTTCTCCCCCCCTCGTGTTTAGCTTGATTGTGCCCCGAATTTGGAGTCTTGGACCCCCTCCCTTTCTTTTGCAATCTCTCTGTGATCGTCAATAGCGGCCACCTCTTTCCCTTTTCCCTTTCCTTTTCTTGCATTCTTCGGTCGGGGCGCTATGTTGTGTCTCTGCGAGTGCACACTCACGCTAAGACGACCACGCAGTCTTGAGAACATCTCTGCCTGTGCACGCCCACCCTTTGGTTGCCTATCCCTCACCCCCTTCTATTCAATACTGCCTTTTTGATTGCTTTAATGATTAAGATCTTTGTTTTAAGACTTTGAAAGTACTGAATTTTGTACTGTGAGAGTATTTGTCGCTTCATTTATTTTGTCAAAAATTTACCAATTTCAAAATATTTGATCAAAATTGGAAATCTTTGTAAAAGCGAAATCAGCACCAACCACTTTTTTTTATCCAGCGCAAATCTGTCATGAAAACTCTTTCCTGCTTTGTCATTGGTACGCAGATGAACAAATTGCCCCCATTTCTTGTTCTCCCTTTCAATTTCAAAACGTTGACTCTCAACAGCGTATCGTTTAGATTAATCGGAAGGCCCGATGTCTGTATTGAAAGACATTTTGGAAAAAGTAAGTTTCAAGGCGATTGAAAAATTTTCATAATTTTTATTTGGGGCTATGTCGACCCAGAGATATTGGAGGCGCTCGATGAAGGTAATAAAAAGCAAATGCTGTTCATTCAGGTTGACTATTTTTGTTTTATCCTTATAAACTTGTTTTTAGATGCGGCACAGAACAAATGAGGAAATATCAATTATATGAGAGCAGGTGGAGCGAGACGGCTTGCCCCTGCGGGAAGCAAAAAAGAAAGGAGTGCGGTTGGTACCTATTTGCCTTAGTTAAAATACCGGGCATTTTTTAGATGGCGATCCGGCGTGGACGGCGATGTTTGAGTGTGGGTAATGGGTAGCCATCCCGAGGATAAGAGCATCGAAGAAATTCTTGAAGAAGTAGAAAACAATGATAATTTCATGACGGTTCGTAATTTGGGAGGCGAGACGAGAGGGCTAGGACGGTGCGCTCCAGGAACTTGAGCATCAAGTCCGACGAAAGTATGGAGAAGCGTTGAAGCACAACTTGGAAATTTGCGCGTTGGACTGACGGTTGGTTTTCTTTTAGAAGTGGATAAAATTTTTGGATAGGGCTCGGTCTACGACGATAGTGATCTGAGTTGGGAAGATCGGCTGGTCAACAAACCACCCTCTCTTTTATTGGCGCAACCCCAGGGCTTTCCTTCTGGTGAGTTTTCGACTACCTAGCAATGGATTTTCTTTTTTCTGTAGGGAGTGCTTTGATTCGAAATTGGGAAAAGGTCGGGATTGGATTACCGAAATCACCCGTGAACGGAGAAACCGACGACTTCAATGAATAACAATGGATATCCCGAGGAAGGGAGCTCACACCAACGAGGGGAACAGCAGGAACACCACAGAAGGCAATTGTGACGACGTTCAAAAGCATACCAACACCTCGAGTGGCCGTGATTGGTGCCAAAGGTACTTTGATTTCTTCATTGCTACAGCTTTCCATTTTGATTAGGTGCTGGCGTACGAAATGCTCGAGGGTCCACCGCCTCCTGTACCTGTCAAGGCCAGCACAATTCCCATCAGTCACAAAATCTCCGGAGACACAAAATGTTCCGTTACGTTTTAGGTTTGCGCCAAGTCTAAGATAAATTTTAGCCCCTACAAACACTAGATCTACAAAATGCAAAAAGCGAGAAAGAAAAATGGAACGAATGGCGGTAGGTTTTTGATCCAGCGTAATTGTTAGCTCAATGTTGAATTAGCAAACTTTGTATTTTAGGTGTGCGGCTTAGAGCTCCGAAAGCGTTAACTCCAGGAAAGAAGCCAGCGATGAAGTTAATAAAAGAGAAGAGCCGAAATTTTCTCAAGTAAGGATTTTTATAACTTCTTTTATCATGGTATGCATTTTTGAACAGTACGAGAAAAACATGAACAGCTACGGAAAGAAGCTGAAGCAGAGGCCGAGCGTGAACGGACTGGCATGGGAAGAACAAGGTAAGTGCGCTAGCTATTAAGCTATAAAAGCTCTTGGGCTTCAAATTTAACAATAGTTTTGTTTTAGAAGGAAAATCACGAGAAGCCGAAGCTGGAAGTAGATCGATTGCGCAAAAGAGCGAGAGAACAACACAGACAGCTTCTGCGAACATCGACCTCCCATTCTACCTGCTTTGGCTGACACGAAAGCCACCAGTCTACGAGAAGCAATGTATTTTGTTATTTAATGATGCATTTTATCGATGTAAATTTTGGCAAAAAAACTTACCTCGTCCGCCGCGATAAAAAAACAAAGAAGAAATAGTCACTTGGTTTAAAAAGAATGAACTTCCTCGTGGCACCGGACTTGATCCAAAAACGGGATTGCCGGCGCCTTGGTTTCATGGTAATTTTTTTCTTTTTTGAGATCGAATTAAGTTTTAGTCAAAATTTAATTTAATATTACTTTTAGGAATCTCATTTCAAGAGATGCTTCAGAGCAATTACTTGTGGGGAAACCAACCGGCTCATTTCTTGTTCGAGTTTCCGAGCGCATTTGGGGGTAAGTAATTTATTACACTACTAAACCATTCTGTTCGTTTTAGATACACTGTGTCGTATGTTGTTGGAAATGGTTCGTGTAAACACTTTCTGATCGAACGCATCGAACAAGGCTATCAGTTTTTGGGAACAAATCAAATCGTTCACGACTCCCTCTTTGATTTGATTGTCTATCACGAGGTACTTATTTCTTTCCTTCAAATTTATATCCAGAAATTTGGTCGGCTCCAATAACTGCAAAGGGAGGGAGAGATCTTGAAATGGTTCGTTGGACAAATTGGGCGTCCTGCTGACTACATCCGATTTATTTCCCGAGTGATCAACAACAATCACTCGGCCATCGGTGGAAGTAGGCTCTTGGCCGGAGGAGATTTTGAGCAAGTTCCATTTTTGTGTTTCCCACTTTTGATTATTCATTTTATATTTTTCTTTTGTAGTTATCGAAAGCTAAATTTCCCTAAACTAGTCGTGTCTTTGGTGTATACGGGTTAGTTTCACTATTCGGTTTCAAATCCACTTACACGTTATCATTTGCTCCATCATGTTTAATTTGTCCAAAGGTTGTGAAAGCATATTAATTTATAAACAATCTCATCATCTTTTTTCTCTAGCCTAATTTCATTTCCTTGCCAGTGAACAGCTTTAAGTTTTGGATGAACCCTATTTTTTTAGATTAATTAGATTATGCCGTCGTTATCATCTTTTGTGAATAGTTTATCCAAAGAATATGTGAATTATTTGTATTCTTAAGCTTGTGTCGAATATTTTCCCTCCCAATGAGAAATGACTTTGCAAATGGTGTATGTTCTGATAAATTTTAAAACTGTTTGTCTTTTATTTGCAAGGAGTTGGCTCTATAATTGCATTATCACAAATACATATTCAAGTTGTGCACGGTTTTTGAGCATTTTTGGCTTACGTGAAAATATTAGCATATAGAGAAAGTACGTATCGACAAGGTACAAAATGGTTTTAGGTACACCACCAGCCTTGGTATAGATATGAAGTTGGAGAACTATGGGTGGAGAGTTGTTTGCGAATTTAAATGCAACGCTTATTCGATGCTTGCAAGCTTTGCAAAAGGTGATGATGCGCGCTTAGCGCTTCTCACAGCATCACAACTATTAAATGGTATCTTTACAAATTCTTTATTTTCATTGGTTTCTTTTAGAATGTTTATCCGATACAAAATATGAGTTAACGGAGCGACAGGCTTGTCTTCAAAAGCAACTTACGTCATTTCTCAGGGTAAAAGAAAAACATTTTGAACCTTTGAAGAATTATTTGTAGGTTATCTTTGAGAGCAAGCTGTGGCAACAAAACAATGTGGTTAAGACTCATGATAGATATGCCCAAAGTCATTATTTCACTTTTGGTACAAATCAATCACAGGTTCAGTAAAGTCAGTCTCAAATACGTATTTCTTTTTAGGAGTTTCTTGATGTTTTACAATGGAAACATCTTCGACCATTAATTTCTTCGATGCTTTACATTTTGGATCAAGGAGAATTGAATCGAGATTTGTTATTGGAAGCACTGGAAATGTGTTGTTAACACACGCCGAAACAGCATTAACGGAAGGTTGTCTGAAAATTTTATTAATTAAAAGTTAGGCTAATAAATGGACAGAATATTTAACTTTTGAGAGAATATAAAAAAAAATTTGAACTTTTGAATCTATACAATGTCGCGTTTTTGCCGGGAATTGGAAAGCTCACCTCTACATTGCTCACACAATTTAACGATTGATTCATTGCGCTCAAATAAGAGGTATTTTAGTTTTGTTTTCGTCCTTCTCTCAAAGAAGGATTTGAGGGTCAAGACGGTTCGGATTTTATCTCAAATGCTTTCAAAGGCACCCCGTCCACATTCTCACATCGGTTCTCCCAGGGGGACTTTATCTAAAATTATCCGAAGTATTGTGCAATCCCAACGGTGTGCAAGCCATTTTGACAGTTTGTCTTATGGTGAGTGATAATATTGTTATTAACGTTTAATAATCACAAGTCGAGATATTCAAAGATTGCATATTGAGCGCATTTTAGGCTCCTACAACCACCGACAAGAATTTTGACGTCTGAGGGTCAAAAATTGATAGTGAAATCAACAAGGCAAAATCTCTTCTGATCGAAAGAAATGAGAGACTGGAGAGCTAAATCAACTTCCCGAGAATCAATAGCATGGTTGGTTTGCCTAATTAATGTGGTTGAATAAGGTTCTGAGGACGACCAATGTAGCGTTTTTATATTATATTTTAGATTCGGAGATTCTCAGCTAACCTTGTTATTCACGATTCCGACCGTTGTTCGTCTGCAGATTATTGGATTTTCTTCGAGAATTGAGTGCTTACTTTGAAATGTTTGGAGAAGAGTTTCAAAGGAATTGTGATTGAAATACTTCTATACTTTTGGCAAATGATGAAGATGAATTGGTATGTTTATCGTAATTCTGGGTAAGAGTTTGCCAATTTTTACTTTTAGTGTTAAAGAAATGGCCAACCAGGTTTTGTTGAAAAAATTAAAGAGGGAGAATCAAGACTTCTATTCACTTCACGCATTCATACCCTTTTTTCAGATGTGAGCCTTATTCGTTACATGATGACATTATAATTTTTCGGGTCAAAAATGATCTATTAAAGTTACCCGAGAGAACAATCTGCTCCAAGGACATTGCTTTCTCAGGTATTTTTTGCTTGCTTTGCTTTAATAAACGTTATGCTCGGGTTTTGTCCTTGAGTGATTCTATTCCCTGATTTCCGAATTCTGTATTTGGATGGGACAATGGCTGGATTCATCACGGCGATTTGCTCGGAGGTGGTACGTGTGGATATTGAGCGATTGAATATAACTTCTAGTAACCCAACTTCATTAACTAGGTTGAGTTTTTAGCAAAATTTAATGAACTAAATTTATTTTAGATTTTTATCTTGGCAATACACATTGAAAAATGAAATCACAATGCTTTGGGTTCAATCCGTTTGTCACGCGCTCTTGAGAGAATAACCCTTTGAGGGAGGAAGTCTACTACTTGCCCATTTCATTGCCTTTACAGTTTTCAAGGTGTTCTCGATGTTTGCCGACCTTTTAAAAGAAAGCGGCCAGGGACAATCTGACGTCTTTTGGTTTGATCACTCAGTCTTATGGCCATCGAAACGCAGGTAAAGTTAGCAAATTTATTAAATTTCTTGTGGAGGTTGCTATCAGTAAACTTTGTCGACGTTTTCCGATGTAGAGGGACCATTTTTTGAACCTTGGAATTTCCGTTGCTGTGGGATTACGGCAGTAGTATTAATGAGATTTGCCAAGCGTACATCGATGGAATAAATATTGATGTAAAAGAAATGGATCGATAAAATCTCAGGTTCGTTTTAACAGGCAAAGTTTAGAAATATACTTTTTAGATACTACCATTACGAACACACGTCATCGGTTGCTCTTTTAACTTCGATGGATTGCGCTGTTAGCACGCTAATTGGTTGTATCAGTGATGTGAATATCCAAAACTTGAGTATGTACCCAAAAAATTTTTGTTTATTTTGAAAATTTAATTACCTCACGTTGATGTATTTGTATGGCTTTTGCTTGGATCCAACCATTCCAAGCTTTGTGATCTCTACCTCGTCTGATCCTCGCACTTCAATACATAGCTCAGGGGACAGGTTTCGACAAGTTTAAAAGGCAAACAACAATAAATTTGGGATTGCAAAGCGTCAGTTTGTCAACGTTATTGGGAAAACGGGATGTTTTGATTATACACAAGTAATTTATGTTTTTTGAAATTACATATTTGAAGTTTAGAATGTGGCACTGGAAGTCAAAGAGTATGTCAGCTACAAAGTTGCTCACGGCGTTCATACTACGTACCGACAGTACATCGGTCTTCAATTCAACAAAGAAAATTTTGCGCCAAATGCTTACGGTTCTAAGATGAACAAAAACGAAGGAGTATGCAAAAACCAAATTCAGTTAAGTCTTTCACGCATTTTTGAATTGCGTCCGTTACAACAACTCTGTATTCGATGTCAGTTTTTGTGGAGTCAATTCTAAAGTGGTTTCCGAAAATCGACACTGGAAGCTCGACTCCCAGCCAAATGATTAGAGGTTGGAGAAAACAGGGTTCAAATATTTAAATGGTTTAGGAATCTTGAAAATGAGGGCGGAAATCTTGAGCATCTTTCATTAAACGATCCAGTTGCTCCTGAAAAGGAACAAGCACCGGAACCGATTTTAATGACGGAAGAAATTTTGCGCCAGGTTTCTTTTGGCTAAAAATAGTTTAGGGTGCATTTTAGTTATTTACGTCTTAGAAAGTTGATAAATTTAGAGCTCCAACACTTCCTTTTTTCGCCACATGTTCCCGTCAAGAGTAGAGTGTTTGCGTTTGGTTTCTGCCTCCCCTTCGCGTTGTACGCTTATATGAAGATGTTCTTTCTTTCAATGGTTTGCATTATTTTTAAACATTTGACGTTAATTTTAGATTCATCAAGAGGGAGTGGTTACCTTTGAAAAGTCGACTAAATGATGTCGGTCTTGTTGTTCGATCCGAAGCCGTGAAGGTGAGTGCTGTTAACGATGTTTTCATAACATTTTTGCTTTTAGGTTCTTACTTGCTATTGTCAGATAGCTGGATCTTTTGTTTATCGTCGGGTGAGCAACGATGCGTAGCCACAACTTACAAGGTTTTTAATTTTGGGATCGAATCAAGATCCTGAATTTAGATGGGCGCAAAATGAATTGGGAAAATCGCAATACACTCAATCTGAAAAGTATCGCCTTCTTTTCGCCATAGTTTCCAAGTAAGAAAGATCCCTTGTTTGGGCGATTTCACCCTTTTAATATTGGTTCCGCCTTAATTTGGTCGTCAATTGGGTACAAAGCTGACGATACCGACTTTGTTTTGCCTTTTCTGGAAAAGTATCTACTTGCTTTGAGGTTGTTTCTAGGTTGTCCTAGCTGAGAAAGGTTCAAGAATGTGCAAACTCAATTAAAAAAAAAAAAAAATTCATTTAGTGTCAAAATGAATTACGGCTGGAAGCAATAAACGCCATCAACGTACTAAAGTGCCTCCATCAGCAATGATGAGTAAAATGTATGTCATTTCATTTTGCAGGTTTTAAAATTGACCATGTATATTTATGAAGGAATAATAAATTCTTTACCCATAGTTGGGAATCTAATTGATTTCATATACATTTTATTTGTATCACCAAACTCATATATTAAAGAAGTAAAACCTTTTATTGAGCATTTTGTGGTACACACGTAAATCGGAATCAAAGCGCATCAAAAATTTAAAAATTCTAGAGTTGGCCACACAAGTTAAGGTAGTATGAACTTCTTTCCGTTTCTTGACTCTCTTAGACTCTTTGTAAACACGGAAGTGGAAATTTCTCTGTGCCGTTCAAAAGCTTCTCTCGTATAAGGTCTCTTTGCCTCCATTCGTCAAACTCACATGGACAAAATCGTGGAGGCATTACCCTCACTACTTCTCGGGGAAAGTTGTCAGCGGCTTTGGTAGGAAGCACGGAACTTGGTTGTCCGACAGGTTTTATTAGATAAAATTTTCTTTTAACAACTTAATTTAGCAAATGTTGACGAATCAGTGGTTGATGCTCTACCATCGGCCATCCAAGAAGGTGTTTACTATGGATACGCGAGAATTGCTGGTGGACGGGTCAGTTACCTTCTGTGAGCGATTGTTGCAATCTCAATTCTAAGGTTGAAAATATGGTAATGAGTATCGGCCGTAATCCGCAATATGAAGGCAAAAGATTGACAATGGTGATCATTCTATATTGAACTTTTAATTGTGCCCCCTTCTCAGAGAGGTTCACTTTGCTTTGTACTTTCCCAGAACCATTTTACGGAAAATCAATTGATGGACTTGTACTCGGTTTCATCCGCGAGATGCACAAATTTGACTCAAAAGGTACGTTTCCGATACATTTGCTTACAAAGTTTGAAGTTTCAAGAAGCCCTGGTTGCTGCAATACAAAATGATATTGCCATTGCAAAGGAAAAATTGGAAACAGAGATGAAACAAGAAACAATTCAGCGATATTTCAAATGTTAATTGTTTACATTGTCAGAGCATAATATTTTACGAGCTTTTTTTGTTAAACAGCATGATATTTTTTTTAATAATCTGTGATACATTTTGTGTTGATTTTTTATTATTTTATTAAACATGAGTATCGATTTTCAGGAAACACTATATTAAACAATAATGGAAGAACGAAAAAAAATTCAATAAACCGCCTGAATCAAGTGTAATGAATAACATGTGTTGTGTCGATTTTGTATCGGCGATTTTGCTCGGCCTCAAACTTTTCTTGGCCGGTAAACCTAAAATTAGAAATAGTGAATAAACTTAAAAATTTGTATTTGAAAATTTCAATTTCTAGCTCTACTTTCAACACAAACTAAAACATCAGTGCCAAGACTCTTACCTAGACGGTGCCGGCCGGTCCACGAAAGGGTCCATGATCATCAGCAGTTCCAGTCGTGCCGCCCAAAAAAGTGTGGGACTCAACTCCTCCATGTCCATAACCACGAGGACCAAAAAGAGCGCCATAGCAGCGGTTGCAATATGGTCGTCCTTCATGCTAAAATTAAAATAATTGTTATGACTGGCAAATTGCATACCGCAAAAAAAGTGTTACTCATTCCAAATGTTGGCAGAACTAATACTTTCACTACCAGCTTTCAAACTTAACAACAGAACGTAAGCATCAAAAATAATAGCAACAATAAAAATGAACACCTACCTCAGAGTGTGATCCAGCGGAGAGAGTCTTCTTGCAGTTATCGTTTTCACAACGAAGACATGGTCGATGCCAATCTTGACCGAGAGACGTCACGCGTTCGGCTTAAATTTACAAAATTAGTCACTAAATCCCACAAAAGTAAACATTACTAAAAGGTCGATTCGTCAAAAATTTTCAAAAACTTACCAAAATAAACCGGCTTCGAGCAGCGCGGGCAATTGGGCATTTCGATGAGCTGAAATTAATTGTATGACTCAATAACACACCGTTAAACGAAAACAAAATGGAAAACTGCGAAAAATAAGGGCATGAAACCCAGATTCGACACGATCGGGACGAAAACAGCCAAGCTTTGTTTATTTTTCGTATCATTTTGGAAAAAGGAAACGATGTGAAAAGTTTTAAATCCATAAATTTCACTTGGCTTGCGAAAAACTTGGGAAATTTATCATTGAATGTGATCGAGCCATTTTCTCTAGTATTTCCGTGAAAAAAGGGGACTTTGATGGCGCAAAGCCGTATTTAAAAGAGCGACTCTCTTTTTGAAAATACAATGAAAGTCGATTGAATGTGTGCGCCTCGAATAGAGGGAAATTTCAATTGAAAAGTTATGCAAATCGGACAAAAATCGACGCGAGACTTGTGGAGATAGAAGGGTTTACTGAAAAAATGCTGATCCGATGAGCCGATCACCGAGTTTACAGCTTTAAGTTTTGTGCGCGTTTGGAAGGAGAAACCTTTTGAAAACCGGTTTTTCATTGACAATACCTTTTTTGAAAGGAAGTTGATCGAAAATGACACTGAGAAAAGTTTTTGAATCGGGATTTGAGAATAAATGAGAGAATAAATGAAAATCATACGGAATGCAGATTACGGTACCATGATAGTGCGAAATAGCATACAGAAATCACAAAACTTAAACACTAACAAGAAAAAAAATTTGCGAAGATGCGAATGGGTTAAAAGTAAACATTATCTCTCTGTTAGTTGAATAGATTAGGCTTTCCCCTTTCGAAATTTCTCACCTAACTTCGAAAAGTTAAATACTCAAAATTTAATATCTGAGAGGGAGAGTAGGTTAAATTTGTCGCCGTTTTGTGCGGCGAAAAATTTAAAGCCAAAACCGAAACTTTAAACCAAAAGGTCAAGTTTAACTGGTAATATTCTTGTTTCTAAAATTAGTTTATGCAAAATGAGAACAGAAAGGGGAAATCTGTTTTGAAATGAAATGGAGAGTGGGAGTGGATAAACCCTCCATAGCAGCAGCCACAAGGATCTATTGGTGTCTTGTGAGATGGACACCATCCCGATCTCGACTCCTTCTCTGCTTCTTCTTTTATTGGATTGACTGTCAGCTGTCATCTGCGGCACACCCATTCCCACACACAATTGGTGCCACTCAAATCTTTGACAATACGCACACACATTGTTGATAGACTCACTTATCGATAGTGTTTAGCGCAAAATGAGAAAATAACAGCAAAAGAAAGGTTCAAAAACAGGAAAGTCAGAAAATTTAATGGTTTCGTTTTGGTACTAGTTCGATTAAGAAGCAAAAGCTTGGCCAGAAGATTAAGATATCCCAAATCTACGAATCAGTACTGGATCTAGACTTATTTTGATCTATCAACGGGAAAGTTCATTATCTAACTTACATTCAAAGATCAATCTTGAGTATGAGAGCAGTTGAAACACTATTCTTTTAGCTAACCTTGGAGAAAAAACGAATAGAATCCTTCAGAATGCGAAAAACAACGTTGTTTATTTGGGCAATTGGAGGGGAGAGCAATATTTTTTTGAAAAAGAGGAGCGGAGGATGGCCTTTGTTGGGGTTTGAGGGGGAGAGACAGAGATGGGGAGAGGGGGGATGGACTGGCAATCGGCCAGCCCGCGCACTTACAAATACACAAAAAAGTAAGGGTGATGAGTGGGGTGATCGGGTATTTGTAAATCATTAATAGACTCACTGTGGCCTTATGGATTAGTCTCAATTTGCACCCAATTTCGATCAAATTTTGACCTCTTTGTCATCAAAGTTGTGTTCATTTCAACTACTACGTTTTGTAAAACAGGACAACTTTCGTAAAACTACCGTAACCTTGCCTAGCGGAAACTACGGTAGTTTTTGAGAAAATGATTTTCTAAAGCGTGTTAATTCTCGATAACTATCGTAATCTGCTTCTAAAGGCAAGGTCGGTCGGTAGCTAAATGGTTCTTCTAAAAGACGGTAGCTTTCGAAAGTTGACACGTTTTAGAAAGCACAGAAGTCAAGAGAAATAAGCTACATGAATTACGGTATTCTAAACGGCTTGGAGTCACGATCCAAAACTGAACTGGGTTCAACTGAAATTCTACACCAATCAAATTCCAAGATGGTATTGCAAACGAGATGCAAGACAAATACAAGAAGTAAGTTCAGGTCACTACTAAAGAAAAACTCTTATTGTGCAATAGTCTAAATATTGAAATTTCTCAAGTGAAAGAGTCTCAAATAGTCTCAAAGAGTTCTATTGAGGGAGAATCCACCAAAGATGGCCTTGAGTTTGGGGATTAAGAGTCCCCTCTGAATGATCACATCAACTCTTCCCCCGTCTCTCTCAAACAAACTCAAATCCCTGAAAACTCTTAACTTTTGTGGAAAAAAGAGACACAAGTTGTGGAACGATTTGTCAACTAAATATCTAAATATTTGCAAATAAATTTTAGAAACAAGACGAAGATGAAGATGGCACAGTACAGTATCATATCTGACAGATTTTATCTGATAAACTCTTCCTCTGCCTGTGTCGCAAAATAGAATTTAAAGGACATTTAAAGGATGTGCTAAAGCTCGTGCACAGTTATTTATCTAGTATAATACAATATATTTAAATATTTTGCATAGCTATTTTCTTTTGAACTAATGATAGCTTTGCTCTGCTTTTACACTTTGCATTTTACCCCGCTTCAAATACGTACAAATAGTACAAATAGCTTTGTTTATAAAGACTTGATGGAGTTGATGATTCAGCCTATTTACTAATTATCAAGTTATAAGTTACCTATCTTGAAGGATTTATTTCTTTGCCTATTATAAAACACGTCTCAATGCTACCTTTCATTCAGTAGTTTTTCAACTTCTTGATCTTGAATCTTGAAGCGTGAAAGAAGATAATCCGGTAACTTTGTAAGAGCTTCTACACGCGCTGCTTTCTACCACATCACTCTCCACTCATAATCAGCATTCACACGTTCCCAACTCAACTGATTTTTGAAGTTTCCCCTAGTGAAAGTGGGTAACACTTGTAAGCAACCCCCTTCACGTGTTTCCCTTTTCTACATCTCTATCACTTCCCACTTTTCCCCTTTTTTTCATTCCCTATTTACTCGTCCTCATTCCCTCCTCATTTCTATTCTCTTTTCTCTTTCTTTTCTCGTGGAAACTAATTTCAAATTCCCAGGCGGTGTGGAAGCATTTCACCGGCAAACAAACTTACTGATCTTTTCAATATTTTCTTTTTTCCTTTTTTTTCTTGGATTATCTTCAACAAAAGCTTCCAATTACTACAAAGAAGATCATTGTTCTCAAAGATTTGCGCAATCTCTTTTATATGGATTCGTAATCATATTTCTTTTCAAAGTCTTACAAAACATTTCCTTCCTTGTCAAAATTCATAGTTACTGGTATTTCACTTGACTTGGTGCTGGTCTTCCAATTTTTAACCTCGTTCTAACCCTCGTAAATTCATCCAGCAAGGTATTGGGTTGATGGAAAAGTTCTTTCCGATTTTTTGGGCTATAAAGCTATAAAGCTATAAACCTATAGAGCTATAAAACGTCAAAATTGGACAAATTTAAGGTACTCTCCCAAAAAATCGGAAAGGACTTTTCCATCAACCCAATATTTGAACTGTTGTATATAAGGCATTTAATGCACAGGATTCAAGTTTAATGCAAATTTTTACAAAATTCTAATTTGTGATATACCTTGTGAGTTATAACGGATTTCACTGTACTCTTTACTTTGCCAAAATATTTAAAAACTCAACTTGTACTTGTAATTCGCAATTTCACAACTTGTAGTTCAGCATTTTATTATTCTTTCTTGTTTTCCAGCCTCGAGTGTTTCTTCCCTTACAAAGCATTCGTCAATAATCACCTTGTTTCCTTTTTTTCGTTGTCTATTTCAAAAACCAAGAAGTCCCCTCCCCCAACCTCCAATTTTGTCGACAAATAATGAGACCAAAAAGGGGAAAGTGGAGAAAAAGCGTTTCTCTTATTCTTCAGTCTTAAAAAATTTAGGGAACAAGTGATTTTTGGAGAGTGGGGAAAAGGGAAAAGAAAGATTTGAGAAGCTGAGAAATTGGGGGGTGAAAAGAGGTGGGGGTGAATGACGGGGTGACTTTGGGTGGGCTGTGCTCTGGCTCTGTCCCCGGCTCCCGTCCCTGTCCCCACTCCTTTCCAAAGAGAGTCCCAGGTGTTTCCTAGCTCTTTCCACGGGGTTCATTTCCTTCTTCTCTTTCCATCCATCTCTTCTTTTCTCTTTTCTCATTTTCTCCACATTTTCCCTAATCTTTTCCCAGTTTTCGACAAAAAAACGATTGCCATGTGACCAAAACGTGAAATGGCACCGTTTGTTGCTCTCGCTCGCCCTGTATCGACTTTTTGACTATCTCTTTCTTTTCTAATCTCTTTTTAATAAATACATCACTGATCAAAGTTATTTTATCGACCCATTTCAGAGCTAAATGTTGCGATGATGTCGACAATAAACACAATGTTCGATGGACAACACTTCAAGGTGGAAAAGGAGGAATTCTCTGATGAACCCGGTATGTTTACATGGCTTTCAATATTAATTTAAATTTTTAGGCACATCGGGAACTGTGCCATGTCTGGTTTGTGGTCGTGGTACAAATACAGGACATCACTACGGAGTGCAGAGCTGTCTTGGATGTAAAACATTCTTTCGGAGGGTTTGTTTTTGAAAATTTTCCTAATATTATTTAGTTCAGATTGTTCTGAAACGAAATCAACCAAAATGTAAATATGACGGGAGTTGCAAATTGGAGAAAGGTTGGGGGGAAACTGTTTGACTTATGATTGAACCGATTTCAGGAGTCAATCAAAAACGAATCTGCCGAAGTTGCCGTTTACAAAGATGTTTTGATATTGGGATGACGGAAAAAGGTGAAGAAAATAGAAACAATGGAATATCATTTTTTCTAGCTTTACATCCATGCAGAG